TTGGAATTTATGGACAATCGATGTTTGAGTATGAAAGTTTATGTGGGGTGCTTTCTTCTTTTATCAGCCTCCTTTTGGATGTGGAAACGCTGACACCCCAAGTCTTGTAGAAAACAATTTCTTTCTCGGCTTTAGAGCCACCTATCGCAAAGTTGTTCGAACTGGAAGTACCGTCCCACTGGTCCCTTCCTACCTGTATAGTGTGCATCTCCCGGTCATGATGAGTGGTTTACTCTTGACAGCCTTAGACGGTCAAAATCGGTTCCCATTTAGTTACGCCGCCCAAAAAGTTTAGGTATAATAAGTGTTTTGTCAAGTTACGGTTGTCAAAGTACCTGTGTGCCGAAAATCAGCACCTCGCACAACCAGGTTACTACACAACAGCTGACCGCAAAAGCCATTGACGGCCAAACCGTGTGTTGGCCGGCAACTTGGTTTTCTCGGCTTTGAAGCCACCTTTCGTAAAGTTGTTTGAATTAAAAGTACAGTGCCTCTAGTCCCTTCCTACCTGTAAAGTCTCCATCTCCCACGACGAGTGGTATTCTCTTGACAGCCTTTTCACGGTGAAAACCGTTTGCCATTCAGTTACGCCGCCCAAACCGAATTTCCACCAGGTTTCCCTATGTCACCTATTTTTGGTATTATAACAGTTGTGTCAAGTTACGGTCATGTCCAAGAACATGTGTGTCCAAATCTGCACTTCGCACAGCCCGGTTATAACACAACATTTTGAGTCCAATATTGGATATTCCTGACAGCTTTATTCCTTTATTCCTTCGAACCATAACTTTCACATCTGCTGTCTTAATAAAACTTGGCCCACTTAGTGCACAAACTTAGTGAACATCTCACTCGCCTCCAAATATCATCGTCCCAGCAGTCCTACGTTTACAGCGACGAGCGAAACAAATTTCCCACTGAGAGTAATTATGGTGGCAGCCGTCTTGCTTTTCGGAAAATAGCTCAAACCCCTTTTTCGACCGCAACTAAAGAAATTACCCCTAATAACGACTGTGACTCAATATTAAAGAAGCGGAGAACAGCTAAAATGCCCTTCTTAAATCTCTCCCAGCACTCATGCAACGTCACCCTCAACTTATCGGCTCAAAAAGCAAAAGTTCCGTCCGTGCGCGCTTCCGCCGCCACAGCTTCGCACGCGAAAAGGCGCCGCAGGCAGCTGAGCGTGCCTCACTGTCGAACGCCAGCTCCTCCGCTAGCGGCGCTGCGCGCGTTTTTCAAAGCGCCCCCTATAGTTCCCGCACGGAGCGTATACTCACAAAGCCTGGCAGTTCCACGACAGAGCCATAGGGTGCCCGGACACAGATTTGGAGCGCGAGGGTCTGGTTGCGCAGAGCATCAAAGAGCCATTTCTCGGGGAACCTGGACGTCAAGGCACAGCTTTTGCAGCGGCGAGGACCCGAAACACGCTTGTTCGCTTGGAAGAAGTGTGTTTTGGTGTCTTGCCGCAGCAGGGTGCCAGTCACGTGGCTCTCCTCTCATCCGTTGTCTGCCGCTCCACCTCTTTTATCTCGGCGGCCGCTTCTCGTGGCAATCTGCCAGGCTTTGTTAGTATATAGGAGGCTATGGTCTGTAGCATCTGGTTGTCTGACAGTGATCAGCAGCTGTTAAGAGTCAGCTGTCAACAATAAGTACATTGTTTCTGAAACTTTTGCCAATATTTTGTTTTATACTTGCATTTTGTTGGTCTCTGGTTTTTTGCAATATTTGTTTGAATCTTTATGGATTTTTGGAGTGGCTTGTCCGACCGGAGCAAGTTTTGCTGAATGCTGGGGGCTAGGCATGCCTAGGAGAGAAACTGAAAGAGTATTATACAGTTCAATGGTGAATCACGTAATAAGTGTGCAATGCTTTTTTTATATATATTTCCATTTTATAGGAAGAGTTTTTTTTTGCAAGCTTGGTGTATAATATATGTAAGGAGATTCAACCATGATTTTTTAGAAAGTTTTTGGATTTGAAACTCAGCAGGGAAAATTATAAAATTTATAAATTGAAAAAAAAAGAAAAAGAAGACTGGAATGTTTTAAAACTTGTTGTCTGTAAGAACTCTTGAAGTACAGATTTTTAGTTATAGTGTGTGTTCACATATATACATCTTCTGTGTGGTAATGACAACTAGGTTTTCATTCCCAATTGTTAACTTTGTTTTCACAAAAGGCATACTCTTACCGTAGAATACCGGGGGGCGTTCACCTCACTTTCACGGAAAACTGGGTTAATCTTGTAGACATGGGCACTTCTCCCAAGTTTGAAAAATGTTAATAGTGCGTGCATGAATGAAGTGGGCACTTCTGCGGTATTTTACAGTATACTTTTCTGAATACTGTTTAGTTTAGACCAATGCTTGTGTGCCAAACATTTATTTCTACATTTTTATAGCGGAGCTGTTAAGGGCTAGTTTCCCCACTATCGTATCCGCAGACAAACAAATGTTGACACAAAACTCCAGACAGCTATCGCCATCTATGAGCGACGGCGGCTGCCAGACAACCGGCTTGCCGGTTGTCTGGTTGCTGTTGTCGCTTATAGATGGTGGCAACCTTTCCACCTTGGTTTTCATCAGAGTGGAAAGGCTGAATTTCTATAGGTGTCTTCCTCGAGGTTGTCCTTGAAGTTGTCCTCGAGGTCATCCTAGAAGTCGTCCTCGAGGTCGTCCTAGACGTTGCCCTCAAGGGCACCCTAGAAATCATCCTTGAGGTCATCCTAGGCGTCGTCCTCTAGGCATTGCCCTAGACGTCTTAAGGGGAGGCACTCCCTTGGAGGGTCTACTTTTTAAGTATTTGTGCCAGGTCAATGAAATTTTTAGGGTATGTTAAACGTCAAAACTTAGGAGGCTACACCAACTTTCAACCCAAAAGGTTTATTTTTTGACAAGTTACAGCCTTATTCGCCGAAAAAAATGTACATGAAGCAGTGCCAAAGGAAAAAAACTATTGTTTCAAAATATGAATAAAAAGGCACAATTTCTTTGTTGGGATATATCGCTGAATGACTAAACTAATCGGTAGTAGGCTTGAAATAATTTTTAAGGCCATATTTCACGTAAAAATTAACTTTCAATAATGGTATGAATTTTTAATTTTTTTCTTGTTTCACAAACGTGAACATTTTTGTGTAAAGAACTAACAATTTGCAAAAAGTAAGCGCATAGCCGAGTTCTCCAGTAAATTTCATGCCAAAAAAGCCCTACATTAGACTTGGGGGTGCTTAACTCATCGAACGATAGTTTTAGAGCTGTGAAAAAATGGTGAAAACATGAAGCTGAGAAAAACGGGTTTGAAAGTTCGAACAGTGTTTTAGTTTAGATGGGGCTTGCCATTTCATCTAAAATGCTCCAGGGGCATATGTCACTCCTTCCTCTGCACGGTCCCTCTGTGCCTTGGCCACAGCTTCCATCTTCCTTTTTTTGTGGGACATCTTGGAGGACTCAAGCGCTTTCACTTGGGCCTTCGCAACTTTCATCTTGGTGGCCCTCTCTCCGTATGACGCTTGGTAGCTCCCTGGCTGTATGCCCATTTCCAACAGAGCTTCCTGATTTGCTAGGACGAGCCACGTCACGTGGCTCGTCCTAGCGAATCAGAGCTCTTGTTTCGCCAGCTTGACCAATAAGAGCGTGCACAGCTATGTTTTTTACGGAGTTTTACGGTCTGTGAGCACGATATTGCGAACAATGCTGCGAACAGAACGAGAGAGGGCGAGACGCTCATTCCAACGAGGGGGGCCTGTCCATGCTAGTCTAAAGAAACGCGGAGGGAGCGCGCTTTGAAAATGGCACATTTTCGTAATCGGCCGCGTCGTTGGCGCGCACGTGCAGCCGCTAGCACTTCGGAAATAATTTATTTCGGAGTAAATACTTTACTTACAGGAATAAAATTTTTGGACAGCATTCTTTATGAGTTGTAAAAGCTGGTCAGCCTATTTTCCAAAAATGTGACTTTTTTGAAAAAATCGCGATTCCTAGGCCGTGCCTCCCCTTAAAGATAACAGCTTCGCTGGTCCTCCATCTTCACGTAAAGTGGAAGGGCTCTACATTTTCTTGGCCATGTACTGGGGTCACTCGATCACGTGAAGTGGAAGGGCTCTACATTTTCTTGGCCATGTACTGGGGTCACTCAATTAAAAAAGGATGTGCAAACGTGAGTCAGATAAAAGGGAAAGCATTGGAAGTAACCCGGAGTCTGCAGGCAACAAAGATAGTCAAATGTGATGCAGTCAAAGTACAGTACCGGACACATATTTTTAAAGCCTTTAATGTTTTTCATTTTCAAGCACCTTACTGACTAGGCAATTCTAATCATCATAGCCTACATTCTACACACAAAGCTGCAATGGTGTCAGCAGTGATCTTCGGCATGTGCAAATATATCATGCAGTGCACAGCGTGGTTAGGGTGACTAGGCACGACAGACTTCAGGCCAGTTCATGCACTTGCAACTGAGTAGGCACTACCGAGACAAGACCAGATTCTAAGCCTCTTACGACGGCATAGGACTGGATGTGCTGCATCGGAGCAGGTCCTACGTCGTCACAAGAGGCTTAAAAACCGGTCTTGTCTCAGCCGGTCCCACTCGGTTGCAAGTGTGTGAATGGACTTTTTTAGATGCTGTGCAAAGAGCAGCCGTTTGTACAATATTAGTAGTCTTCACAACCACATCTGTCACCAAGATTAGCCAACACTGTAGTCATCCTTTGGCTACCACACAGGCAGCACTGTCACAACAGATTGAGTGAGTGATTGGGCTTATTCGGCAGTGGCGCTGATGGTATTCCTTCACATCACAAATGCCATCGTATCATAAAATGTGCTATCTTGTTTGCAATGAGCAAACCCAGTCATCTTTTTTATGCTACTTATATTTTGACTTAGAATATGATAGTAAAGTAAATTGGCACCAACAAAACCAATTCGAAAAAAGGTGTCTAAAAAAAGTGTAAAGGGCACTTCCCATGTGCGACATAAGTTTTCTTTCTCTTTTTCTTTCTTTTTTTTTTTTTAATAATAATTACATTATTACAGAAACCAAGTAGCCAAAATCACACCTCACTCTCTAAATTGCTGCATGTACACTGGCTCAGCGTGGCAGGAAGGTATATGTCTCTTTCTGCCAAAAAAGACATTCAAATTGCTGCATGCACAATGGTTCAGCATTGCTGAAAAGAGTCTGTCTTGTACCACCGAAAAAGACACAAAGAAGAAACGAGAAACAAAGCAAGCAGACAAATGTCTCATACCAACAGAACACAGATCCTCGGCATCCTCGGAAGATTGTCACTTGAGGCATACGCCTGACCCTTCAGAACCGACACGGGCTGAGCAGACCAGCAGGACTGGGCGCGACGCGTCGCCCGCGCCCTGAACACGCGCGACAGCAGCACCAGAACTTGCGCAGCACGTGCACCGAGCCCCCTGCCACCACAGGGTCGCTACACACGTTCACGAGCGGCAGCACGACGCCTAGCACGACGGTACAGAGCAGGGTCCACAGCGGCAGGGAGTCCCTGAACGTTGGACAGGACGCCTCGGGCAGCGTCACCATGTGGTACGCCATGGTGGTGACGAGTGGCAGGGTGCCCAGGAGCAGCAAGGCAAACTTGGACCACAGCGGCGCGAGGTCCACTCGGTTCCGCGGATTAAAGCTGTCGTCGTCTTCGTCGTCCCGGTTGTTGTTATTACCGTCTTCTTGAGCGGCGGCGTGGGCGTCGGGACTAGCCGGAGGCCCACGGCGGGCGTTCCTCTTGCCCGACGACGACGCCGCGCTGATGTCCACAAGGACCACGAGGTCGACGACGACGTGCAGCGTGTAGAGAGCGCAGACGAATGTGGAGAAGGCGGACGACCAGAGCCGCGGGATGGCGCAGGGTGCTCTGGTGCCGTCACGCGCCCTCGTCGGGGACGGCCAGTCGGACAGGACCGGAACTGCCAGGAGCACCGTCTCGCACCATGCGAAGCCGCTGAGGAGCACGCAGAGGCCCCGGTTGCGGGCGCGGCCCGAGAAGGACCTCGGCCACGTGTCGGCGATGCAGCGATGCACGACCGGCGCCGTGACGTGGGCGACGTAGCCGACCAGAACGGCCACCGAGAGGGCCGAGGGTCCGGCGCCGCAGCTGGACGTGGACTGAGGGAGGCGCAGGGCGACCACGTGCCAGAGGAGTGCGGCTGCGGCCAGGAGACCGCAGAGGGACAGCGCCAGGTGGTAGGCGGACTTCCAGGAGCGCGCCACACAGAGGACCACGAGGACTTGGGTCAGGTTGAGACCCAGGGCGAGGGTGGCGGCCGCGGCCGAGAGTACCACGAAGGCGTCCGAGTTGCTGGCGAGGGCGGCGTAGCGGTGGAGGTCCCCCGCGGGACATGGGACCGCCGCCGCGGCTTCTGGGTCCATGCCCTGCGGGACTGGCGGGTTGTCTGGCTCGGTCGGTTTTTATTCGGTCTCTGGCTGTCCTGACTGGGGAGGGAGGGGTACAGTGGATGAGCGTCGGGCATACATAATAAAAGGGGCACTGACACCCCAAAGGTCGTATTCTTTTTTATTGTCTAAAACGATGCAAGTTGTAGTCATAGACACGCAAAAAAAAAAAAAAAAACGCATCGCGAAAAAACGTTTCCCCGCGCGCGCGCGCCTTTTTATTTTTGGCGTTTATATTTCCCGCGCTCACCTCCTCGCTTCTTTTGATCGGTGACGTCAAAAATCAGGAAATTTAGAAGCTTTGTAGGCGACATTTCTATAACATTTAATAACGGCAATCGTAAAACATGTTTTTTAACGCAATGACGAAAGGACTACGGCCTTTCTTTTTGAAATACCAAAAATCAGATTTCGGTGTGATGTCGCTTCCTGGATTTGTGTTCTCCCTCGGAAAACTTGGCGGCGCTCGACCAGAGGCTTTTCGCCGAGTTGACGAAACCGGTTTTTCCCCGCGCCGGCTCCCTTCTATCCCGCCTTCTCACCTCCTCCTCTCTTCGGGTCGCGGTAGCAACGGCGCTTTGCTTCACAGCGTGGTGCGGAGGTCCGAAAGAAAGTCGAGTCGCAGGAGACCGCAAAATTTGACTCACTGCACTGGCGTGGATCGCGCGGGAACTTCAAATTCGGCATTTGGAAATTGTTTTTTTAATTCCCAAATACTGAATTCCCAAGTTTCGAATTTTGAGGGTAATGTCCCGGCATCATGTTTAATCGTTTCGGATAATAAAATAAATTACGATTTTGATGTGTCAGTGCCCCTTTAAGCGGGGGCATCAGCTCTCTGATCGGGAAAAAATTACTTTGCAGAAAAGGTAAAATGTGTTAGCATTTATCGCCTCGGTACATGCAGCCGTCTCTCGTTTGCTTGGTCATGGTTTGGACTGGACTGGGGATGAGGCGGCCCTTGCGGTGGCACAACGTACGCGACAACGTAAAACCGAGGCGTGAGGACGCCTTTTGCGCGAAACCGCCGACACCCGGGAGGAAATATTCGCTCTTCGAAGACAACAGTATTTGGACCGTTGCGATGCTGGAATTGCCAACCTCCGCTGAGTCGGAACCCTTGCAAACGCTGTACCTGCACTAAGTGCTAACGGATTTCGGCGGGATCAGCGCAACAATAAAAACAATCTCGGCGTGTATTTTTTTTTATTTTTTTTTAAGGATATTGTTTTGACAATCAGAAAAAGACGCTATCTTTTCTGTTGTGGATATAAGTTTTTTGAAACCGGAGACGCGGTTAGGGGCCAGAGGCGAACGAAGGTGCTTGGCTTTGATGTTTAGAGTATGCATTGCAAAACTGTCACTTGGCCGACCTTGGTCAAGGGACTCAGTAATTGACTAGCGTCACGTGGTAGGCAGGCACCCGAAATTATAAAATTCTCACACGTCCCCGATCGCCGCTGATTTTGCCACTTTTATGGGTGTCGTGAGCTAGCTATTAATTTATTCGCACTTTGGAGGGGTTGATCAACGCGCATAGGGTCGTAAAAGGCAGTGATGTTCACACCACAGAGGCTTGCGGTCCCAACCAGGGGTTCACAGACGATGGAACTCGATTCAAAGTGACGTCTTCAGTTGCTGCGGGGAACGGAACGATATACCGTAAACTCCCTTTTGGGAGGAGTGTTAGTAACGTTACCGATTCTCCACTGCGCATGCATCATATCGTTATCGCCAGCTTATCGGCAGCGGCGCGATATCTCGGGGTCACGTGGTTGTTGCAAACCCGCGTCACGCCCAGTGATTTCCCTACACACCCCCAAAGGGGTGTGTAGAAAAATCGGGTTTACACCCCCCTTTCGGGGTGTAAACCCGTACACCTTGTTTTTCTGAAAGCACCCCCTTAATTCGCAACGACTCCTCTATTCTCAGTGCCCCCCCCCCCCCCCCTCCGTAATTTCAATTCCTGGGGAAACCCCTGGTCACTCCGCGTCGCCGGCACACACTGCACACACACCATTCATTATCCAGGTTTAGCTTTTGTTTTAATCGGAAAACGCGGAGCTTTTGCGCTTATTCCGGTATGGCAGACTGGCTAAATTCGCCACTGAATAGGGTCTGACCTATTTGGACGACAGGCATGAGTAGAACGTGCCAGCCAAGATTATAATCTTATTGACTTTATTAGTTCTTAACATTCCCGTCTTGACGGTTCGCCGCGGTCGATAATGGTAGTCTTCTTTCATTTCAAATGCGTTTTTTGGTATTATTTTTTTATTATTATTATTGAGACATACAGTCGAAAGTTGAAAAGGACGGACACGAGCTAGCTTAGAGGAAATCGTTATCTGGCGCCCCTCTCTGCACGTGATCACGTGGCCAAAGACAGATGTATGATTGGACCAACGAGCATGTAGCTTCCACCGCACCGTCAGCTGGGAGGTGAAGAACGTAGTATAAAACCATATTTCGACTTAATCGTTACAGTATAGTAAGGGTTATGAAAGTACTAGACGCACGATAAAGCGAATGACTTGGGGAATTTCGTTGCTATTTGGTGAGCTCCGGCGGTATTATGGAAGTTCGAACCCCCGGCCGAACTTGCGGCGCGCATGACTCTCGTTCCCCTCGCGTACGTAAAGTAATGGAGTACACAACTAGTACAGCTTTCGAAATTCCATTTGCCATACTTGCCCCCTTTTTTAATCCCTCTGGAATTATTTTGCACGGTTATAAGCAAAAGTTACGACCGAAAAGCTTTCGCGTAGCGCTTGATTACCATTAGTTTGTCGGGGCTCGCTGAAGTCGATCAATTAACGATCACTTTCGGCATTTTTGAACGAACACTTCGATTGTATTTTCTGCAAAAGCATTAAGTTGTTGTTGCTTTCTTTTCTATTGAATTGCGGTAATCCTGGTTGGCAGTAAAATATAAAAGAAAAATCCTTCCGGCAAATCTCCCCGTCCCTCTTTTATTTTTTTCTTTGAAAAGTGAGTTACGTTGAAACCTGATCGAATCTGAGCTGCCAAAGAGTTTCACGTAGATTGCGCCTGATGTCTTGGGTATTGCAGCAAAACGCGTAATTTTTTGTTTCCCCATTCTTAGTAACAACTATACGCCTCGTGGACGAAATGTCGGCACGCCTCCATCGTTAAAAAGGAGCGAGAGGGTGAGAGAAGGAGACAGGCGTTCAGGGTCGCGACGTTTCGGGTGACCACTTCGTTCTCCGCGGTTGGTCGCCGCTCAAAACTGCCCGATCGCCTTGGGCTGACTGACGATGCCTTCGAGCATCCTGCGAGCTCCGTTTCCCAATAAAAAAAAGGCACAATACTCACTCGATGCTTCGTCCCCTGTCATGGACGCTGTCGGCGCGTCTGGTAACGCTGCGGCATGACTCAGTCCCACATCGATTTCCAAACGGGCGGCCGCCGATCCCGAGCAGGGGTCTTCGCGTTGTCCCCCCTCCGTCGGTTTTGACGGCGCGCGTTTTGGTGTTGGTCCCCCCCCCCCCCCCCCCCCCCCCCCCTCTCCGCCTCCTCCGTGGCGCGTGCCTCTTCTCCCTCCTCTCCCAACGTTCGTCGGTCCTCGCAGTCCTCCTCGCTTTTCCGTGTAACACCCTTCCTCTCTTATATTGGTGGTGCGGCTGCCTGTTTATTTATTTATTTATTTATTTTTTTTTTTTGGCTGGCGGCTTTTCGTTTGAATCGGGAGCAGCCGTACTACTAGGTGCCTGTATGCGCGATAGGGTTGCTGTTGGTGTGGTAGTACGCGGTCTCGTACTACTGCCGGCCGTCCGTTGTGAATGGGGAGGGGGATCGGTGTTAGAGGGAGAGGGGCTCTAAAGATGAAGGAGTGTGAGGAGGAAGAGAGCGATCGGTGTGGCAAACTGAAGTTGGTGAGATGTGGGAGAAAGGTGAGTAGGCGAGAGCGAAGGAGGGGTGTGATTTGGGTGATTACGGAGGAAAGAGAGGAAGAGGGTGAGAGTAATTTCGCTTAATGTGGAAAGAAGGTGAAGCAAAAAAAAAAAAAAAAAAAAAACACCTGGCACCACTCCCGTGGTTAGCCCGAGGCCTGCTGCCCGCAGTCTGCGGGGTTTGTGATGATGGGGCAGATGGTGTATCGGGGGTCGCCCGGTTTTTGCGTTTTTCTTTAGTTATTATTTATTTCTCTCGGGTTCGCTCGTAGTCTGGTTCGTTGCTGGGGGGGCCCTTTTAAAACGACGCCTGTCCCGTCCGCGTGCGTTTGGGCATCTGCTTTTCAGGCCGCCGCGGCCGCCAACTGACGAAATTCGTCCCACCACCACCGGTCTCTTCTGCTGCTCTACCGGTCGTCGTCGGTCTACCGGCTTTCGGCTTTTCGCTTTTTTTCCTTCTTTTTTTGGTTTTGTTTTACGTTTTTGTAAGAAGCGTCGCTATGCTGCCGCGAGAACACAAAAGATGCGCTCCCGATTATATTGTGAAAGTGGAAAACTGGTGCCTTTTGTTCGGTTCATAAAAGTGATAATGGAAAAGTTTTTTTTTTTTTTTTTTTAGTTTTTTTTATATTCGATTGTTTAAATTTTTTTTTTCCTTTGCACATTCATTCAAGTTACCTGTTCATAACATTTTTTAAAGGGTCGACTGAAAGAAAAAAAAAATTACAATGTTGCGGAAGTGATAGTTGAATGGAACGTTCAGGAGACCCACTGGTCTAAAATTGTCCTTCCTTCCGCTGTTTAGACTTCTGCTTTGAGCGAGGAATTTGTGTCGTAATTGAGGAAAGGTTTCAGGAGCTACAGGAGCTCGCACGTACAGTGTGTTTCATAAATTGTGACTCGAATATACGTGACAGTTGTTGTGCGTACAGGCCCATAGTTTTGTGGTGGCACCATTTTTGGAGCCTTCTAACCCATGCTGGTTTCCCCTGTTTTGTATTTGGATGTTTGGGGTCACTTTTGCAGTCATTGAAATGCCAAACGGACATTCATTGCCAAATTCCGTTAGATCTTGTTAACAGCAGACCGCAGTGCAAAAGCCCGAGGCTATAGAACACATGGATGAAAATTGGCAGATCATTTTTTTTATTAACATTGCAGGTGGACTTTGCCAGAAATCTCAATTCAAATTTTCATTCGAAAGATTTAGATTTTCACTTTTTCGGTATTTTCTTTAGCAGCTCTGTTTCTCTTAGCAAATACATTTTTTGGTTTGGAATTCTCCTATACTTTATTTCGGCATATCTGGGCAAATGACAAATGTTACAAGCTTTATGAGCCAACCAGTGCAGCAGAGCATGCACGTGATAGCCTACTGTTAGAGTGCGCGCTTCACATAGTTTGCACTGTCACTTTGATTTGCACACGGGAGTCGTAGTATCCGCTCTTTGCAAAGTTGTGCTGAAACGGAGTATAGTTTATTTTCTTAAGAGGAATGCCGATCTTTATAGCCTGTTTCTTACTCTGCCCATAGAAACTGAGCGGTGAATGGAGAGACAAGTACATGTCCGTCTTCATGTCGGAAACCGACCCGCAAGAATCGCCTGCAGAGAACATGTCCCATGAAGTGATTCAGGGCTTGAAGAAGCATCTCGAGTGTGCCAGTGGTGAGAATTTGTATCTGCAAATAATCTATTTTCCTCGTTTCTGCTTAATTCTTGTTTTATTACTGCTTATATTCTCTTTAGTAGGCTATGTGCCTATAGTCAGGGACAAGTTAGGAATGCAGTAGAAGCTCTGTCCGCAATATTGGCTCCATGCCAATATCGCGAAGATAAGGTTAAGAGAGCGGAGTTTGCTGCTGATTGAGTGAAATGACTTCATTTTATGGCACCTTCATTCCAGGTAGGTCGAGGCAATCATTGCTTACCTGGCTTACCGGCAATACATGGCAAGGGTGCCATGTTTTGCAGATTAATAAATACTACTTTGAAGGGGCATAATTTTGAAAAGTGGAAAACAATTGGTGGCAAAATGATATTAGTCCTTTGAGGAGTGTGCATTTAAGGGAGGTCACTACCCAAAAAAGTCAACCTTTGGCTTAATATGAATAAAATTTACAGTATATACTGGCAGTTGCCGAGCAGGTGTAGTGTAAAGTTTTATTTGCATACATGAATTGTAAAAGAAATTGTAGTCATTTTCATCAGGAACACACTGACATTGTTTAGGAAGACTTTTGTTAGAAAACTGTAGTGATTCACAACATTTTCCTTTGCTAGGAACGCAGCGGAATGCCTAGAGTGTGCAACTGTAAAAACAAAATTTTAAAAAAAGTAATTTATTTCATGCTTACATGATGCTGAAAAGCTTTTATGTTGTCGACAATATCTTAATGTTTTTTTTATGAAAGACATCTACAAAGCAAAAAAACAATGCCACAGTTGCATTGGCCATTAAATTCCAGTTAGGAAAAACGATGAGTGAGCCTTTCCTTTTCTCCTGTTACCAAACAATACTAACGATAGTTTTCCTAGAGGTAAATTAATGCCAAAAAATGAAACTGAGAAAAATGGGTTCAAAGTGTTTGAACCTTTACCTTCTCTTTAGCATTGGTGGACCGAAAATAATATATAGAAAAAATGACCATGCAGTGTAAACAAATGAAACTTTTTGGGGATAATCTATAGATCAGTGGTCTCTTTAGATTTGATTTGTTTATATGACTACTTTGGACCCCGACCAGATGTGATTACAAGAATTAAAATGACACCGTTCTGCCAATGTGCTGCATTTTTAATAAAACAGGAGAGCAAGTACACTGTTGTTCCTGTTGCTCAATTCACTTAGGAATAAACCAAGCTCAACATGCCCTAAAAAAAACAATAAATTAATTTGGCAGTTCTTGCTTTCCTGACGATTTTTATTACAGCACTCTGAGCAAATACTTGTCTTTTAATGGTGATACTTTTTTGAAGGCAAGAGTCCCGAGCTTGTAGCTTTATCTTCGGCAGTTGCACCTGCTGATCAAGAGTTCACACAGCCGAGATGGATCCTTCAACAAAGAGCTTGCGCTTGTAGCCTAGTAGTGGAATTGTTGTACATGACAAAAAGCTGGGAAGAAGCAATGAAGCGAAACAAAGGGCAAAGAAACACAGATAAGTATAAACTATGTGAATAGGTTAAAAGAGCAGAGCTACTTTTCGAGAAAAAATGAATCGGCAAGATGAGATCACTATGGCGCATGCCATTTCTAGCACTCGAGACATGGGAACCAGGGTTCGTAACCGGTGGCCTGTGTGCCGCATCCCAGCGAGTCGCGAGCCTCATGCAGCCCTCGGGCCACGCGCTAGAGACCCCTGCTTTAGATGTTGCCGGATGTAAATATGTAACTTGTCAAAATCAACTCGTTTTGCAGAATATTTTTTTTTTGGGGTAGCATTTCCTCTTAACTTGTCACCTACTATAGTCATTTGCAAAGAGCACTTCGAGTTCCTTCCTGGTTGCTTGAAATTGGTGATTATGTGCAGTAACAAATGTTATTTGAAGGGAAAAAAATTTACCCTTGGGAAGGTGTTGCCTGGGGTTTTGGTTGACAAAAACTGGCTTTCGGCTTTCAAAATAGGTGTTTAGGTGGCATTAAAAATATTAAATTTTGTTGGATGTTGCTTTTCATTAGACCGAGAGAAAGTGGGTTATAACAACATATAAAGTTAGGTGATTTGGTTTGACATTATGAAACGGGAACAGCGCGAAAATAAACGAGGGACGAGTAGAAGAGGTAACGAAGCTCACTAGGAACTGAAAGTTTTTTTGTGCACAAAACACGAAATAAACAGAGAAAACACATAAACAACCCGTCAAACCGACTCCGCGCACACGCTTATCGGCGGTCAGACGAACTTCCCACAACTCGTGATAAAATGCGTTAGTGCGCCGTCCTTAGCTCTGAAGAGTGACGACGTGAATAGACTTTTTGTGGGAAGTTGTCTTATCACAGATAAGCGCGTGCGTGGAATCGGTTTGACGGGTTGTTTGTGTGTTTTTCCTGTTTATTTCGTGTTTTGTGCACAAATAAACTTTCAGTTGCTAGTCAGCGTGGTGTCTATCATTACCTCTTCTACTCGTCCCTCGTTTATTTTTGCACTGTTGCCGTTTCATAAAGTGGGTTATATTTTTCACTTGTACCAATTGTTAATATCTTTAAAAATCAAAACATGGCCCCAGTCTCCTCTTTACTTAGCTGTTAGTCAGCCTCATTCTTTGAAGTGGGCAAAAAAATGGGGCCAATCTTGTAGAATTAGAAAATGCGGAAATTGCATTGTCTTTGCACATCAGAATGAGAGTGCATGAAAAACTTGTCTTAAAGTGTACACACACACATGCTAACATAATATTCTCATTCCCTGCAGAGGCAGAGCAGCTGATCAACTCTTTTCACAACCTGAGCGACGGCATGCGCAAGGAGATCCTGTCGACTTTGGAAGAAACTCTGCGCCTCTACCACAAGCTCTCGAAAGAGACCAACGCAGCATCTGAGTTGGAGCGCTATCGAAGCCTCTATGAGCAGCTGTCTTCCGGCGCACCCCTTGACCTGGAGTCCTTGCATCAGAAGCAAGACCTGCAACTGAAGACCCTGAGAGCGAGTCTAGAAGAACGCTTCTCTCAAGAGAAGACACTCCTGCTCTCGGAACAGGTCACAAGGACAAAGGAGCTGTTGAATCGTCACGAAGCGGACCTGAAGGCAGCTGAAGAATCCGCGGAAGCACGGATGGCTGCAGAGCGTCGTAGGTGGATGGAGGAGCTGGACGTGCTCCGCAGCTGCTTCCTCGAAAAGGAAGAAGAGGGCAGGAAGCGCGAGGCCAAGATGGCAGACGACATGGCAGCCATCGTCAACAGGCATGGCGAGGAGCTGCAAAAGAGAGACGCCAAGATGGCAGACGACGTGGCGGCCATTGCTGACAGGCACAATGAGGAGTTGCAGAAGCTGTGTGCGGCGTTGGAGGAAGAGCGGCAAAAGGCAGAATCGTTGCGAGACGCCTTGGGTGTCATCGAGCACGAACGTGAGCAACTGGCTTCTCTCACAGAGGACATTCAGACGAGTTCGGGTGAGGAAGACTTTGTGGCGATTGTTCAAAGCGTGCTGGAAGAGAACAAGAAACTGAAAGATGATGTGAAGTCAGTTCGGGCTGAGTACGAAGGTAGAGCGCTGAAGATTCAGCAAAGAGTGGACGAGGTTGAGGCGCAGTACAAGCAGAAAGTCGAAGAGTTGGTGCTGGCACAATCGCGTCAGGAGGAGGTTTTGAAGGCAAAGGACGAGGACATGCAGCTGCTGAGGCATGAGCTTGAGCATTACGCAGATTCCGTGGAGGCGTTGAAGCAGGAACACGAGGCTCAGTTGCAAGAGTTGAAAGAGAGGTTACGAGCCGAGTACGCCGAGCTTGCAGGCTCGCTGAATGTAGAAGGTAGCGACATCGGGTCATTGAAGGACGCACTCCACACTGCGATAGAGAGTGTGAGGTGCGACCACGAGACGGAGATACGGCAGATCAGGCGTAACCTCGACACCGAGCACAACCTCATTGCAAACTCCATCATGGCACAGTATGACCTTGACCTGGAGGCACTAAAGAACCGGTACGAAGGTCAGCTCAGTGCCTTGAGGGAGCAGCACTCAGCGGAGCTGCAGAGGCTCGCTTCAGAACGTGTGTGCGCGGTCGATGAGCTTAGCACAAAGCACGCCATGGACATGCAGCAGCTGAAGCTTGACCTGGAGGGGTACTACAACGAAGTGGTGGCATCTCTAAGAAAGGAGGGTGCTGCGAAGGTGAAGGAACTTGAGGAGAGGCTGCAGAATGGGGGAGGGCAGAAGGCCGTGACAACATGTGATAGAGAGACCGAAACGTCGGAGGCAGAAATCGCGTCTGTTGGGGAAGTGACCTCGGCAGGGGATGCCAACGAGAAAGAAGGCCGCAAGGTTTTGAATGTGGCAGATCCGAAGTGGGACGTCGAGGACTCGATAAATGTCAGGAGCAGGTGAGGGTTCTTTTCCTGTTTCTATTTCCTTTTTGCACGAGTACTTACTTCACTTGAATTTGCGATAGGTTCTGTGGGGCTGGTGGCAGCCGTTGAGTTTTTGTGTCTTTTTTTTTTTTTTTTTTCCCCCTAGAAAGGCTGGTTTACATTTATACTAATTTGCCTTTCTGCTCAAGCCGTTTATGGCTGGCAATTTATTTGTGTTAAATTTTTACAATATTTTTCTTCTTGCTGACAAGTGTTGCATCTTTAGAGTTTTCTTAGAGGACCTCTGTGAAATCTTTTAATTTTTTCAATTTTGTGCATTTTGTTCTTATTGAACTACCTACCTACCAAGGAACATAAAAGTTAAACTTTAAGCCTAGACTTGGGTTGAATGTTGTAACATTTTCAGAATTAGTGGCATTACTAAGAAGTATAATTGCAGTAACAGCCTAAAAAGCTTGCAGCTTTTGTCTTTATTTTTTTATTGAAATTAATGTTTCAGATATGCAGCAAGCTAATCACGAATGACTGGACAAAGTAGAAAAAGATGACATACACAACACTTTTTGGTCACCTTTTTTACTTGGCCAGTGGTTCTGTGCACTGTTCATCAGGCCCGCTTCAGACGGGGCAATTTCACCCAGCAACTTGACGTCGCAACACCAGCAACGCGGGCCGGCCGCGTTCACACGCAGCAACCGAATTGCTACGACTTGCCATCATCATCATTCAATTTGATTTTTCTTGCACTATTTAGACTCACAACTATGCGCTAAAAACGTTTTTTTATATCTTTGAATGGCGTTGAGAATACTAACTCATTTTTCTGGTTTATTTCCGAAAACGATCAATTTCAAACCAGAACCAAGTCTTTAGCTGTCATCATCATCATCATCACCACCACAGGGGTGTCACGTGAAAATATCCCGTCCCTGATTGGCGGTTGCCGCTTCAAACGTCTCCGAGTTGTTCGAGTTGCTTGTCCGTTTTGAGCCGGACCCAATCTCAGCATTTCGTGTCGATCTAGGGAAAGCTAGGAAACAACCCGCCAGCAACACCAAAATTGCTGGAAAAGTTGCCCCGTCTGAAGCGGGCCTTATGGGATCATATTATCAACAGGTCAAAGTTTTATATCAATTCAGTTTAGCGGCTGCAACATCTAATTTTGGAGAGAGAACTCTTATTATAATTACAGTATCTATGCCTTACATGGCTCCTATCGTTTTCCTACATGCATTCTTTTTTTTCTTTCTTTTTTTTTTGTTCCACTATGCTTAGTGCCAAGGAGGTTTCCCCAGAATGGTCGGATGTGTCCGTTGAAGACATCCTGTACGAACGCACCGAGCTCACACGAAGGATTCGGAGCCTCACTGCTGTTGTTGACCAAGTAAGCCAATATATTTGCTTTAAACTGTTGTCCTTGCTTCATACAAGCACTTTTCAAAAGTTGTTAAATTTTTATTTTGCAAATTCCAGTGGTAACAAGCTAGTATCCGTTAATTAGAATAGCTTGCTGAAAGGCTCTTGTACCTGCTCATCTTGTGTAAGAACAAACACCAAATTTTGCAAGTCCACTGTTAGTTTGCTTTCAGTAAACAGTTCAGATTGTGTTAAGAAGGACACAGGAACCAGTAAAATGAATTTGTGTTGTTTCTTTCTTGTGCGATAGCTGCAGGCCGAGAACAGAGACCTCAAAGAGCAGCTCAACAAGGCCAACGAACTCTCCGTGAAAGAAGCGAGGGCATCGTCACGATCACCCAGGTATGCGCTGTTTGTTTTTCTTGTTTTCAGGTATCTTGTCGTTATGCTTGTAATGATGGTGGATTATCTGTTTGATGCATGATTGTGTCCATCTGATAGTCCCTTTGCAAAGGTAGGAGTCTTGCCACAGTTTAGTTCGCTATGGTAACACTGGTACAAACAATATCTTTTCATCGCAGCTTAGTGAGGATGGCAACGTACAACTTGCTTGCTGATAGCAAATTTTTGCAGATTGTTTGGGGTGGGTAGTGTGGCATGTCGTTTCTGCACTTTGTATGGTAAGGTTTTTGTACTTGTGGCAGCTTCCGGATGGCTCTTATTTTTGAAAGGAGTCCCCATGTTCTAGCAAATGGTTGGCACTGAACGGAGGTGTGAGTTTTGACGCCCAGCAGAAATCTTGTTGCGCTGGCTACACTAAACACTACACTGGCTTGATGCCATCGTAGTAACAGTCGAAAAACATAACTCTTCGTCTACTGAGAGTATCTGCCATATGACGGATGTACTGAAAAAAAAAAAAATTAAATGTTGTTTTTATTGCATGCAAGAAGCTTAGCACTTTTTGTGTATTTAAAGGGAAGCTGAAACACTTCTTTAAAAAAGAGGTTGATTCTAGCGTAGTTTTATCCCATGAATCTGAATATCACATTGTTTTCCCCGGAAATGTAAATAAACACGAAAAACATCCGACCACTCGTTTCATCATAAAAGGATCCTTTGGAAGCAAAACGCATGTCGCTCGAGGGCCGCACGTGCAATTGCAAGCTTGCCACGTATACTATTCCCTTGCACTGGCAGCAGTTGTGACGTAATTTCTGTCCTTTTTAAGAAGAGCAAGAGTGCGCGTGCATATCCTTGATAGGGGAGATTCCAAAAACTCCTTTTGTGACGTCACTCTTCGGGAAGGAGGGCCTTCAGTGGTGCCTTGAAAATGATTTTTTGCTGCTTCCATGCACCAAATTAAAAAATAATTTCGATATTCGAGATCCTGTAGGTCAAACAAAGATGATTTAAGTGTGTTTCCTCAAATACATTTAAGCTTCCCTTTAAGGAATCTTTAAAACTTTTTGTGTTCATGGTCATGCTCTTCACAAGTCTTTTCATCATCAATGTTTCAATGCATGCTTTTCAAATGCTCTCCCGGGAGGTATAGATTTGTTACACTGTCCATTTCGTGTATTTTACTAACCCATGTGGGTAGCTTTGTCCACATCTTGTTTTGCTTGAGCAATCTCTAAACTACTCATAACCAAGTCGGGAGAGCATAGCTGGGTACTAACTTCACTCTTTTGTGATCAAAGCTCCACCTTTTGCTATTGTCAGCGGTGTGAATTGTGGTGGCAAAGTCTATGACCGGAAGATCTATTAAATAGCACAATCTCCACTTGCCCATTGCTGCTCCGACCGTACAACTGCCTAACATCAACCAAAGCTAGGTTTTAACTGCAGCCAGCCCTTTTTTATGACAAACCTTGAGTGAAGAGGAGAGCCAGGTCGCAAATTATGGCTATCATACTAATAGGTATCGTTTTAACAGTACCTGACTTTATGATACATGCACACTTGTGACTGGGGCTGCAGATGCCGTTGTGGCTAAAGAAGTGTGGCTGTACTCAGGAAATTGTTGAATTTATTTAATAACTTTATTTATGATTCTATTTAAACTTTCCAAAACCTAAACAATGGTCTGTTCCCTACAAATTGTTACTGAGGTTTAGCATTATACAGAGCGTTAGTTTTCATTAGAGTCAATATTATTATTCATGTAGAAGCAGGGGCTAATGCAGGAATTTCCTGAGGGGGGGGGGGGGGGGGTCAGGTTTTAGTCAGTGTACCGTGTGTTTAGGAACCCCCTCCCTCTCTCCCTCGTTTCACGCCCTAAATTTTACACATGCAGAAATCAAGAGGGGGTTCAGGACATCCGGACCCCCCCCCCCCCCCCCCCCCCTCTAAATCCGCCTTTGTGTAGAAGCATACCACACCTCACTCATCTTGTTGTACGTTCAGTCAAAACAGCAAGCACACCTTATTTCGACAAATGCTGGAGGCATTTTTTTCTATTTTTGTTTTGTTCCTCCTCATTTTGCTTCCTAAAAAATTTTGAAAATATTTTGCATGAAGCCTTAAAGACAGTTTTGTGTTATGTCCTCACAGTAGAGCGCTGCTCTTCAAAATGTGAGTATAGCCTTATTTGTTTTAGGATCTTGAGATCATCCTTCCCTCCTTCCTAGTGCTGCCTGTAGTTGCCCTCAGTCTCTGCTTGTCACTCCTTGGCTTTGCAACATTGTTGCCAACAGCACCCTCACATTCTCCTTTAAACCCGTGAGGTTCTTGCACTTTTTTTTTTTTGTTCCGTTTTTGAGCACTTTAGACACTTGGCATGTCTCATTTGGGTTTTCAGTGAAGTGGCACATGTGTCTTTAATCTCATTTGAAAATACTATGTGCCGTAGTAGACACGGTATGTAATGCAGTATACTTCGTATTCTGAAGTTGAGGCATTCTTAGTTATTGTTGAGAAGTAAAGTCCCAAAGGGGTAGCAAAGAACAGTAGATTTTTTATGATCGGCATCTGCACTACATCTGAAACGCTGTCGATTCTAAGTTAGGTACAATCCAAATATTTTTTTATTTTAGTTTGTATATAATTAGCAAAAAAATATTGTTTTGAAAGATAAAAATACATCAACACATCATTTCTCACAATAAAGTCTATGAAGTGTCACATTGTAATTGGTGCCACTTGAACTACATGTCCTTGCCCTAGAAACGAAATCAAGTTTATACTTTCAATACCATTCGACATGAAGAAATAAATAGTGGAAAATTAAATGTTTTCTAAATGTGTTAAAGTTTGCCACAATGTTAATCAAAAAGAAAATTATTTTGTTTTTGTATATTGTAAAAGCATAGGTATTTTCGAAGTTGCGAGCATCTGAATAAAGCACAAAACACCTTTTACATTTTTATTTTTTCACTGAGGGGGGACATGGCCTCGGAAATCAAAATTTTCAGAAAAAAACATTTTTTTCAAAAATGATATGTTTAGGCTTATTAACTTCCAAAGAATGGTTTCAGAAAATTTCATTTATAAACATGCAGGATTTATCTCAGAATAAATTATTTTCGACATGTCAGCAGCCCTCCAAGTCAGCAGGAAGCAAGTTTTTTGTGTTTTTTATTTAGCACTGCTTCATACCTGTTTAACCTAGCCAGAACATCTCACCCTCATTGGAAGTGCCATTTGCTCTAGATTTAGCCCGTAGAAGCTTTCGAAGCTTACAAGTATCAATGGCCAGGAGGACCCAATACATCCAAAAAGAAAAAAAATTCTGAAAATTTGGTATGAGCAATTTTATTGGTTGACACCTGAAACAGGATTTACGGTTGGTCCCTCCCGGTGACGTGATATTTTGTCGTCTTCATTAATGCCCCTTTACAGTATCTTCCACTTCAGATCCTATTCCTGCTTTGCTGCTCTTTCTCAGTGTGATTTGCCTCTTAGTTCCTGTCAGCTTATCTGTCAGGGAATGCCCGCAACAAAAGTTAGCATGCCTACAAAAAACACAAACTGGTAGCTATTGCCAGGGGAACAACAGGTGCTCAAAGACGAAGGTGCTAACAATGCTCCAGGTGAATTTTGCCTACCTCGGACTCATAAAAAATAAAGAAACCTAAAGTTGAAACTTCAAATGCATTTTTCTCAGTTTGACTTTTTGGCAAGGAATGTGGTATGAGGAAATGTATCATTGGACATTTTGAAAGTGTAAAGATTTCATTCAGTGTTGTCCTTGACTCAAATTTCCTGAGGAACAAGTTAAGGTACTCATAATCTGAAAATGCTAAATTCTTCATGACAAAAACTGAATATTTTAAAACTCACAAATTTGTTAAAATAGTTCGTTCTTTTTGGGTGTTATTGTTTTTCTGTAGAATCACATTTTCTACAGTTAATTTTTACCTTAACTTGCACTATGGGTATTCTGCTTCACATTAAACTAAACATTTTGTGGATTTCGATTATTATTTTTCTTAAATACATTTCCTAATAAAGTAACTTTTTTCTGGAGCTTGCTAAGCATAGTATGTGGTAGAATTGGCCTATAAGGCTGAAACTTTAGATGTCATCAATCCTAATGGGGTTCAATTCACCCTGAAAGTTTGAATCACTTTGAGACAATGGTTCAAAAGTTGACCCTCCCAGGCCATGTCCCTCCTTAAACCCGTGAGGTTCTTGCACTTTTTTTTTTTTGTTCCGTTTTTGAGCACTTTAGACACTTGGCATGTCTCATTTGGGTTTTCAGTGAAGTGGCACATGTGTCTTTAATCTCATTTGAAAATACTATGTGCCGTAGTAGACACGGTATGTAATGCAGTATACTTCGTATTCTGAAGTTGAGGCATTCTTAGTTATTGTTGAGAAGTAAAGTCCCAAAGGGGTAGCAAAGGACAGTAGATTTTTTATGATCGGCATCTGCACTACATCTGAAACGCTGTCGATTCTAAGTTAGGTACAATCCAAATATTTTTTTATTTTAGTTTGTATATAATTAGCAAAAAAATATTGTTTTGAAAGATAAAAATACATCAACACATCATTTCTCACAATAAAGTCTATGAAGTGTCACATTGTAATTGGTGCCACTTGAACTACATGTCCTTGCCCTAGAAACGAAATCAAGTTTATACTTTCAATACCATTCGACATGAAGAAATAAATAGTGGAAAATTAAATGTTTTCTAAATGTGTTAAAGTTTGCCACAATGTTAATCAAAAAGAAAATTATTTTGTTTTTGTATATTGTAAAAGCATAGGTATTTTCGAAGTTGCGAGCATCTGAATAAAGCACAAAACACCTTTTACATTTTTATTTTTTTACTGATGGCCATCTGTGCTATGCTCGTCACACTACAAATACTACACTCAAGTTGAAACAGATGGCATACTTTTTGATGGAAATCTAGGTGTAATGGAGCTAAAAATATGCCTAAAAGGTCACAATTGTAGTCTGGTTAGATATTTTTGTTTCAAAAAGTACCCATACCCACTATTGCAAACACTTGGGCTAGAGACTCACAAAAATATTTTACTAGTCGAATATAGGTGTGTGACATTTCGCTATGCTCTTTTGAAATTATGCCAACACATGAGATGGAAAGACTTTGCCAGCTCTCGCAAAATGCCCTGTCACTCTTGTTCTAGGCAGCATCATGGGGTGGAATGCTACTTTCCGGAATTGCTTGAGCCCTCTCTATGTGAACCCATTTTTTTTATTTTTTCCCTCAGCCTTATTTGTGTTGTGGCACTTTGCCCCTCCCCTTTTTTATTGTTTTGAAGCTAGCCCACACGTAGTTCCTGCCTGTCTTTTGTTCTAGGGAGTGGCTTGCAGGCTCAGGGCTGACAGCCAATGAGATTCAGTCTTGGCAGCTGTAAGTGCTCAAATGCTTGGGCGAGGGGCCAAAGGCCCCCTCTCCCTTACCTCATCCCAGTGTCTCTGTGCATAGGCCGCAAAGTCCTTGCTGCTATTGGAGCTTCCCTAGGTCACATTCGAGTTTCAGGGGTATTCGGTTTAATTTTCTCGAAGCGTACAAAATATTTCTGCATGTAGTCCGACTTCACTTGTCGTAGGAAAACGGTGTATGGCTAAGCGAAGAAGCACAGTGTTTTCCTTAGTCGCACATTTCTTCTCTGCAAGCCAGTTTGGCTCAACAGATACCCAATGTTACGTTTCTTTAAAAATTATTTTTAATGCATCAGTTTTCTTTTTAATTGTTTTTAATGTTTATTAATTTTTTTTAACAAAACATTGCATGTTTTAATATTTTTAAATGTCAAAATTTTAATTGGTGATAAACGGTGTAAATATTAGGTTACTAGGGGGGCAAGACATTGCAAAAGCTGGTTTTGACATGGAGGTATTTGTGTCCCCTTTAATTTATGGGCATATCAGCTGGCGCTTGTCTTAAAAAAGTACTGAGAGTGTTGTTTTACAACTGGTGCAGATTTACCAGAAAGCCTGATGCAGCAAGATTTTTGTGGCCTTACAATGAAACTAGCTTCACCACCATTTTTTATCCTTTTGTTTACTTTTTGCCAGTGCTCTTTTTTTTTCCCGTCTTTCATTTCCCTTTCCTCTCTTTGACCCTCCCCCTCTTTTTGGTTGATGGTACCTTGGCTTGCCTTCCTCCCAACAACAGCATGCCTTTTTTGCTTAGGAAGTTTTGGCTCCTGCAATATTTTTACACCACTCATTTGCACTTTCTTCTTTATGGGTAGCATGTTCACTTTAACAACCTGCACTAATGTTTTGTTTGTTTGAAGTGGAAGAAGATATTTCTACTAGAAATGAAGCTTTTGCAAAGGATTTATGAACTTTTTGCTAGGCGTGAAATTTGAAACTGAGGATCAATTCCAGTTGCTCAGTGGAATTAAATGTAGCTTTCCCTCAACAAAGCATTAAGTTTCTGACTACTTGTGCTGCAAGTGTTAGTATTTTGTTAATGCCAAGTACTGCACTGAGTGTGCAAGTTATACCGTGCAAGCCCATAACCATTACCACACAATATGAAATAAACTTTTTGGTGAGCCTAGACAGGAATGCTTCTTTCTGTAATATAACCTTTTAATTTAACTAGAACGAGAGTTGATGCCCATCAGAACTTGATGACAGCGACAATTTTTGTTTTTCTTTTATGGTGGAATTCCGACTAACACCTTTTATTTTGCTCTTATTTTGTGCGAAAACTAACTGACCTTCTTCGTTATATTTTCTTTTAATTTTTGTGTGTGAGGTGCAGCTAATTTCATGTGCACAGATACCAGGTGTGACTGATTGTGACGAGAGGAAATTGTGAGCAACCAAAATCTGCATGTACAGCTGAGCCTGCGGGTTACTGCACTTGTCTATTTCCTCCATTTTGCTAGTATACACCGGGTGTTTGTTTTTAATTTAAATAGACTTTTTTTAAATTGGGGGAGGTGACGGTCACTTGGATGTTCACTGCGTGTTTATGTCGATTAACCTCCTAATTAATGGTTTACATTCTCGTGGCACTTTTAAAGGCTAAACCAATTCAAACAATTTGCAAAAGGGCAATGCATTTTTAGGTATTCGTCAACCAGCTTTTGTGTTCTCGTTGCACGATTTCGAAACTGGTTGCAGAGAGAGTGCCGGCCGTCTTGTTCAGGATGATGGGCAGAAGTGTGGTGTGACATAGTCAGTCCTGGAGCCTCGCGACTCCCTCTCCTGCGTGTCCTCGGTGGTTGCGCTGGCAGCACGCTGTTTGAGGTTGTGATGCGGCGTCTTGAAACGAGCGTCACTCTTCTACGCGTCATTTCTGGTAGAGCTCCTGGTGCTTATTCTCCATCAAGTTTCGGAATTGGGCGACAAAATCACGAAAACTGGTCTAGGAATATCTCGAAGCCCGTTGCCTTTTTTTGCAAAAAGCTTGAATCGGTTTAACCTCTAATAGCAGTTGCGATACGACCGACGATAAAACCATTTATTAAAAAATTAACAAACATCTTTTTGTGGCTATTTTTTCATTGAATGACCACTGGGCCAATGAAGGTGCGGTGAAGATGGCATATATTTTTGCAGTAATCCCCATTTTTTTTTTAATAAAATTTTGTAAATTTAAAGCAAACACCCTTTATTTTATTTTTTTTGTGCTTCTTGTGGTGACGTGACCACCAACAGCGAGCATTTTCAAAAGCGGGCAATATCGTCTTCTGTCGCTTGCGCGTCTGCGTGTGAATGTTGGAAGGTTACAATCATTTTGTCGTTTTTACGTGTGTGTGGACGAGTTTGAAAGAGCTTCTGTGTCTGCTGTTTGTTTACATGGATAACATCAAGCCAACTGCTTCCATCAAATAACCTGCATGGGCATTTTGATCTCGTCTTGGGGTCAATTTTCTGTGCACACCTGGCAGTCAACAGGTTTACGTGGCATCTTGATGGCTTCTGTGCTTGGTGTCATCTGGAAACTAATACCTCCTTTCTATGTCCTTCTGTTTCCTCCTCGTTCCTTTCTGTCGAACTACTCTTTTATTCTTTTTTTTAGCTTGGCATTTAAAAAGATGTGCAGTAGAGTCTCATAAAGTGCAACTTGCATAATCAAGATGTTCCGAACAACTGCTGCTTTGCAGATTTTAATTGGGTTGCCTATACAACTGTCATACAAACCCCATCTTCTAACCACTGAAAAATTTAACCCCATCCTTGGAGTTCCACCTTAAAGAGATCCTGCTGCACTATTAGTGGTCATGCATCCCACATTGTCGTAGCTGCAAACTTGTCAAGCAGCTTTGTGTTAAGCGTCATTCGCAATATTTTGTCAATTGCTTTTGTGGCGGCTGACCAAATATTTGTATGTATTCTTTTGTAATGTTGACAAGCTAGGTCACATGTAAGTTATGAGCAGTCACTAGCAATCACGTGGTGAAAGACTCAACACTGAGCACAAAGATAGAGGACAATGCAGAAAGTGTGTGGTCAAGATCTTGGGAAAAAAATTTTACCTGGCCGCATTTTTATGCTTTGATTGCTGCTCTGAGCCTTTATATACTTCAGTCTTGAGTTTTAAATTATGTAAGCACACTTATCAGTCATAGCTCACATCTGAGTATGCTCACAGAAGCAATGTTTAGCATCTCTCTTTTGTCAAATTGTGATTTGGTTCCAAGTGCCCTCAGCTGTGCACTAAAACCCACACTTAAGAAAACCATAACTGAGAGCACTGGACATTTTGGATCTAATAGTATCACTTCATTTTAATTTTGAGTTATTTAGCTCATAGCTGTACAGGTATTGACTGGTGATTTAGAGACGCTCTAAATCACTCTATTGGAGAAATATGTTGTTCCAGCATCCACAGTTAGTGTTTCATCTTTCCTATGGCTTTGATGTTTTTGTGGTCATTGATTAAATATATTTGGCATTTCTATTGCTTCAAAAAGGATCATAGGCCCGGACTAGGGCTGGGGTTTGGAAAACTCCATTTCCACAATAAAGTTTACTCTCTCTCAAAAAGGATTGTATTCTCCACCACCCAGTGATTTTTTGGATACACCGCCAGCAAAGTACCTCCCAGGGCCATTGAAGTTCTCTTATAACTTTGCCTAAGATAAGCTTTTCTGCAGAAATATACCCAAACTGTATCTAGATACTCATCGAAAAATGTGTTTAGCTACAGATAGACACTTTAAATAGGCATGCTTTCTATTTTGCACATCCTGAAAAAAAATGCATGTATAAATCTACTTCCTGCAGAACATGTAATAATAAATGCACTTAAAAAAAATTATTCCTCTGTTAGGAGTTGGCTAATGGTATCAATGTGCTGAGCTTCTTCTGAAGATTGCTAGGCCCTCCACTTGTTTATTGGGAAAAAATATAGATGGGCAGTTTCTGTTTTTCCAGATTGCAGCATACCTCTTTCTAGTTTATTAGAGAATAGTACTAACCAATTATTTGATGACAGTTATTGTATTTCTTTTGTACCAGTTCAGTTTTTGAATGGGAAATAAGAAAATGGTAATGGTACAGATTGCACTGCCAAACTTGGGAATATATAATATGTCTTGCCCCTAAATTTTGTTGGGAAGCTTTTGTCCGATTAAAGTGATCACATCTCATAGCTGAAAAGCCGAGTGCCAGATGTAGGCCCACAGACATTGTTAATCACCTTCAGATTGAGTTTACCAATAATGCAGCCAGTTAAGCCCCAGGGGTGGAACGGCTGCGCCATTTGCGCCATTTCGCGCCAAACGCATTTGTCTGCGCCATCCTGCGCCATTTCACGGAAACTGCGCCACCTTGCGCCATTGTGCACCAAATCGCACAACGTGCGCCAAAAAAAAAAAAAGTATTTTGTCTTGGTTTCGGTTTTTATCGACTCGATTGGCAACGATTAGCGCGTTTAGCTTGGTCGGCCTTGCAATCCTATGTTCTGTTTATTCTCCCTGTGTATCCGTAGTCGGAAGCGCGCGAAAAAAACTCGGGGATCGGATTCGAAGTGCTACACCTGCGACTGGATTGTTATTCTTCTACCATAAGCGGTTAAGCAAGTCGGCCGAGGTGAGGTCGAGTCGTTAAGCGTGAGATTGCCTGAGGCTCTGCGGCCCGGGATCCGTACGCCAGCCAGTTGAAAACAAATGAGCAAAAGATTCCTTTTAGTACTTCATCGTTAGAAGTTGGAACCGTATTCCTGCAAGATAAATTGTGATTTGATAGGACTGAAACGCGGTCCGATCCGAAACCTTGCCGGCCAGCAGCTCTTAAGCGAGTGGTAGGTCTACTCCTGCTTATCGCTTTGAATACGATAACTCCGTTAATTGTAGTCTGCTGCTTCGGTATTGAGTTGCACAGTAGGATAAACTCGAAATTTGTTTCCCTGTTCCTCCACGCAACTGCACGTCCGTTGCTTTCGCACGTCAAGAGGTTCGCACATATAATTACTATGTCGAGCACGTGTGGGTTGTGCGATAAGCAGTGCTGATTTGCATTTTGAGCAGCTGAAAGCCACTCAGAGAATATCAAGGACACCATCTTCAGAAACATATGGTAGTTGCTTTTTAATTCTCATTAAGGCTCACAAAGTTGTAAGTTTTCGCATCTGTTACACTGTTATCCAATCTACCTAGGTCCCTAACCACTCATGTTCATCTGTGCTGCTAAGCAGAATTGAAATTGCTCCCTTGCTCGTCTAAGACACAAGCTGAAGTGCAATGGAAACTGATCTGAGCTGCTCCTATAATGCCCCAGAATGTAGTTTTAGCTGCTCCCAACCTGCTCCAAAACAGCGGTTTCAGGCGCTCCCGTGGCTGCTCCCAAATACATTTCATGAGTTCCACCCCTGAGCCCTCATCATGCCATTTTCAGATATGAGTAACAAACATAAATCTCCAGCACCATGCTTTATATTCTATTATGTTGTGCCAGATTACACACAATAGTCGTTCATGGACACAGAAATAAAAAGATAATGATAATGATAATTGAGTCAAGAAATAGCTCGAGCCATTCTTTGTATTACTCCAGTGAGAGACAGATAGATTAGAGATGATGGAAAGACGAAGAGGTTAACACTCATTTTTCATTATTCGTAATATTTTTCTCTTTCACACACTCTCTTTGGAGTCAGAAATATTGCTGGGGCACTAAACGTGATCTTAAATTAACTTTAGCTTTCCAGCATGCCACTATTGCCATTGCTGAGGGTTGCTATGATCTTTTTTGTTAATGCCCCTTCCCGGCAAAAAATGCTCATGTACGAATGCAAAACCTAAGTCTACAGCAGAGGCACTGCCCTCCCTATCCCTGTCATTTCTCATACACCAAGGCTCTCTCTCACTCCCTCTCACCCCCACCCTTTCTCCCCTGCGGGCCTCTGCTGTTCCGAAAAACCCACGTGATCATGGGGAGAGCACCCTTCGCCTCCCCATCTTTCCTGCTACATCCACATACCTTCCGGTGACATCCCCCCTCCCCCACCCCTCTGGCAGCAGCCGTTGCGAAATGCCCACATGGTCGCGCTGTGCGGACATGCTCTCTCTCCTCCCCACTGCCGCTGCCTAGGTTCCATTCTCGTGTCTCTGCGCCTCTGCAAAACAGTTTGCACACATACTTCCACTTCTTCCTCCACAAACGTGGGAACGGGCGCCGCCATTTTGAAAAGGCGTTTGAGCAAAAAAGAAATAAACATGTCTCTGGGTCCTTCTCCAACACATGCAACATCTCCCACAATCGCTCCACCAATCACATATCTCCTTACGCATGTCTCCTACATCAATGCCACATAAAGCAAAGAATCCATTGCAAACATTGTACAGTACACTGGCTGAAGGCGAATCTCTTTTAATGTGCCTTTCCACAATGCAGCAGCTACCACTGTCAATTGCAGCACACTGTGTGGTTGTTTGCAATTTTTTGTACTTAATCAGGCGGGAAAAGCACTGGGGAGTCGCCACCTGTCGCTCATATCACTGCTTGCTTCGAAGGTTCCCGGCTGACTTTTTGTTTGCCGTCACGTGTGCGCTTGTGTAGGCACACAGCGCAGACCAACACGCGTCTGCTGAATGTGCTGTCTGACCTGGTGAAGACCTATGTGGACACAGAGCAGGACATCCAGGATGCACTGGCACAGCTGGGGCTATCCCGGGTGGACTCTCCCGACTCTACTGCTGTGCTCGACGAAGACTACTCCAGCCTCGGCGGTGAGGCTCAGCGTCTTTGGACGTCCTTGAATATCCTTTTAAGACTGATAAATGCACCCATAGACACTTTTGAAAATGAAAACAGCAGCAGCAGCGGCTCTAGTTGTCAGACGTTCATGAAAGGGACCTTCAGTAATTCCTTGGGTGGCCACTAAGTGTAGCACTTGTCTGATTCAGTTAGTGCTGACTTGACATTATTTTTTGTGGATGTCTTCGAGTGAGGGTGTCTTGTCCAACTTGATTGGAATCGCACAACCTTGCTCTTAAAGGGGTCATGAAACGCTTTTCCAACTTTTTTCTGTTTAGCTTTCCTCCTCAACTCATAAATCGCACATTCCACCAAACAGTTAAAGAAGACGAAAAGAAGGGAGGCCCCCCTCGCTCGGAATCTGGTTTGTGTAACCGGACAGGGCCATTGTCCCCCTAGAAGATTAGCCCGTCGCTCAAAACTCAGACAAAAGTGTTTTCCCTACCCCGTTCATTCCGAAGCTGACAATGCTGTTGAAGCTACGTGCTCGTTGGGCCAGTTACACTTGCTACGTAAGCGTGGCAAATGTGGCTGCAGAGAATGAAGTCAGGTGATGAAAGGGAGGCGGCTGATTGGTCGGGCAAGCGCGTAGCTTCTAGCACAATGTCAGCTTAGGGGTGAAGAGAATAAGTGAGGTCCGGTTGCGTGTGACGTCAGTTTGGACCCGATGATGCGCTTTTGGGACCGCGGATGTATCACAGTGAAAAGGCAGAGAGGTTGCGAAGGGGAGGAGGTACGAAATAGTCCGCTCTGTTTTCAAATTTTCGCACTGAAAGTCAGGCTTTTGACTTTCTACCTTTTCTTCTTTTGGTCCACTGAACGATGTGCTATTAGTAAAATCCCAATCTAAAATGATTTATCCCAACCCAAAAATTGTTTCATGGGCCCTTTAACAGCCTGAAGAGGGTCCAAATGATGTTACCTGTCCTTGTGCTGAGAAGGCTGGAAATAACGTATGGCGCTATCTACCGTATTTACTCGCATAAGGAATGCACCCCCCACAACAAGCATCAATATTTTTACTTCTTTTTTTTTTTGCGTAATGAACACGCTTTTAATTTTCGGCTCCGCGAGTCTTGAGCTGCGTCCAACTTAGCTAACCGGCTGGCCACCAAACCCACCAAGCCAATTTTCTTTTGCCGCCAAGCGGCCAGGCCAAGTCAAGCCAAGCCATGCCGCTCTCGTAATGGCTGCAGTTGTATGGTTGCGGAAGTGATCAACCGTGAAATCGAGCGGCGTGCACGCCTAGCGAAGCTGGGGTTGAGGAATTGCCCAGCCTCAGACGTGCTTCGTCCATCGGATGCATTGATGTCAACAAACACGCCGTCGTCTGTGATTCACCTTCGGACAGTGATATTGTGAAAGTGGTTATGCCTAAGAACAATCACATCGCTCTCCGTGCTGAGTGAGCTTCGTAGGGCGCTTTTTCTTCGGCAAAAGGCACACCAAAAGCACCCTAAAAAAAAAGGTTTGTAATTTATAGAGCATGGGTGCGCCTCCATCAGTGGAGACGTGCCATAATACCCTGCCATGTCATATTGGCACCTAAAATGACATTTGCGCAAAGTGTGTAAATGCATAAGAATTTTACCCCATGTAACGAACGCACCCTCGAAATATGTGTTAATTTTTGGGGTCAAAAAGTGTGTTCATTATGCAAGTAAATATGGTAAATCAATCTTTGGCTAATTTTGCTTGAAAGCACTTCAGAACTGGAAGGTGTTTCCCCAGATGGGAAGTGTGAAGACAGATGACTTTCTGGATGCCACCACACAACGAGAGTTGGGCCTCCACATAGCCCATGCAGAGCTGGTATATTCCGTTCGCTGAAGTCTTCGTCGCCTGTGGCCTCTCCGCTCGTTCCCCAGCCGTGAGCAGCCAGACCCACGGGTCCAAGGAGGACTTTGCTGAGGGCTTCCTGTCGGAGCTGTGCGAGGACGGCCCAGATCTGACCCCCCGGACGTGGGACATGTTTGCCTCGGCCATCGGGATGCAGGAGACAGCAGAGATGGAGGGGGAGGACGTCGTGCTGGGTAACGCTCATTGCGGTCTCTCTTGCCATCTCCAGTTGGGGGTTGTCAGTTGTAGTTTAGAATGCTGTGTACAGTGTTTGAGCCTTCCTTTTAATGCAGAGTTTCTGTTAAAGATAAAGCATTAGAGAATTGTGTCTTACAAAAATAGGTGCATACTTGTGCATCAATTCAATGTAACATCATGGGCAGAATGTACATTCGTGACGTTACGGTATCAGATGGTGTTACATGCCTTAACTTCACATGGTCATGTGACCACATGACTCATAGTTGCATCCAACGTGTCCCACAGTTGCACCAGATGTGCCCCATAGTCATTATATTTTCCGTCTAAAAACATTCTGTGTACAATGATTTTGGCAGGTGTGACTAAAGTATTTTTTTCTGTGTTGGCAGTTAACTCTACACACACTAGGAACTTTTGCAAAATAAATGGTAGCTGGCCATGCCCTTGTCAATTGACACACCTGGACATCTGTAGTCACAAATTTATTTAGACCTTGCAGACGTGTCTGGAGTTGGCATAATGATGTGAGAACGAGCAGAAATGATGAAGTTACCTGCTGCTTTTCTCAAGACTCGTGGTTCCCGCGAGCATGTGTGGCTTTCGTGAAGAGACGGTTGTGCATCGCCGTGCGTGGTGGTATGCAGGGGCGAGCCGCCGCCTGCGCACGGCCGTAGACCGCGTGCTGAAGTTGCTGGGGGAGGTGGCGGAGCACCGGGGGGAGGACTTCCGCAGCCTGGTGCAACGCAACAGAGACCTCTGCCAGGAGCTTCGGCAGGAGAGCCAGCTGCACAACCAGCTTTGCATGGACCTCATCAATGCACAGGGTTGGCCCCTCTTCTCCTCTTTGTGTTTGAACATACAGGCTACTGCAGTCATACTGCCACCATAGACTGTGACAATCGGCGTATTTTGCATTCGATTTTGGTCCCAAAGGACAGCAAGAGCTTTCTTGGCTGCTGATCGGACATGGCAGTACAGCTTCCTGCTGGATAGATGTTATCAACCAATGAAAAACTTTTTACCCGTTCACGATTGGGCAGTATTTTGCCGAAAACTTCTCACTTTCACACGAATGGCCAGAGAGTACTCACAGCCTCTGATGTGCTTGTCCTTGGTGCTCCTTCATGCACAAGTCACCGTCAGCTTTTGAGCAGCAGCAGAACAACTAGGGATTTGCAAGAGAAAGCACCAGTTGACGATCGCTTCTAACGTGAAATCGTGAAACGGCAGATTATCACAATTTCAGACCACATTCTATTCACTCTTTCATGGCACTTGGTTCAAAGCAGAGAATCTTTTCTTTGTTTGTTTGTTAGCAGGAGACGTACGGTGTTTTTTCATTTCATTTCTATCTGTGAATGACACCTTGTAGCAGACAAACCCTATCCTTCTCTCGCGTTCACAGATAAACATTCTGTGAACGACATCTTGGCTCTCTCCGTGAGAGGCAGACGAGATGCTGAGGTGACCGACAGAGCTTTGGCATGCCCTCTGTGCAGGGACGGTGCGCAGCCTTGAGCTTGAGAAGCAGAAGCTGGAGGAGACGGTGTTTGCGCTGGAAGAGAGCAGGACCCAGCTGGAGCGGGAGCTGAGGTTTGCCAAGGCCAAGGTCCAGCGGCTGGAGGACGCCCAGGACGACCTGGCCGAGGAGCGGCTGCTGCTCAGGGAGCAGCGCAGCCTCCTCCAGGAAGGCCTGCAGGAGCCACAGCTCAGTGAGTGCAGCCTGCCTTCTCTGCTCTGTGCTGGCTCGCCGGTCCCTCGCTCTTTCTTTTTAGGGCCAGCTCTTAGACATTTCGTGTGCTCAGGCATAGCCTCAGTGATGTCACGTGACACTGCGACGTTGTCCCAAAGGCTCTCTGATGATGTATTCGCACCACATACCTTTATCTCCAGATAAAACCTAGTATGTCGTAGGTCTGCAAGAAGGAAATGCCGTAAGGAGAAGCTGATGCAGAAAATCCGAGTGAGCATTCACGCATAGCTGAGTCGGCGGCGTCTTTCTTTTCGTGAATGTGTTGGCGACCTTCGGGGGCTCGTCAAGCAAAAAGCAGAGAAAGAGGAAACAGAAATCATGAGGCATTCCACTCTGTTAAGGTAAATGACCAGCGAAGCTGTTTAGCACACGACACAGACGTGACACAGAATTTTGAACAAATGTACGAACACGTTTATTGTCTTGATCGGTGGTCATCATGACAAAAGGATAAGCGCACACATTTATTTTTGTCTTGAACAGTGGTCATTACTATTTTTCTTCATTAGTAGGTCAATATTTGTATTGATCGTTGGATTATTTGGTTGTGATGGTGACTATGGCCTTGTGGTTGCTATGTTTACACTGATCGGCTCAGATACAACCTTGGACACATTCTTAGCCAGAGTCAAATCCATGCACCACCAGTGGTGAGTGGTGGAGTTTGTGCAATTTGTGTGGCACATGAAACCTCAGCACTCCAACACAAGGAGAAGTGAAAAAGGAGAATGCAGGGAATGGTGCTCCGCACGCCGTACGTGCCGGTGTCTGCAGCAGTAACTGTTCTTAAGCAAAAGCCTAAAACAAGGCATCTTGCAAGCGCATTTGTCAATGCTTTATTTTGGTTATTTACTTCAAATCTTTTATACGTGGAAGGCGTGTGCGTGCGGCGGTGCGAGTGTAGAGTTTTTGGTCACGCACAAGAAACATACACAAAACCCTAGCCATGAGCAGTTCGCTGTAAAAAGCACTCCACAGCCCAATGGCTCAATTCTGCTGGCTGAAATCCTTCCCCCACAAGGAGAGGGAGCAGTCACTCTGACGGGACGACGGGCATTTTGCAGGCGGGTCACAATTTATTCGCCACTCCCTGTGGGATTGGGGGATTAGCGAACATCTTCAACGCAGCGCGCAGGACCTCAAAACTCTGTGACGTTTAATCCCCTTTAAAATAAAAAGAATAGAAACAAAAGGACATTTACGCCAACCTCACTCTTTCAAGTGTAGTTGTCTGTGAACATCCTCCTGGTTTTTATTTTTTACAGCAGAGCTGTTAAGGGCTAGTTTCCCCAGTTTCGTATCCGTCACCAAATAAATGTTGACACAAAACTCTGGACAGCTACCACCATCTATGAGTGACGGCGGCAACCAGGGAACCGGCTTGCCCGACGGCGGCAACCAGCCGTCGCTCATAGATGGCGTCAACCTTTCCAGCCTTTCCACTCCAATTTTCACCAGAGTGTAAAGGCTGAATTTCTCTAGGTGTCGTCCTTGAGGTCGTCCGACCAGTTGTCCTCTAGGTCGTCCTAGAAGTCATCCTTGAGGTCGTCCTAGATGTTGTCCTCGAGGTCATTCTTGAGGTTGTCCTCGAGGTCATCCTAGGCGTCGTCCTCGAGGTCATGCAAGAAGTCGTCCTTGAGGTCGTTCTAGACGTTGTCCAAGAGGTCGTCCTTGAGGTCGTCCCACCTTAGTACAGCTTCGCTGGTCTTCCTTCTTTACCGGAGTGGAAAGGCTGAAAGTTTTTTCTATTTTAAGTATTCATAATCGCGATGCAGTCGCTTTAACCAGTCCAATTAGTAATCCCCTCCTCGGAGAAAAACTTCATCGCCAAAATACATCATAATGCGTAGCATTTACAGGTTTTCTGTGATGTCTCATTGCATTGTGATGTCATGTCACATGACGTTGGGTGACACCATCATGTGACATTGTCATGTCACGTTATGTGATACTGTGACGGTTTCCTTACTGTGCCTGCAAAAAGAGGTATGCAAAGAGGCCGTATAATTGCTAGGAGATGCCGAGGGGACATCCAATATTTAAATTCTGGTTGTCATTTGGCTTGGTCACAGGGATCGCTGGCATCCCGGACAAGAATGTTTTTCTCCGAGTGCGACAGTTGGAAGTCTGTACGCTCCTTTCGGGTGTCATTGGCGCTAAATTCCTCTGAACGTTTTTGCTTCATACATTTAGCAGTGTAATATTATACTTGCACAGATGTCTTGGCCTCACTGCTCTTTGTTCCGAATGAGGAAATGCACAAATGTCGCTTCTTTTATTTTTCAAGAAGGGCCATGTTTATCTTGACGTGGAACAGACATGAAAGTTTGGTTCTGTTATTGACTTCATTACTGCTTTCAGTACCCTTTGGAGCATGTTTTGATTTGCTTCAGACTAAAGAAGCACTTGAGAAATAACAGAGACATTTACGGATTATCTTTCTTTACTCGTCTTTCAGTGATAGTACCTTGTCATTGTTTCAGATCTCGCGCGAGCAGTCTATTTTATGATGTGGGTTCTAGGCATCTCTTTATATACAATAGATGTACTGGGATTAGCATTTTGTTGGAAACCATTTGGATGTCTCGTATCTCCCTACTTAATCCCTTCTCTTCTCTCCTTCTCTGGGCCCTAAGCTCCCCGCCCTTCTTCCGAGCAAGCACCGTCCGACGCGCCTGAAGGTTGGTGCGACTAAGAGCAGACTGCCGCTGCACGGCGTTGGGTGCCTTGTGCGTCTCCTGCGTTTGCGTGCACCTAACAGCTGTTTGCCATGCTGCGGGATTGCTTTGTTTTCACTAACCCTGTGTGTGTGGTGACTGACCGAAATAACATTTCGGTCAGTTCTGCTTCTTTGGGAACTTGCTTTGGTTTAGGTACGAAGTCTGTTTTCTGAGGATGTCGTCTGCCGTGCAAGTTATGCAACATAAACTGCACAAACAGCCTGGCTGTGCAAAGTTTAGCTCGTGCTGTGCTCATCTTTTAGAACAATGTCCTGTGGGCACTTGCCTTGCTAGGTAATTGTAGTGCCTATGCGCTTTTCGGGCTGGTGTATATTTGGCATTGTTGCATGGCTTTCACTTGCTGGAAGCATCTGAACTAGAATGCATATGACTAGATTATCAGAATTTGAATGTTACTGAACACATTCTGTTTCCTCGATCCTAACACACACTACTGTATTTACTCGCATAATGAACGCATCCCCCACAACAGGTGCCAATATTTTTACTTTTTTTTCTCTTTGGTAATGAACGCACCTCCAATTTTCGGCTCCGTGAGTCTCGAATTGAGTCCACCCCACCAAGCCAATTTTCTTTTGCCGCCAAGCGGTCAGGCCAAGTTAAGCCAAGGCAAGCCACTCTCGTAATGGCTGCAAGTGCTTTGTTGCAGAAGTGATCAACCGTGAAACCGAGCGGCGCTTACACTTAACACAGCTTGGGTTGAGGAATTGCCCAGCCCCGGACATTCTTTGCCTATCGGATGCATTGCTGTCAACAAACAAGCCAACGTCTGTGGTCCGCTTTCGGACAGTGAAATCGTGAAAGTGGTTAGGCCTAAGAACGGTCACGTCGCTCTCCGTGCTGAGTGATCTTCGTAGGGCGCTTTTCCTTCGGCAAAAGGAACTCCAAAAGCGCCCAGGTTCACGATTTATAAAGCAGGGTCACTGTCGCGCGCCCCCAACCAGTTGTGGGTGCACCTCCATCGGTGGAGACGTGCCACAGTACTTGCCGCAGTCGGGAAAAAAAGTGTGTTCATTATGCGAGCAAATACGGTATTTGAAAAAAAAATCACGGACTTCTGCAATCCTGCAATTCGGGCTGAGAGCAAATCATTGAAACCCTTGGGTAGAACTTATGAAAAAATGTAGCCCAAAAGTTTAATAGAAATAACAGAGAAGACAGGGGCAAGCTGGTAAACTTTAAGTGTCTTGAAAACAGGAGGCCTGTGTGTGTGTCCCCCTTTTTATCCTCGGTTTCGGGTTTTCAAGGTGACCACAGAAGCTTGTCGCAAATTTACAACCTGCGCTGAACTTTGTACATTGCAATGTCATGATCAGTCCTGCAGCATGGGTGTGGAGACCTAATTGCTGCTCATCATTTCTTGACCTCTTTTATAGATTGCAGTGGTTGGATGTTCACATGCCCTTTGGGAAAGTAAATGCACAGGACTTGCATATATGAACCGTGCATTAGAACCGAGGAGAGACAATATTCGATGACAGGATTGACGAATTAACCTGGGCATGTCATTGTGAGCATTTATATAACGCTAACTTTGTAAAGTTTGCAGCCACTGTCTTGCTCTCTCGCAGTAAGGCATGGTGGTTGCTGCACAGGATGCCAAAACTAATAGCTGCAAACGCTTAAAAATGTGATTAATCAGAAGGTACAGTGAAACCCGTGTAGAACGAACCCGCGTGCAGCAAATTATCGTCGATATCGAACTCACGCAAAATTTAAATAAAAATCCACCTAAAAAGGACTTTTTATAACAAACAACACATTGGCTATATCAAACATTTTCCCCCGGGAAGGCTTCCAAAAACGTGCAAACAATCGTCTTCTAGCCTGTCCCTTACCCCCCAAAAAAAGGTAAAGAGAGAAAGAAAATTCCAAAAGCTCAAACTGTAAACAAAATTGAGCGAAGAGAAGCGATTCAGAAGGAGAGAAAGCTAGAAAAAACGCTGCGCACGCACGCACAGAAAAAATAAAAAGCTTTTCATCCCAAAGCGATTGCCCACAAAGAGAAGCGATTCAGTAGGGGAGATAAGCGAAAAAAAAATCTGTCTGCATGCAATGAAGAAAAAAAAAAAAAAAAAAAATTCCAGCGCGTTGTTACAAAACGGAAGCGAAGAGATGAAAAAGAAAGAGAAGCTCTCGCCTTACAACGAACGCATCGTGGTAGTTCGTTGTAAATGATTTTTGCTATATCGAACTGCTATATCGAACTGATCGTAGCGTTTCCTGCTGTTCGTTATAAACGGGTTTGACTGTACTGCAGAACCCTTCTTGAGTTATGGGCAGCTCTATCAGATAATGTGTTATTGCTGTCATTTTGGTATCTCTCAGCTCAGAATCGAAGTTATAATTCCTGAGCACTAACCCTATTTAAATAACTCTAAAAACCCCTCCCTTTTTTTTTGTGATGGTTTTTAAAAAGGAAGGTGCTTAGAAGCAGGCCTACATTTTAAGCAGGCCTACATTTTTGCTACACCCCTTGTTTTTTTTAGTGAATCTTTTCTTGCTGAATCTTCTCTTAATGTGAAATACCAAACAAGTGCCCACCCAAAAGTTGGAGGTAATCATTAAAAAGAAAATAGAGGTGGGTGCTTGTTAGGTGCAAGGGCAGAAGAGCAGAAAAGGCACACGGTAGTGTAGGGGTTTGCTGGGTCCTTGTTAGACCCCACACAACAGTATAGTAGAAGTATTGACCCAGTAAGTGATGACATCACAACATGGCGCTGTTCTCCAAACAAACCGTCGCTAATGCCGTTGCCATGGACAAATACCCAGTGGCTCGACTAGAGGTTAATTAGAAGTTGTCTGATAAGAAAGTGTGTAATATTTTGTAAGCATTTTGTCTTCTCAATATCTGCAGTAGACTCTCAATAATTAAAGCTTCAGGAAGCCACGAATTTTGTTTGAATTATCTGAAATTCATCTAAGTATGATGCAGGAAGAAATTATGATTTGCCATATAAATGGCTATACATACAAAGCAGATATTTGATGATTTCCTCTACATAGGCCTACTAATTATAAGCAGGTATGCCATTTATGAAATCTTTGTGAAATGTATGACAGGTTTATTTATCCCTCAAATATGTTGTTTATCGTGGACTGTTTAGACAGCGCATGACAACTGAAAACAAAATTTTGTTCATCAGGCCAAGAAGTTGTCTAATGTGAACTATTAAGCAGGGGACATATGGACAATGAAAATGGGTACCTTGCGGCAGTTTTCATAGCAAGTTGTGCGGACCCTGTGACGTGGACCTATGCTATACCGCTATGTCACAGTGTCCTCGCAAGTTGCTATAGAAATTCCCGTGTGATGCCCGTTTTCGTAGCTCATGGTGCCCTGCTTGTCCCCAGATGAGTGAGCTTCTCACCGAGCACCGCTGCGCTGCGGAGAAGTAACACCCGCGGAAGCAAGCTCTACAGGTGTTGCTTCTCTGCAGTTCACCGGTGCTCGAAAAGAAGCGCACTCAACGGGGCCGAGAAACAAAAAGTTTGAATTACACAAAAACGCCGGTCGAATTAAGCGGCTTGTGAATACATTAAAAACATAGCGGGACAACCATCATTTGCAAATTTGTGTGAATTAACCAGAAGTATGAAATATCCTAGTGAATTATTGCGAGCCTACTGTAGTCATGAAGACTTTTTCTATTGTCTCAGTGCCATAATGCAATGATAAAAGCCGATAATAAAATTTCCCAACTGGTTTTTCTTTGCTAGCAGGCAACTCCATGGCTTCGCAGGTTCAGTGGTTCTTTCTGAGGGAGTTTGCGACTTGTTAATTGGTGATGAGTGACGACACTTCTATTGTTGGGGTCGACTTTGGGTGGCACTTTGAAAGCGAAGAGTCCCCTTGCACAGCTTTGATAAATGCTCGAGCTGCGCGAGCACGCGAACGGCTGCCCGTGGAAGCTTGCGCAATATTTGAAAAGGACGAAAACACTGAAGCCGAATGGCGTATATGACAATCACGAATTTTATCAACGTCAAAGTGCAGGCCAGCAGACGTTTCAACAAGTTCTGATGGCATCGAAGTTGCTTCAGTGCATATTCATGTGATCAAACAAACTCTCCGTAACAAATGTATAACTTACCTGATGTTTTTACCCAGTTCTCGCTTTGGAATCTTACTGAAAACGGAAGAATTAGCAGGATTCTTTCTCAGTGTGATGGTTACAAGCAGGAATGAAACGCACAACCATAGTGCGAGCCTGAAAAACAAAGTTTGGAGTCGCCAACCAATATATTCAATCAAAATAATTTCTTCTTCATTACAATGCATGTCAACTGGAAAGTAAAAATGAGGGCCTGACACCGCTTTGATATCATGTACTAAACAGGTGCTTCTCTCGCTGAATTCTTAGAAGATCTCCATTCATGTGATGATTTTCGTCAGACAGTATCCGTATCTCACGCAAATACAATTAGTTTTTATAAACCCGTTGAGTTTTCTTAGACCTACCATGTTCCCAATATATACATGAAAATCGTATCATTATGCAAACGATTCAAACTTGTATATGGCATACCTCAGTCATTCTGTATGCATTCGTCTGCAGCAGGCATCTCAAGACATCTCGAGGACCGAAAGTTGCCGTCGTAAATATTTTAGAAACAGCCGATATTCTGCAAACTTCTGTCGTGGTTTGTGTGAAATCTAGGCTTCAATCTTAGACATTTAAACTCCACGTTCGATGTTTGAACGATGGTTCTTTCGAAACAAAATCCAGTCTTATATACTCGTTCATTGCAACGCCCCTAGCAACGGTTTGTTTGGAGCAGTGATGTCACAATTACGGGTCAATAGCGGTCTGGCGAAACCCTTACCTTTTAAAAAAACTGTGCTGCTTTCGTGAAGCCTGCCTTGCACCGGCGCTTTCGCATCAAGCTTCACAACATCACACCGGCTTATCGGGAAATCAGCGGACGCATAAAAGTGCCTCGATTAGCTCGGAAGTTTGCAGGGGTTGGCACATATCACGTCCTTCGGGCGCTCATTGCAATACGGGCTCACGGTCAGTATTTTGCGGTATTTCTTGAGCTGTAGTTATCACATTTTAGCTCTTTTTTATGCCTAACGAGGTTGACGTGTTGCGGTGTCTTATTGGTGACTAACAAAAGCGTGTCTCGTTCCCCCTATCGTGCGTAAGGACCCGAAAAGACGTCGTGTGATTGAACGGGCGTTTGGTCACGTGTGTTTTCAGGACTCTTAGAGGAGCACACACGGCTGAGTGAAGAGAAGCGGCAGTTGCAGCGCAGCCAGGACCAAGAGAAGCAGGGGCTGCTGTGCCGCGTCGGGGAGCTGGAGGCAGCCCTGGAGGAGGCCTGCCTGCAGCGGGAGGAGGTGCTCGAGATGCGCAGGCAGGAGCTGGCCGACCTCCAGGCGCAGATTGACGCCATGGACAAGCAGCTGCTCTCGCACAAGAAGTTCATTGAGGTGAGGAACCGGAAAGGGCATCAAAATTCCACTCGGGCTTCGCTCGTCTACCGGGAGGGGCACGATTGGGTAGGGGCCCCTCGTGCAGGCACACCCCACAGACTCAAAAATGCATCGACGAAGGAGGACGGTTCCTCGAGCTCCTGTCATGCTGCGCCATCTCGTGACGCTTGTCAGAAATGGGAGCGAACCTTCGACACACTTGCTCCGTGGCAAGGCGGTGCCGTGAAGACACCTCTTTCTTTTTCCATTGCAGCCCAGGCGCTCGGCCCGACCAACATCAGCTACGCTAAAACAAAAGTGCAAATAAAGAATGTATCTATTTTGATCCTACTAATGAAGCCGGTATATGCAGAATGTGTTTTCATGCCATTCTTTAAGGTTTTCGATAGATATTGTGGTTACTTTCTTTCAGGATGTTGGGGGAGGGGGGGTGGGGCAGGCTTATAGCGTGTTATTTTTTTTCCAAACTCAGTCTTTTTTTTATGCAATGGTGGGCACGTCCTGGATTTCTTGTTTCTTCCCGTTCCTCGCAATCCCTCCCTTGCGATGGCTAAAGTATAGTTTACACGAGTTACAACGTACACGCTTCCTGTTTTTGCATGGATTGGTTTTTATTTTTTCAACAGTTTCCCTCTTGGTGCGGCAGCAGAATGTCAAGCTTACGATCTTGGGTTCGTGGGCTTGATTCCCGTCGGGACGCGTTTAGAATTTCATTCTTTCTTATGAATTTACTATTCTTTTGTACAGACATCCCTTTGAAGTATGTTTTGTAACATGGTCCATGGCTTTCTGTCTTGCTTTCCTTGAGGGTCCCAGTCCTTTGAAGCATTCTATGTTAGAAAAAAAACTGAAATAGGTGGATTTGTTTTTCTTACCGCATAATTAAACAGGATTGAAGTGGGACAGTCGGCTGCTTTAGTGCGTGCCTTCTTACACGCATGGATGTAAGAGGCTTGACCCACCCTTTATGATGACGCAATTTTCTCTCTTTTACTTGTATAGAGCCGCACTTAGTGTGTAAGAATTGTTTGTCATATTGTCTCCCACAGTTCTGAGTACTTAACCCGTGTGCATGCGTGTGCCCAAACAGGAGCAGACTCATGAGCGTGAGCAGGAGCGAGAGGAGTCTGCCCAGGAGATCTGCCAGCTGCAGGAGGCCCTCAGGGACAAGGAGAAGATTCAGAACTGCGAGCAGAGGCTCTCAAAGGAGGCAAGTACTCTCAACAGGCGAACTGTTCCTTCTTGTGTTTTATGGATATTTTCAATTTGTACATTGGAGTCAATACAAATGCTCTTGGTACCTTTACTTGGCAGGTAATAGCCAAGTCATATACATATAACCTCTTTGAAAGGAGTTTTTTTGGAGAACAGTGCATGAGACCTTCCCAACTTGGACACTTATTGTGAGCTTCTTGGCTGTCCACCTTCAGCACGTGTTGGAGTGGAGAGACATGCTTGTGCTGACTTTTAAATTTTAAGGCCAAAGATGAAAGCACTTTGTTGACGAAGAGCCAAGATGCTGACCATCATGCAGGGAGAACTATAGTGTTTGCCATGTTTGCTTGAACAGAGGCAGGAGTCTCCTTTCTCACATATCATTTCAAAAAGCCAGTCACTGTGATTTACAAAAGAAAGCTAACAAATGAGAAACCCAGAAAAATTTTTATTATTGAAGTGGGATCTGCTTGGGCATCCCAGGCATGTGAACAGCATTATCAATATTCCAGCACAGGACACTAGTCTTAGGCCTAAACATATTTTCTTCTATTTTACCGTATTTTCGCGCGTATTACCCGTCCCTGCGTATAACCCGCACTCCCAACTTGCTACTCTCAGAAAAAACAAAAAATTTCGACATCTTGTGGACCCTGAGCAGAGGAACGATAAAAAAACGGACAAACACAACAAAATCTCCAAACTACAAGATGTCGATTAATTACCAGCTCGCCTGCACTCCATCACTGCTTACAAAAAAATTCCCCGCATATTATTCACACTCGCCACTCAAAGTAATGTCCAGATCTCGCTAGAAACCATACCTTTATTCTGGATACACTGATTGCTGGCACCTTAAATGTTGCAGATAGCGTCGTCAAAGCAAAGATGGCTACCCACAAAAAGGAGGAGAAGATGGGGACAAGAATGGTCCCTAGGAGAGACCGGAGAAGAGGGACTCTGGGGAATCTATCTCTACGACTTTGCGCACATTGCCGTGAAACCGCACTGTTCGCCCAAATTCGCGTATAACCCACACCCCTAACTTGCCTTTGATATTTCATAAATTTCGATCTGGGTTTTTCACGAGAAAATACAGTTGTTACTGGGTTGCTTCAATGGATAGCATTGATTTGTAAAACCTGTATGTGGACACGTTCTGCATGAGTTACACACACGAGGGGTTGTTTATAAGGAACTCACTTTCTGAACGGATCAATATGGCAAATTACTGGGTAGTAGTGTCTTGCTTGTGAGTTTCTGGAAGACTTGGCTAAACTTTGAACTTCCTTTAGATGACCTCGGGAACCGCAAACAAAGCATACAGCTTTATCACATGTATGTTTGTGTGTCTTCTCCCAGATTGAGTGCCTAGAGCAGCAACTGAAGATGCGGCTGGAAGACCACGCCTTGGTGCAGCGCAAGCGGGATCAGCTGGAGGATGAAGTGCGCTCAAGGGACGACAAGATCCATGACCTCCGAGACATCATCCGAGACCTTGAGTCGGAACTGGCTACCAGGTCGCGTGCAGGGCACGAATTGACTCAGGCAAGGCTCTTCGTCTGCTGAGACAAATTTATTTAGTGCTTTCGGACTACACCGAGTGCAAGACCTGTCTGCCTTTAATTGGAGATCCATAGGGTCTTGCATTGTCTCCCCCATGACTGTGAAACATCATGACATCAGATGAGCCAGTCTATGTGCAGCATAGGCAACATAGAATGATGAAACATGCCTTTGGTGTTGCAAATCAGTTAGATGATGGTACAGTTAATGTTGTCAATCTTACGTTGGCTGTATGTAAAGGCCTCTTTTGAGGCGAAACAAAGAAAAAAAGGAATTCTAGTGGAAAAATCTTTTTTTGTACCCAGAAGGAGGCAGGTCATTGGATTCAGAGCATACTAGAGCCGTGAAGGGTAGCTGAACCTTGTAAGCAGGGGCGGATTTAGAGGGGGGGGTCCGGATGTCCTGACCCCCCTCTTGATTTCTGCATGTGTAAACTTTAGGGCGTGAAACGAGGGAGAGGAGGGGGGGTTCCTAAACATGGTACGCTGGCCAACACCCCCCCCCCCCCCCTCAGGAAATTCCTGCATCCGCCCCTGCTTGTAAGGTCAGTATTTTCAGGAAAAATAGCTAAGCAAAAAGCAAATTAAACATCGAATGTTTATACAGTAAAAAGTTATCTAGGCAAAAAGCAAATTAGGCATTGAATGTCTGGACAGTGAGAAGTCCCTCTGCCTTTGAAAAGTGGCCACTCTGGCTTTCCCTATGGATGAGAAATTTAGCCAGCGCACTACGACAGCTCATCTGGGGTCTTTAATGGGCATCGGGCCAATACTAATTACTAAAGCAGAAGCAAGTGTGCAGGCAAGCTGGTTTGATACTGACATGATAAACCAGGAGCAGAGGAAAAATGGACGAACGAACACAAGGCTTGGTGTTTGTGTTTGCTTTGTGTTTGTCCCATTTTTTCTCTGCTCCTGGGTGACCATGTCGCTAATTACTAGTCATGTGCAAATAGTAGATTTTGAGTTCAAAGCGAATTCGACGCAGATAGTGGTTTTGGTTGAATACTGTAGAGACCAGTTATAACAAAGTCATAGGGAATCGGAAAGCACTTTGCTATATCTGCTATTTCGTTATAACCGACTTCGGTTATAACGAAGTGCAAAATGGAATGGGAAATCCTGATCGCTTGGCTGTAGCCGCTATTTCGTTATAGCCAACTTCGTTATAACCGGTCTCGACAGTATTTTTGAATCAAACATAGAAGAGTTTCCCCAAGCCTTTCACTACTGTTGGTTGTTCCCAAGCTTGCACTTGTCCATTTATAAGCTTATTTTAATCTACCGTGATATCCTGAGTCATCGCCCACCCCCCTGCCTCCTGAAATTCATAAAAAAAGTTGGGTGGGCTATGTCTCGATGGGTAAGCGCAAAAAATTTTGAAAAAACTAAAAAACGGCCTTTTTTTTTTCCGTATTTAGTGCAGCTGCACAAGAGATACATTAAACTCAAAACTCAAATTAGTTTTATTGCTTTATGCAAGAAATGCTCATGAAAGAATGTCTTACTATCGCAAAGTTTGTAGTTTGCATACGCACGATGAACACCACCAATGGGCTTTCAGCGCGATTGTTTGCTTTGTGAAAGCATGTTTCTAACACTGATACATTATCTTTGTTAGTAGTTAAAAAGGAAAAGGTGAGTGAACAGAAAAGTAGAAAATCCAACCAGGCACTACAAGCGAGCGAGCGAGCGGAGGAAAGAAACGACGTAAAGTAATGCTGGTGAAACGGGAAAGCCAGCAATGGCATTGGAAAATTCTTTGGCGTCAACCCAAGTCACGCGCCTTGTCAGTCGCAAGGAGCAGGCTCTTCTGCAACTTGTTTGCTGCGTAGATGCGTACGTCCGTGCGCGGCGTGCTATCAACGCAGATTGAGGTGGCGTTGCTGTGTGGCGTAGACGGCACCACAAACACGGAGCTTGAAATGGGACGCTCTACAAACGTCTGTGTGCAGCGTTCCAGCAAATCTTCATTTACCTGTTGGCTTTGTCTTAATCATCACACAACCTTATCAACCATGGTAGCGACGTTCTGGGAGAAGGGGCGGGTTTGCAGTGGACCTTATTTCGGTGGAGACGGACTTTGACCTTACATTCTGAGATTCCATTTCAGGATACGGGGCATCCGCTGACCTCGCGATCGCTGAATGCTTGTTCTTTCTAACACAAGCTGAATACTGCCTGTGTTATCTTTCCGACTATGCTTTTTTTTTTTCTGTAAGCAAAACAAGGTTTTATTTTGTTATTTCCATTGTTTTCCTTTTGCATGAATATCAGGGAGGAAATGCATAAACAAAGAGAAGTGTCTTTCCCTCCTTCGTTTTACCTTGTCACGGACGTCCTCCAACTGTAATGTCCGTGGCCTCAACATTCGGGTAGGATGAATGTTTGCGGATCGCGGAGTCTGCGTTGGGGCATTTGTAGGGGTGTGCGATCACTTGATGTTATTAGGGGTGAAGCTCCTTAGGGTCTAGCCTTGTCCGTCTGGCGTCCGTGCTCACATCGATTGCACTGCCTCCGGGATCGACCCACTTTTAGAAAAAAAAAAACGTACGCCCGCACGGGGGTTCAAACTCAGGATTGCTTGCTTACGAGGCAGTTGTCTTAACCACTATGCTACACTCCAACGTTGCATGTAGCCACTCAACGTCTATACAGGAGAGCGTGCTGCGGTCAAATGCGTATGTAATCGCGTTAAACTTTGCATGCATTGGCTCAACGTTTATAGACGAGAGGGCACTGCGGTCAAATGCTCAACTGTGTATATAACCATGATCCATACCACACATTCTCTTTCTGACATGGACTGTTGACTTAAGCGGTGGAGATGCATTCCCACGGCTTCTAGTGGATCCAAGCTGTTCCGCTAGAAGAACCACTGGCTCTGCATTTCACCGACGATAAAGCAGTAATAATGAAGTCGAAACGCAACCTGGAACTCAGCACTACCTATGAGCAATAGAACAAAATCAGCACAATCAGCACTACCTATGAACAATAAAATCAGTATCATCAGCACCACCAGAGCTTCGCCCCAATCAACATCACTCACCACAAGGAGATGCGGCCTCTTTTTTTTTTTGTTGACTGTGACCTCAGAAAGTACAATACCTTGGGATGGCAGTAAGTGACGAATTTGACATAACTATAAACTTAAGTATATAGATGCCTAGCTATACCTAATGGAATTGATTTACAAATTTTGCTATATGCAAACATTCTTTCTAGAATCTCGAATATGACCAAAAAAAGAAAAAGCAATCTTGAATAATGAACGCTGGTTGTCGGGCATCTCTGCCTAACACATACTCATATGACATAAGAGCCAGTTTAATTTTGAAAATTTTACTGCAATGTAAATCTCGACATTCACAATTTTTTTATTTTTTTTTTTTATTTTAGTAGATTAGGCGCATGCATGCATGCACCATCTTGCTTTGGAAGTGTGCTTTACTCCGAAGCAGGCAGTTGTGATATTTATACATTTCCAAGCGTCGATCACTGCTGGTTACCTGTTAGGTGCGCTTCTTACCAAGCAGTGGTGCACTGCGGAGGAGCAACACCTGCAGGGCTCGCTTTTGCAGGTGTTGCTTCTCTGCAGTGCTCCCATGCTCGGCAAGAAGCGCACCCATCGGGTTAACATGCTGCAATTAACACTTAGAAAATTGAATATCACAGTTTACCTCAAAGTGGTAGCAGTACTATTCGAAATTTTGAATATTCGCACACCACTAATAATTACACGACTGAGCACCCGTACAATTCTTTGCTTCACTCTATCAATATCTTTACTATGCAGCAGCTGTTACTACTGAGAGTATCTTGCTCTACTGTGTTTCTTTTTTACACATTTGCCTTTCTCTGAGGTTACATATATACTGTTTCTTGCGTAATGTACAATGCGGTCAATGCTGTCAAAGTGATTCATCTTCTCACATTCTCTCGTGCGACTCAGACGCTAGATGAAGGCAGACGCTTGCACCAGGAGCTTTCGCAGCATTGTACACTAAGTATGAAATATAGTGCAAGCACACCCATCTAACGAGAGCTTGGTTCTTGCTTCGACGTGCAGAAGGTGTCCAGCCTGCAGGAGGCACTAGCCGAAGCGGAAAGAGCGCAGGCTGCTACCCAGTCCGAGCTGGAACGGATGAAGGGAGGCAGCCTGGCCCACCCCGACCTACACCGCCACGTGCAGCAGCTCGAAGAGCAGCTCGAGTCCCGCTCTCTGGAGCTCGAGAAGATGGCCCAGTTCCAGTCCCTGCTGCTGGAGTTCAGGACACAGGTGAGTGCACCCAGGTCTCCCACGTTGTGGTGCCACTGTGGTGGAGTGAAAACTTAAGCCTACTTTAGAGATTTGCATGCAAGTGCAGCTGACCGAATACTCCTTGCGTATCACTGCGACACATTGCATGGGCCTTGGTTGCCGTGGCAATCATCCCGTCGTAAGCGGTCACGAGCGTTTGTAACGTGCGGCAGTGGTGTAAGTCGACTTGTGTTGCTTCCTATAGTTACGGTGCAGATCAGTTTTTATGGGCCATTATTATATTTTAGGTATCCATTCCGGGAAAGTTGAGTAGAAGCGTCGATCTGGAACACATGATGTATTAAGGGAGAGCTTTGAAAGCTACATTTTTGAGCTTCTACCACTAATACGCACAGCTCCTCAAATGGTGTCATCCTTTTGTGACATGCTTTGACAGTGTATGTGGTAAGTTGTGATGAAAACCTCAAACACCTTGCACTTTCTTGTGGATTTTATATCTCGATGCCCGATTGATATGTTTCATTAGATTTTCCTTGGACTGAAATACACTTCGTTTCCCCTTGCGATAAATTGCAGCGAACACTAAGGGCCGTCTGAGCTAATCCAGTGCCATTCGAGTGTCGGTGACCTTTTGTAGTGGTGCAGCAATGCTTGGGGCTCCATGTCTGGTGATACGCTCAAAGGAACGCTGGACTGGTTGGGACGGCTTGTAGCTTGCACTGCGGTCCAGTGCGTAAGGTGAAACAGAGTATGTAGTCTCCAGGCACGAATAACGAGTTCCGGATCGGAGAAAAAGGCCAGCAGATCGAGATGAAAAGGCGGACCATCGCCGCCACTGAAGCGCATTGCCAGCTACAGTGTGGGCATGTGGCTGGCAGGTGCGCTCCCTGGAAGACAAGGTCCAGAGCAAGATCGCGCAGCACCAGGACCTGCACGTCTCCCAGCGTAAATTCCTGGAGGCCCCTGGCCCCCTGCTGGGGCCCGGCCGGGACGGGGCCCTGTTGGGCACCAGCGAGGAAGGGGAGGGCCCCAGGCCCCTGTCGGCAGACGACATCCGGGACCTGTCCCCCAGCGCCCTCCAGTGGCAGGAGCTGAGGGGTTTGGAGGAAAAGGTGGACACCCTGTCAAGGGCGGCAGAGGAGCTCTTCCGCGAGCGGAACAGCCTCCGCGACCAGCTCAGGGCAGCAGCGAGGGAGAGGGAGGTACGGTGCCGCGTACCTGACTTCCCGACTTTCTTTCTTAGCGACCTCATGCTTTCTTTTTCTTTGGTTTTTTTGGAGGGATTAGGACGTGCAGCAAAATGTGAGGCGCGGAAAACTTTGTCAAAACATTAAGATATAGTCTGAGTGTTTGTCCAAGTATTTGTTGAAATTTTCAAAGTCTCTACACTCAATTTCACCTTTTGATGTACCGTAACGGATGCTACAAACCATCCGGGCCAATCAGGCACTCACGTCTGCCACGTGACTTCATGCTTTGCATCTGGCTCCCCCCAACCGGAAAGTCACGGGACACACTCCGAGCTATGGACTGGCTCCGGTGGCTTGTGGCGTATGCCAGTGGCGTCAGAACAGGGGTGGACAAGGGGGGCGACCACCCCCCAGACAGTTCAGAAATTTAATGGAGACAATACAGGGGAGGGAGCTCAAAAACGCCGTCGCCACCCTACCACGACCACCATCGCTCTCCCATCTCCTGAATAGTTCCGACGCCTCTGGCGTATGCTCTGGTACATCGCGAGATAAAATGGAGTGTAATGAGAAGCAAACTGAATTGCATTCTTTTTAGTAGAATGTGTGGCCCGGCATTCTTTATGCCGATTCATTCTAGGTATGGGATGCCTGTTCAACATGGATGGCTTATGATCCTGCATTTGAATGTTGACTTTTGAGATGTTTTAGGCTACACATTTCCTTGTAGGCAGTGGCATACCAACTACCGTAAAATCCTGAGCAAGCGCCCCCTCCAAATTTAGAGATTATCCAATTATCCAATCGGGAATAACATTGAAGATGGCGGCCATAAAAATGTTAAATTTTCATGAAATGGGAGGGAGTGCTTACACGAGGGGGTGACGCATGCTCGGTATTTTACGGTAGTTTTCGAGCGAGGGTTCAAAACACCATGGGACTGCCCAGTTTGAAGGGAAGAGCTGCAAATCATGTGTTATGCCGTTTTCACTTAGTTTTGTGATATAAACGTATCCCTTGTGGTACAGAACCAATGATACAGTGGTAGTGGGCCACCTTGAGAACTATGACGTAGCTATAAGCCTAAATTGTGGGCATTTTTACGAACACCTTTATCTTATCATCTGCTTGGTTCGGCTAGGTTCGGCGGCGAAACGACTAAAAGGATGCCGGGAGAGGACTACGTATCTCTACGGCTGTACTGAACGTACCCCCTGATACCTAGTTTCTATAAAAATAAACTAATGAAGAGACTAATGCAGGGACACAGTGAAAAAGCAGTTCGACGACCTGACTAACAATGTGCTGAATCTCAAAGAACAGATCAACTCGCAAGTTTAGTGCTCACCGTTCGGTTTTCGAAGACATCAAACATTTTGTGAAAATTGCCGACCGGGAAACCACCTTGTAATGATGACGCATGAAATGCCAAAAAAGAAGCAATGTTTCGATGTTTCAATGTTTCCATAGTCCACCCTAGGCCAAGTAGGAAATTTTTTCAACTATCAGCGTCGAGAGTAAATCGGGCATTGACAATGCTGCACTCGAGTGATTTCCATGCAGACGGCTTTTTGGCGTCACAAATTGCATGCCTTGGGCACTTTGGTCAGTCACTCACAAGCTGTCTTTGGCACGTTTTTCAACCAGGGAGCCAAACCCTTTGTGTCTAAATAAATTAATTGAATTGTATATCTTAAGAACATTGAATAACTGCAGACATGAGACTGAGCACAATGTATAGTATCTTCAAATTCATAAATAAACTAGTCAGGCAAATGTTTATACCACAAAAATAAGTCCCCCATATAATCAAAAGCAACTGTTTTGGATTTGTTAGGAAGGCAGAGCACGATGCTTTCAAGAAACAGACATAAGTGACTCCTTGCGTTGACTCTATTTGCCTTCATCTTTAAGGTCATGAATGTGTGATCATAAATATATGTTGCGCTTCTTATTGTGCCACTATCACTTAACAAATTCACGTCGTCATAATAATAATTGGCCTGTCAGCCCTCGTGTGTTTTAAAGTCGTCTACATACTCAGTGTCCACCAGTGCTAATGTGGATTCTTTTCCTCACACGTAGGGTATGCAGCTAGATAGTAGAAACAAGTATCAGGCGACACTTCACAAAGCAAGGCAAAAAGGCGAGGTAAAACGCGAATAAGAAAACGAATACAACTCCTTTGCCAAGGCGCAGAGGGGAGAGAGGAGCGACGATTTGAAGCCGCTTTATGGCGGCCACATCACGTGATTCCAAGATGGCAGCGCCCATGCGACGGAGGGTGGGCCACAGCGGACACTACGAGTCTTTCCAGTTAATCCAATGCCATGTGAGTGTCACTTGGCCTTCGAGAGGAGTGCAGCAGTGATGCCCGGGGAACCAAGTCACGAGATACATTCACCGCGCTGGATTAGCTGGAGCGACTTGTAGGGTCCGCTGCCGTCAAACGCAAAGTAAAACGGAGCTCAGCTAAAAAAAAAGGAAAGTCGGGAGTGTAAACGAAGAAAGAAAAGATTGATAAAAGCTCAAATACCCTTGGCTCCTGAGCTTTTTTTTTTTTTTTTTTGTCAGTTGTGTTTTTTTAGGGTGGCCACTCTCTTTTTTTAACGTACAGCCGTGTTTTACAGTTTTTTCTTTTTTTTTAAGTGGTGTTGTAGTGAGGTTTTTGCACTTTTTTTCATTTTCTTCAAACCTGAACGATGAAGGCGTCAGCACTCTCTTCACATTTTAGAAAATGTGCCACCGAAGGCGTTGTCAGACGCCATGCTGTTCTCTCTGGCCACCTTCCCCCCCCTCGCGCCCAAACACAAATAAAAACTGAAAAGAAAAAAAAAAGGAGATATTCCAGCAAATACAAGTTTTGCCCCATCACCTTGAAAAGGGGGGGGGGGGGGGGGGGGGCTAGCGACCCTTTTCCTCTCCCCAACCCCAGTTGGTTTGCCCATGCATGGAAGCATGCAAAGTGTGCTCGGCTCCTTATTGTAGTAAGTAATACTCCAGGTATGAAGGTGTCTCTTTGTCGTGGACATGTTTGGCACAGGCCTGTAAGGCCCGCTGTTGAGTATTTAAGTGTCTCCCGATTTCTGTCAGTCATCTAGAAATCGTTCAAACCTCGGTGAAAGTTTTGAGAACTTGCACTTGATTTATTTAACTAAAAGAAAAAATAGAAGTTTGTTTTGTCCTTTAAGAAGTGAAAGTGCCCGTTAGTTTGACTTGTCATGGTCATTCTCGTCTGCAGATATGTGAGCATTTCAGTTTTCCCAAGAAGCTTGTTTGATCGGAAGTGCAGTGTGTGCCCTCCTTTCTCCTGTGCTAGGAACTGGAGCAGGAGCGTCAGACGCTCCAGGAGCACAGTCAGCGCCAGCTGCTCCAAATGTCTGCACTGAAAGCACACGTGGAAGACTGCCGCCTAGGGCTGTCCCCCGCCGTTGAGAATGGAGGCCCCGTTGTGAAGCAGCTCCGGCAGCTCAGGCACGACCTGCTCATCGAGAAGGAGGCCCGCGAGGACGCCGAACAGAAGGTGGGACGCACCACGACCCTCTGTCTTTCAGTGAAGTCTTCAACTTGAAAGGAGTGCGTAACAGAAGCTGGTGATGAGGAACCGTGTGTAACGGACCAGGGATTCCTGTTTAGCGCTTTTATGAGTGTGGTGTGTTTACTCTGCGCGTTAGTAGTTAGTCAAAATAAAAGAATGGTTCCCTGATCCCCTTTAAATTTGTATACGAGCAGGTAGCAGTGTCATGCTTCGATTGTTCTGGTAGAAGCGTTGTGCTGGTCGCTGTGTTGTACCAGAGTTGCAACCTTCAGCTGTTTATAAATGCAGGGGGTGAGTACAGTCGCCGACCGATTTTTCGAATGCCGATAATTTGGGCTTGTTTGATATTTTGGACATAAAGGAGGAACCGCGATCCAAACGATAGAAATAGTGCATATTCACGACCGATGTTTCGAACAGCTTGAAGTTTGAAAGTTTGATTTTTCAGATAAAATCGTCACGAGTGACCGGCGGAAAACACCACCGAGAAGCCGCCATTTTAGATTTTATGTTGGCGGCTGCTCATGGATTGGCTTGGTTTGGCAGAGCTACTCGAGTACTACCAAGTCCTACCGCTAGTAGACGCTATACGTTTTTTTTTTTTCTCAAGCTGTGCATCGTCATTATCGTTGTTACCATTTTGCTTTGTTCATTCTGCAGTCGTGGACTTGCACCTTGCGCCTCTCGTCTCGTTTCGGTGAATCGTGTTTTTGGACTACGCTGGCTTGGACATCGTGGCCCCGTTTATTTTTCCGCCACCGCGAAGTGTCGCTAAAAAGCATGGAAAGTAGTCGACCATAACTCTAGAAAAGAAGGCGGCGATTCTCAAGCTAATAGAAAGTGGCCGAATGCAAAGGAGGCATAACCTGACACAAGGTGCGCAGGAGCAACCTGAAGCAAGGCACTATTTACAGCTTTCTTTAAGCCCACTTAGATGTAATAAAAGCAAGTATTCTAATCTGCCGATGTTTCTAACTGTTCTATTATTCTGACGTTTTTTGTCTTTTTTTTTTGGTCCCTGCAAAGTCCGAAAAATCGGTCGGCGATTGTATAGAAACTTGGCATTTTCTATTCTTTATTGGGAGGCAGCAGCGATCCCAAGTAAAATTAATAGCATTCATGCTTTTGTTTGCCTCTGAGACAGGCCACCATACTTGTCAATAACTGGGAGGGGATTGGCAATCATATCACAAATCCTAAAAGATGACTCAACCTAATTTTTCTTTGCAAGGTTATGTTGTCTTTAAGAAGTACCTGTATCAAACTGTTTCTGTGCATTTGCCCTTGTGTGCATTTAGCCTTTCTTCCAGATGTAGTCTGTGTCTCTTACCCATTACGACGGGCTGACAAAAACGGCCGCCATCGTGGAGAGTTGTGTCAAAACACGACCGCCACGCAAATTACTGCGGAGGGTTTGGAGCTTTGGCAGCAAACGAGTCGACAGCACCGACACGAACAGCGAGGGCAGCAGCTTTGGTGGCGGGCCTTGACACTTTCTTTCCTTTTCCCTCCCTCTCTCTGCACTGCTCAGCTGCAGCTCAGCAATGATCAGGTGTCCCACCTGCAGAGAAAACTGAGCGCTCAGTCGGAGAGGGCGGCCAGGCAGCGCGAGGCGGTCAGGCCGTGTCGGCACGTGGCCACACTCACCAGTGATCACAGGGAAGCCCATAAGCACCAGGTCCTTTGTTTCCCTTTGCCTCAGTTTCTGGGACAGGGGCTGGACAATGTCTCGCAGTTCCCTACCTAAATCTTTAGCTTAACTCTGGTCTGTTACGGGTTTAGAGTAGCAGGGCAGGACACTTCCACAAAGCTCTCTGCTTTCCATGATTGGTAATTTTCTCCTTTAAAAATCGCCTCGTTGTTGGGGTTTGCTCTACTAGAGTGGAAAGAGTGGAGAGCCTTTTAGGAGGAGCTTCTCCTGCTGTTCTTAACCTGCAGCAGACTATAATTAGGCGCTCGGTTCGCCGAGTCATTTCTGTGTAACAATTCGGCTTGTTGGCTTCGTACAGAAACCGGACTGCCTTGCCAGATGCTGGGTTAGCAAAACTTGATGGAGGCGACGAAGGAGATGTGGGCAAGGCATTCTTGGGAAGGCCATAATGCAAAATTCTGGGTCTTATCATGGATAAGACCAAGTATGAGTGCTACAGGATGTCCCGGGTTGTGGCTCTTATATTTGATCCTCAGCAGCCTCTTGCAGTTGATGCAGGGCTTTTTGTTCTGCCTCAACGGTGTGCGATTAATGAGGTGCTTGAGTGAAACCAGACCGTCATTTAGGTAATTCGCCATATATCAGGCTCGTAAGCTTGCCTGCTTGTGCAGCATCACAAAGCTAGATGGGCCATGGCCCTAGGTTTGAAAAAGCCATTAGAGGTCTTAGGGTCCTGGCCTTTTCAAAGCCCATAAGCATATTTGTCCAGCCCTTGTTTTCTTTATGCTTTGTTTGCTTAGCCTTTTGTTTAGTTTGTTCCATCAAATATTTTTATCAACGTCAGAATTTTTTTTTTTTGCAAAGAATGAAATTGTTGGTGAAGAGATTTGTAGACAGGCAATGAAACCAATTGGGTGTAGAGCTAAAAAATTAATTTTCAGCACAGATGGTTGTTCTTAGTTCATTTATATACGGAGTCAAATAGTAGATAGCAGGATACTACTAGCGCTTCTGCTTAGACATAAGGTATATGGCATGTGGTTCCCATATAAGTATGACATTTTATGATAATACGATAAAATGACATCATATGGTCTTGCATGATACCAAATAAGTTATTACTAGGATTCTGTGTTTTTGGAGTTTATTTTTTTGCTGAAAATACGAGATTTATCGGAGTATATCTTTTTAGATCTCCAATTCACTGAAATTCTGAGTTTTTACTATTCACATTTTCAGAATTAAATTCAAAATTAAAAATAAAAACATATATTGTTTTTATTTTTAACATAAAACCTTCGAAATAACAAAACACCTGGACGTAGTTGCTCGGAAGCTTCAGCTGCCCTGCCCCTTCTATGAAATCCGCAGGTTCATAGCTTTCACTATAAAAGCACAATCCCTCCTTCCTCTGAGAAGCACAAATAGTATGCTCCAAACCGGAATAATGGCTTTTGTCGTGGTCCAGAAATACTATGGTCCCTTGTACTGAATAAATATCGACGAGACAAGCTCTAAACTCTGTTTTGGCAATCTAGTTGAACTCGATTTAACGAAGTCTCCGGGACCCGCTAATTATTAGGGGTGAAGCTCCTTAGGGGCTAGCCATGTCCGTATGTCTGTCCGCCATCCGGTGAGTTCAGCAGTGAGAGCAAGAAAAAAAAATGAAAAAAACGTATGGCGTGCCCCTGCTCGTAAGTTCAGCAAAAAAAAATGAAAAAAAAAAAAAAAAATAGGGGGCTCTGAGATGCCATCTTATCTGTCTTCTTAAAAAAAGGAAAAAGAAGAAAACTACACATTCTTCTACTGACATGAATGAAAACGGTACCATCAGCGCTACCTATGATCAAAATCAGTATCAAGAAAAAGAAGAAAAAAAAAAGAGTAGGGGGTTCTGAGTTGCCATCCCATCTGTCTTCTTAAAAAAAGAAAAAGAAGAAAACCACACATTATTCTACTGACATGAATGAAAACGGCACCATCAGCACTACCTATGACCAAAATCAGTATCATCAGCACCACCTGAGCTTTGCCCCAATCAACATCATTCACCTTGTGGAGATGCGGTAATTTTTTTTTTTTTTGTTAAATCGGGAGTTTTGTAAAATTGAGGAAGGGAGACCTCGCACATAGGCTGCGCGGGGAATCCGAATTCGTTCATTGAATCGGGAAATTTGTGAAGTCGGGTTCCACTAAATCAAGGTTCAACTGTAGTATGATATTTTAGAGGAAACTGAAGGGGTCTCTCCTTAGGACCAGCAATGCTGTACTCTCCAGTTACTTATTCATTAAACAATTTTTTTTTATTTTTTGCCATTGGGATTTTGGAAAATCTTAATTTTTTCAGATAAATTCGAGTTGGCAAACATTTAACCGGCAAATGTTTTTCGGGGTTACTCAAATTTTTCTGAAAACACGGAACCCTAGTTATATCACTCTATAAGGCAGTTGCTACTGGCTTCTAGATTCTTGAACTAAAAGCTTATTTGTTGCTCGAACTTGCTCAAGTAAAAAACTAAAGGGAGCATTTGACTTATTTTTTTGTATTTTATTTAGACAACAACTTACCCTTCTGGGAAGCTTGAAAATATTTTATCTTTAAGACTGTGATGGCGCAGTCTCAGGTGGTTCAAGAAAATGATTTTATCTTTGTTTCCAAAACCACCTCTGCTGATTTCGAGGTTCTCTATCGAGACACAGCGCATGCACCGCTTTGCGGTGCCTGCCGTTCGCAGAATTTTCCTTGGTCGTTTTTTACACTCTGCCCTGCTACACCACCCCCTATTGCCTTCCTAATGCCTTACTTATCTAAAAGCCTTAACCTCTGCAAGCGGCCTAAACATCACTCTCTCTTTAACCAGCTAATATTAGTCATACAACGACGATGTGGAACGCGACGGTAACAGTTAGTTTTAGCCGCCGACGTTCGCCGCAATCGCCGCAGGCTACATCGACCTCGACGGGAGTGGAGACGGAGTTGACGCTGGAACAGGTGGGCAGGCTGGAGGAAGCCCTCTCCAAAGTGGACCAGCTCCGCGAGGAAGCCAGGGAGACAACCGCGGAATTGGAGGACCTCCGGGCCACGTGCAAGATCCACAAGAACGACATCGAGAGCCTAAACGCAGCCCAGGTGAGGAAATGGTCCCGTGTTGACAGCACTTAAACGACAAGATCATGCGAGTGTTTCTAGGCTATTGCCTGAGCTTTCACTGCTTGTGGGCACCTCCTCTGAATTGCTGAGTGCCTGGTTACGTAAATTACGATACTTGAGTGACTTACATAACTGGTGCCTGGTTACATAACTTTTTACATAATGGCTAAACAGCCGTTTCATGCATGAATGTTGCTTTTATAATTATTGAATTTAAAGTGGTGGAGGCAGATTAATTGTGCTTTGATATGTTGCAACCCTGAACTGTGTTTCTTAGTGTCTAAGAAAATTGCAAACTCAATTTATGTTTTCAGTTGTTGTGTTTTGTTTCATAATTTATGTTTTTTTTTATATATTCTTTTACATCTCTTTGTAAGGAATGTTCAAAACAAATTAACTAGACACATATTGGCTTTAATGAGGAATTGGACAAAAGATTTGCAATTAAAAGTGGGCACTTTATTTCCAGCTTGTGGAGTGGTACAAAGCAAATCTGACCATGTACAGTGTTAAGTCTCCCCAAACCAAACTGCTGATACCACAAACAAGCAGCAGATCTTTCCTCATTGTACAGACCTTATTTCCCGCATGCTGATGTTAGCAGAATACGTGTTTCTTAGTCTCCACCTTCACCTCAGGAAAGTGGAGGAGTGGGTTACAGCCTAGTTGGGGAACGCCGCTAAACTTAAACTTAGGCTAGCAGAGGGGCCGATGTCGCCGGAAATAGCCACGCGTCCCTGCCTCCTCGCCTGACACTGACCGCCGTCTTTTGTCCGCCACGTGGAATTGAAGAGCACGAGTTAGTTACTCTCTGTTGTACAGGAAGAGCAATTGTTGTATATCCCCTTCAATCATTGTCCTTCGCAAGGATGTGGTGCGATTGGTGGAAGGCAGTCCAGAGGCGGAGGCGGCAGGCCGGAAAAAGGGTTAGCGAACAAGAACCTAGTTCATCTTTGTTTTCGCTCTATTTGTTTCCTGTTTTTTCAGCATAATGTGGAAGGTTTGGAAGGGGAGCAGTTATTTCAGGCACCGCTATTTTTAGCCGTCTTCAGATGCGAGGTGGGTGGGCCGTGCCTTGTCTGTGGAAAGCGGGGAAATTGGAGCAGCCACGATTTGAAAATGTTTGCTGTGTCACAGAACGAGGTGGTTATCTTTGCTTGGTTTCGTCATCATCCTTTTCTGTTATAGTTCTTGATGCTTGGGGTTTTTGTTTTGTGGGATGGAGTGGTAGTTTCTTTGTTGTGTAGCTGCACAAAAATCAGAGATGTTTGTGCTTATTGCTTGGGGTGAACTTAATTGTTAAACATCTCTGTTGGTGGAAAATAATTCCAGATGGCACTGTAATTTATAATGCAAATTACAACAAGCACTTTTGCCTATTGAAATGAACTATGTAATTAAACATACCTTGTTCATTAACTCATTTCCTATTTATGATACTTAATATGTTTCTTTCATTACATGTCTGCTTTATTTTATAGCTTTTTTATTGAATTATAGCTTTATTGTAATTAATTATTATGTGGCAATCACAATTATGAATCTTAGCTGTTACTGGCTTAGGCCCTCATAGTTGTTCATTCAGACGATTGTGTTTGATTGCTCCGAGTGTCCGTTCAGCTGTTGCCCTGCCAACTGGAAGCACAACATAGGGAGCGTTGTTTATCGGCTTGTTGGCATGGTAACCTGGGTATGGGGACGCAAACAGCTCTAACAAAACCCTCAGCCTGAGAAGCATTTTGTTTACATTCTAGTATGTAGAATTAGATTGTATCATTTTTAGGTGTTAGCTGTCTACACAGACAACTCTTTTGGTTATTTCAGCACCTTTTGAATTCAAGCTCAAGTCTTCATTTTAACAGCTTTTTTTTCTTTTTTTTTCCAGACATGTGTTGCTTGAAACTGCCGTTTGTGTTGTCGCAAATTTAGGCTCGCTTGGCCTTATGTAGCAGTGCTATATTTGACCGCTTGGAACCAGAAATGACTCCGCGTCTTTAGGAACAAATCTGAGACTGTCCTTGATGTGTTGAGAACCCCAGTTTCGGCAGTACTGTGCAACTGCATGTAATGTAACACTGGAACCAGTTAATAACAATGTATGTAATGCCCCCAACCTCTGCCGCTGCATCTTTTATGAGGCTTCAGCATAAACTGTGCATTCACAACTGAATGATCACTGACACCATTAAGCTCATGCTGGAGGGAGGGCAGCTTATGAAGATTCCCCTCATCATTCCTGAACCTTTCAGCAGCTGTAGATGCCCAGCTGCCCATTTGTGCACATAGTCCCCTACCATACACCGATATCGGACATCCCACCGTGCCGAGGTTGGCTTGTTGTCTGGCCGACCTGCATGGCTTGTGTGGTGCGCTAACACCGCTGCCGCTTCTGAGCACAATTCTGGCTGTTTCCGTCAGAGTACAGCTCCCCCATCTTCCCATTGCCTCTGTTGTTTTTTTTCCGCCACCACCCCCTCCCCACCCCCAGGACCAGAGGCTAACAGGAGCTGCAAAGACTGCCGCTGCGGAAGGGGTAAGATGTCGCGCATCTCGGATATTGTCATTGGGATACATTGTCTCAAAAAAGCGTTCCTGTCGTCTTTTTCTCGAGTCTTCCTTCTGCTCTCTCTTTGTTTTCGATGCCCGCTTATCTTGCTTGCATGGCTTCTTGGTTTCATATTGGCGTCACTGGCCCTCCTCCCTCACTTTTCCGGAGTGTCCGCTCTCTTGCTTCGTCGTTCCTTTCTCCACTGTGACTCGACCATTCTTCTCTGTCAACGGGTGTTAGCTCTTCCGTCTTTCTTACGAGCGTAGCTCTGAGCACTTTTTTACATCACTTTAGAAAAGAGGCCAAAAGGCTTCTCGAAGCAAGTTTGCGGTACTTCTCAGTGTAGATAACCAAATGCCTGCGACTTTCTACATGTTGGGATTAAACGCAAAAATGGAGAGTGGATGGGGAATCTCGGATATGATGATATCAACACCGTGTTTAGTAAGTGGCACAGAGTGTCAGCTTGAGACTGTGTGCATGTTGTTTTAGCTTTGCTGCATCGTGTTTTGCCTTTTTCACGACGCATGCTGCACTGATCAACAGGAGCATGAAGAACAGAATGGTGTGGGGTGAATTTTTGGCGCTTTGTGAAAGCCAAGTTAGTTTCTTGAAAAAGTCAATGCTGTCAGCTTTTATCATTTTCTCTTTTTAGTGTAGTTTGACCTGCCCCTCTTCTTCTTTTTTTTTCCTGTTGTGTGTCTCTCTCTCTCTTTTCCTGTTGTATATCTACTGCATAAAATCTTAGTTTGTTAATAGACAGAGTTGATATGAATAAAATTGGTAAAATCTCTTCTCAGAAGGGTTGTGTTTAGGAGAAAAAACTAAAATGAAAACAAGATGACAAGGGTTACTATGGGATAAAAACAAAACAGGATTGATTAACACCTCTCTTATCATTTGTTTGATCTAACATCTTTTTGAGTTATTTTAATACTTTGTGATTTTTCCCCTTAATTCCGAGAACAGTCGGAACCCATAAGATGGTAGTATTTTTAGATTGTGGGAATAGTTTGTATGCATTTAGTAGTAGCCATGATGCAGGGCAGGAGAACTTAAAAGTTCATGTGCAGCTCGTTTTGGAATGAAACATGGTGAATAAGTTTTGGGCATGAACATTTGACAGAAATATATCTGGTTGGAGGAACAGTAATGTTAACAACCATAGCCATAGTCGTCTCTGAAGGGTTCATGTATGTCTCAAAATGTTGGGTTCCTGAGAAAACAACAAGGTTAGTTAACAATTCTTTTATTGTAAACTTTCATAAGTGTGAGAAATGGTACTTACCAGGTAGAACTGTGACCATATAATTTGATGAATAGCACGTTGAAACCGGTCAAAGATGAGGCATTTTCTGAGGTCTTGTTGCCCTGTCCGCACAGGCAAAGCTGGCAGAGGACTTTGAGGAGGTGCACAGCATCCTAGAGGAGAGGGAGCAGGAAATCCTCGAGCTGCAGCAGGAGGCAGAAACGCAGGTAATGACGCGCCCATAGTTCCTCAAGAACTTTGACGCACAGTCAGGATACTAAAGGAACCAACGAGATTCTTCCTAGTTTCAACATTAAAAAACAAACAAAAAACTTTTGCCATGGAGTTGTTTTTGCTGACGGGTGTCTGTTCCCCCCATGCACGCAGGTGGTGCTGGAGGCAGAGGTGCAATCCCTGAGGGACTCCCTGGCACAGTGCCGGCAGGCGCACGCCGAGGAGTTGGCAATGCTGCAGCGGGAGCTTCAGCGCTGCCAGCAGGCCCACGAGGCGGACGTGCACAGGCTGCACCAGCACATGGAGGAGGCGCAGTGCCTGCACGCGCAGGTGCAGGAGACACTCCGGCAGGAGGTTGTGGCCCTCAGGGACCACCTGGTCAGTGCCCCCTTGTCCCTGCTGCCTAAAGGCTTGTTCACAGATGCAGTGCAGTGCTACAGGGCTGTCCAAATTGGACACGGCAGACGCCGTGTTTTCTAAATTCTGGCATTTGCTGTATTTTGGTCTGCTTTCATACGGCATTTTTTTTGCCAAAGCGAAAGTTTCTCTCCGCTTACGTCCTTGGACAGAGGCTTAGAGCGGGATCCTCGGGTGGGTTCGGACAGCTACTCACACACACTGCTGACCGTCTTCGAGGCCTGCACCGTTGTCGTCACTCCCCAATCTCCCAAAAAGAAGAAAGGGGAAGAGATGACAGCCTGGAGGCGAGAAAAAAAGCCGTGCCGGTTGCGTGGTTGATGTTCAAGCTGAAAATGGATGCACATGCTGCAACTTTTATGTCCTTTGAGAGAAGCATACATTTTCTTTCCATGCGCGGCTTCTGCTGTGTGTTGTTTGGACAGCCCTTAACTCGGCAGTACAGGCACAGCACTGACTTTGCGCTGTATCAATGCTTTGTCAGCACTCTGCTGCATGTGACCCTGCCTTTTCCTTCTTATACACACAATGCAGCACTAACTTACTGCTGAGTCAATGCTGAAATGGACTACCTCAGTACTGCGCTGCATCTGTGAAGTGGCCCTAAATGTGGAGTTCTGTGTTCGTGACCTGTTTTTGTGTCAGTAAAAATTGGAGCACTGTTTTGCAGGCCTTACTTCGATTATATTCGGAGTTAGTGTAAGCTTCTGAACTGGGAGGTACAAGACTGAGAAACATCTCTCAAATTTTACATATAAACGGGAAAAATGCAGAGCCTCGTTTATGTCCTTGAAACATAGCCTTGCGTTAGAGTGGTTTTGAGTTAAAAAAGCTATTGAGAGGATTAAAGATCCTTTAATAGTTTATTGTTGAATGCAATGAGGCGTAAATTGTGTCTCGCTGCTGTGTGCTTCAGCTAGTGACTCTGCTCTGCGCTGCATCTAATGAGGAATATAAGTCAACCCACATGGTAATAATAAGGTGTGGATGACTATCATGATGGCATCAGTCTGAACTTAAGATGTTTCTCCTATTTCAAATACAATACTACTTTTGTGTAATCATTGTAGAAGTGATTATTAACTACCAGTTTGCAATTTGGGCTGCAGCCACTACCAAAGTCTAAAGTGTAGCCATCGCATAAAACATCGCATTGTGGAATAACATACTCGTGGCAATGTTTAGGAATGTCTCGCAAACTAGGATACTGAATAATAAATGTACCGTAACTTCTTGTATAATTTATTATTCGGGCTGAACTTCAAATCGGAGGCTTTGTGCTAACGGTAGTCAAGTCAATTTACCCCCTCTGTCTTTTCCTTCTTAGCTCGAAAGCATGCCTCGAGACGAAGCCACCGCAGCATTGAACAAGGCAGTCGCCGTCGAGCGAGAGAATCAGCAGACAAAGCACCACGAGGAGATCCGTCTGCTCGAGGAGACGTGGAGCGGCCGGCTGGATGCGGAGCGACAGCGCCTCCAGCGCGAACAACTCCAGAAGCAGACGGACCTGGAACGCAAGTACCAACAGCACGCCCGGGCGCACTCGTGGAACAGGACCGACTTCGAGAAAGAGATGGCCGCCCAGTTAGAGCATGAGATGGCAGCGCTCAACGTGCAGCACCAGGACGCGATGGAGGGTGCCCGCCGACACTGGGATGAAGAGAAGCGAGCGCTACGCGTGGCACACGCCGAAGAACTGCAGCGTTGCCTTGAGCAGCTGAGAGCATCGCTGGCGAAGGCCCACCAGGAGGAAGTTGCGGAGCTGAAGCGGCGGATGCGGGACGCTGCCAAGCAGCACGAAGCCGAGATGCAGCGTGCGGCCAAAAGTTGGGAAGAACGGATCAGGGAAGAGCGGCGCACGGCCAACGAAGGTACAAGGGGCCACCCGGACGCGGAGCTGGCGGAACTCTGGAGCCGCGGCGATGTCCGCGAGTTCCTGGGACGCCGCGTGAACGAGGAAGTGTCACGACTGCAGCAGCTGCACGTGCACGAAGTGGCCGTGCTGAGGAAAGCGCTGGAGAAGCGGGAGGCCGACGCGGGAGTTGAAGCGACCAGTTTGAGGCTGGAACAGGAGCACACGACTGAGGTGGCCAGGCTCCGGAGCGAAATGGCCGAGATGCTGAGGGAAGAAGAGCAGGCGCTGAATGCGAAGGCGGCCCAGCACATGGCCGCGGCCGAAGCCGAGTTCCGTCTGGAGAAGGAGCGACTGGTGGAGAAGCACAGCGAAGAGATGAGGCAGTTGCAGGCGGAGTTTGAGCGGGAGAGTTCGGCTCGGGATGCCGCGCATCGAGAGCAGCTGCAGAGGGTCGAGACGAACGTGAAGGGCATTCTGGAGGCCGAGAGGGGCAGTGCCAGGCTGCAGCGAGAGCAGCTGGTCTGGAAGCTGCAAGGTCAGCATGCCGACGAGGTGAAGGCTCTCAGGTGCGCACATCAGCAGGAACTGGCCTCTGTCAAGGACGAACTGGACCGTGAGTGTTCGAGCTGCTCCTCTTGCTCTTCGTCGTTTTTTTAGCATCATGGAGGGTGCTACCAAGCTTTCTTGGTTCAGGTTCCTTTAGTGCCCTTCACTTCGGTAGAGAGATTACTACGGCTCTGCTGGTAACTTTTAGCAGCTAGGCTCTGGTGGAGTTGAGCAAATATCGAGGCATTGTGGCAAGGAGCTCGTTCAAAATCTCGCTTTGCGATGTGCACATTACTTGAGTTTGTGCTAGTCTGTACATAGTTCCTGTAAATTCTAAAGGTCTGTGATTTAGAATGTTGCAGATGTTCTGTGTGCTAGTAAATTGTCTTCAGAAATCTTGATGGAGGTCCGCAATGTCCAAGTTTTTTAGGGCTTTTTAAAATATGTTGGTACAGGACTTAACCACTTGATTCTTAGTGCTGGTAGATCTTGCCGTTTGCTTCTTTCTAAGGCTAACCAAGGAAAGATTTTTAAGAAGCTAAAGTAGCAAAGCGGCCCTCTCATTGTAGTTGTCATCCTTACAGACTGATTGAATAAACTTGTGACAAGGGCCAAACTGTCAGACAATTTCCGGAGTCGGGGCATTCAAAGCTCACAGGGAGTGGCTGACTTTTCTGGAACCCTTTGTATCGTAGCGCGACTTAATTGCTGGAATGTCGCGTCTTCCCCCCTGAGCTCGCATGCCGGCTTCCCAGGGGCGAAGCTGAAGCTACGGGCGCGCAAGATCTCCGCCCTGGTACAGTCTCGTGGCGGCACACCGGTCTCGGACAACGGCAGCAGCAGTGTCGGATCAGGCGGCACGCTCGAGGACAGAGGCTCCCAGGACTCTGTGCTCTCGCCTCCTCTGCGCAACCTGCTCAACAAGATCTACCGCGACCAACTCCATGTAAGGAGTGCACATACCGGTTGGAATCTTGGAAAAGAAATTGGCAGTTGGCGTTATCAGGAGCACATCAACATTGACTAGTAATCAACCTTTGTTGATAGAAAACTAATGTAATACCCAAAAGTTTTCTTCATTAGATGCAAAGCACATGCCTGAGATGCACAATGCCTGGAGATGTCCATGAAGTTTTTGTAAAAAGATTATTTATTTGCCTTTCATCTCTTCCACAAAATATTAATATTTTTTAAATGCATAAATAAAGTAAAGAAGTGATTCCACCTTGATCGTTTTCTTTCATAAAGTACATTGCCTTATACTTAATTTACATTGAAAAGGTGGAATGGAGAAAAATGTTCGAAGTGTCCAGACCTTTGCCATTTATTTAGCACCCGTTTTCTTTTTTTATACTAAATGTTTATTTAGCCATTTAAAGAAAAAAAAATTTGGAAGGGATGTTTGTGTCCCTTTAACACCTTTGTCATTTTTAGTTTTGGAGATTTTTGGACCCTAAAATGCTTAATCGTTGTCTTGAAAATCATTGGTTGCCTTCAAAATCAAATTCCTAACCAAGCAAAATGGGAGAAAAATCTTAAAAATTTAGTGCTGCCATTTCTTGGCATAGCCGCAAACTAAGCCATGAGCGAGCCTGGTTCTTTCAGAATAGTTGACTGTATGAACTGCGGAAAGCAGACTAGCTATATTTGCCTTGAACGGTCTGGGGATGGCTTCATAATGATGACCTAGGCTCGTCCAAAACGGATAAAGGGTTAAAGGGACCATGAAATGAATTCTGGGCTGAAATAAAAAAATTTTAGACGGTGATTTTACTAATGACATACCAGTTAGTGGGTTAAAAGAAAACTCGCAGGGGAAGAGAGCCGAAAGCCTGCTTTTTGGTACGGAAATTCGAAAATATAGCTATTTATTTCTTACATTCTTTCCTTCGGATGCTTTCCGCCTTTTCAGTGATATAACCGCAATACCCAAACATGTCAGCCAAACCAAGCTCACGTTTAGGACATGACCACTGCGTCAGTCGGACGTACGCTCTTGTCAGCAATCAATCCGTCGACGAATATTTCAAAAATGATATGTTCATGTTTGTTAGCGTCCAGAGAATGGTTTCAGAAACTTTTATTTATAATAATGCAGGATTTATCTCGCGAATTATTTTTGCCCGTAGAAGCTTTTAAAGTTTAAAAGTATTAATGGCCAGGACAACCCCATACATCCAAACAGAAAAAATGTGGAAAATTTGGTATGAGCAGCTTTTGTGGTTGAGACCCAAAACAGGGCTTAGGATTGATCCTGCCCAGTGACAGGATATTCTGCCATCCTCAGTAACACCCTTTTGACAGTACCTTCCACTTCAGATCATATTGCTGCTTTGCTGTTCTTCCTTAGTAGGATTAGCCTCTTAGTTCTATCTGTCAAGAAATGCCTGCTACAAACGTTAGCTTGCCTACAAACGACACAAGCTGGTAGCTATTGCCAGGGGAACAACAAAGACTCGAAGAGGGAGGTGCTAGCAATGCTTCAGGTGAATGTTGTGTATCTGGGACTCATAGAAAATATAAAAACCTAAAGTTGAGACTTCAAGTGCATTTTTCTCAGAGTGACTTTTTGGCAGAAATGTAGTATGAGGAAATGTATCATTTGACATTTTGAAAGTTTGAAGATTTCATTCAATGGTGTCCTGGACTGAAATTTCCTGAGAAACAAGTTAAGGTACTCATAATATGAAAGAGCTGACTTCTTTATGATGAAAACTAAATATTTTAAAGCTCAAAAATTTGTGACCATTTTTTGTACTTTTTGGGTGTTATTGTTTTTCTATATAACTACTACATTTTATACAATTAAATTCTACCTTAACTTGCACCATGGGTATTCTACTTCACATTAACATCAATATTTTTTTGGATTGCAATTATTATTATTTTTTAATACATTTCCTAGCAAAAGTCACTTTTCTCTGGAGCTTGTTAAGTGTAGAATGTTCTAGGATAGGCCTACAAGACTGAAACTTTAGATGTCATCATTCCTAATGGGGTTCAATTCACCCTGAAAGTTTGAATCAATTTGAGAAAACAATTCAAAAGTTGACCCTCCTAGGCCATGTCCCCACCTCAAGAAACACGGTGGAGTCATCGCATTTCAAAACCAACACCGTCAAAGTTGACAGTTTGATATTACTCTTATTAACATCGATGAAAGAAAAATGAATCCGACTGGCCTCTTGTGAAAGGCCGACCATATCCGTAACAAGGCTGGGAGTGCTGTTGCCATAGCTCAACGTTTATCGACGATTGCCTCAGGCGCAAGAAACACGGACGGCTAACCCCACCGACACTCAGCCGGCTGTGAGAACTTCCGGTTTCAGTGAAATGCTACATCACGACCACATGATGTCTCTTACCAGTTCTGAGTTGAGGAGGAAAGCTAACCAGGAAAAAGTTAAAAAAATCATTTCACGGTCCCTTTAAGTAATTCCTAACTAGATAACTACACAGCAGAGTCTAATCAAATTTATGGGAATATTCTTCAGAAGTTGATAATTCTATATGCCATGAAATTTTTCAAAAGGAAACTTCTTTTCAGCAATACAAATATTTTTTGGTTTGAAGTTGCATTTTTCTTAGGCTTCTCTGAATATCTGGCCCGCTTTGTGACCTTAGGTGCTCTCTATGACGGAGCGCCAACTCCTCCAACGCCATCTGACACCCTCTCCCGAGCGCCACAATGCACCGGAGACCGCTGCCCCCGCCAACGGTGCTGTCCCCACGGTGAGATTGGAATTCATGCTGCTGTGGGCACCGTAATGAAATGGAAAGAGAAAATAAATTATGCAGACTGTAATTGCAGTAATTACATTAACAGTCATCACAAGGACTGCCACTGCACATACAAAATGAAAATGCAGTGTAATTATATTTAGACTTTAAGCCGCAGAAAATTATCCGTTTGTTTGCACCAGAAAGCTCTCTGGTGTGCTCTGCACAACAAAATTGTTCTCATTTCGCTGGGACTGAGTATTGAGGAACCCCAACTTTTAACGCCCAAGTCGGTGCCTCTGTTGAGCACGTTCCAGCACAGAAGTAGTTTGGTCACAGCATTTTCATTCTAAAAGAAACAAATAATAGTGGCAGGTTGTTCATATGCTGTGTTGTACTTTGTAGCTGCTGCTACTTTTTTTGCTTTTGTTAATCTGGCTCTTATCCTTGCCCCTTCCCTCCTCTCTGCTCATCCCAAAGACGACCATGGAGACACAGCACCTGCATCAGCAGCTGCTGAGGGAGCGCGCTCAGCACATGCAGATGGTGAAGGAGCTTCAGCAGGAGATTGCCCTGCACAGGGAACAGGCGGGTCAGAAGGAACGCAAGCTCAGGGACAGAGGTAGGCAGCATCATCTTTTGTGGTGCACCCTTTTGGCTTTGGCAGATCAAAGCAGTGCGACTCGGTGCACAGCTCCATTACAAGGGTCCCGTGGCACACTGGTGTCTGTGTCTTATGGGGGCGTCTTTTCTTCGGCATCTCTACAAAAGCAGTGTTAAAAAAGGAGTGCCAGAAAATTATGCTGCCATGTGTTCACGAGGGAAGATAAGAAAGGCAAGGATTATTATTCGCTAGTGTTTTGAAAATAGTCAAAATTTCTAATAGTAGTTTAGACTCTTTCATTGTGGGATGGTGCTTGTATGCTGCTGGTGTATTTAAAGAGAAATGAAAACTTTGTGAATCTTGATACCTAAACTGCAGTAAATGTTTCAAAATTAAATGGTGGCTGTTCAAAAAACGAGTAGTAGTATATGTTAGGCAGAGATGTCCTGAGAACCTGCATTCATCATTCATTATGTTTTTTTTGCGAATTAGCATTTCTAAGCTAAAATTATTTTAATCTACCGTATTTAGTCGAGTAATAGCCATACTGTCTATGAGGAAAACCTGAGGGTTCCCTTTTCTGTGGAGCATGCAGATAGCCAATCACCGCGATCGACAGCATAGTTCGAGCGGTTTACAGGACAGAGATAACGTCTTCGCGCGAAGATACCGTCTGTGAAGATTTCATTTGTATGGAGAATCATGTGCTCGGTCTAGTCATTCGCTATGTTATTTATGTGCAACGCAATGATTGACTGCATGTGTGTTCTCTGGGAAAGTAGACGCAAGGGCCTTGTTCATAAATAGTGCGGCTATTACTCGAGTAAATACGGTAACTATAGTTATTCACTGCGGCCTCAGGAAGTCCAATGCCTAGATTGGGTTTCAAGTAAATGATGCATTTAGCACAAATTTAAGTCTATGAGGTGTCCAGCTACACCTAATCGAGGGGATTTATAAATATTCTTGTTATACACAGATGCCTTTTCTCCAGTCACAAATTATCAATGCAGGTTGTCAGGGCATCTCTGCCTAACATATATGTGGTCATGCATACCGTAATAGCCAGTTTAATTCTGAAAATATAACTGCAATGTCGATATCAACGTTCACAAAGTTTCCATTTCTTTTACAATGGTAGCTGTTGCGGGCTCTTCCCATCACTGGAAATGACATCTGTTGTTGTTGTAGTTGTAGTTGATGTTACAGTTAATGTTGTAGGGCATCTGTTGTCGATGTTGCCAAATTCTTAGAAAAGGTCGCCCACCATCCGCGGAAATCGAACCTTGGTCCGCTGCTTGCAAAGCAAAAGTGTTACCGCAGAGCTACCCTGGGGGGTTAACAACCTGCTTTATACTTTGGGTTTTTGTAGTGCCAGATGCCCACTGCACGCACCCTCTGAAAAGAAATACATAGCAATAGCCGATAACAAAATGCCGTTGTAGCACTGTCAGTGTGAAGGGCTCGTGCCGAGAAACACACTTTCACGTGCTACGGAACAAAAAAGAAACAAAAGTGTTTATAAAAAAATGGTCAGATGTCTATTTTGTTTCAAACACTTTTGTTCACGGACTTGTTGGTGCATGAATGCAATGCCTATGCCCAACGACTTCGCTGTGGCTGTACTGTGTGCAGATTAACATGGGATTGTGAAATTTTTTGTATACACCAGATGTGCACCTGCACCATCCCACTTTGAAATTGTGATTTTCCTTCGAAACACATGGCTGCAGCATTTGTACTTTTGAAAGTGTTGATCGAGGCGTTTTAGTCCCATTGAGTGAGCCTCTTGCCAAGCACCGGTTCCCAAAGGAGTAGCAGCGAGCTCTGCAGGTGTCACTTCTCCGCAGTGCACCAATGCTCAGTAAGAAGCGCACTCGGCGGGGCTAACCTGCCACAGTGAACACTCCGGAAAATATTAATATTGCAGTCCACCTCGAAGCGAATATCGAATAGCGTAATATTTGAAACTGCTATTTGAAAATTTGAATATTTGTACAACACTAATAAATTTGTCTCTCCATGTTTTAGCCTTCTTTTCGGTAGATTTTAGCATGCAACTAAGCTGCAGTGAAATGATCTGGGATGCATACTGATTTTAGTTATGCAAAATAGATTATGGTAGTGCCAGACTTAAACTCTTTCCTGACACATTTTGATCTGTGACATTTCTGCATATGCAGAAATGTGACACATCAAAATGTGGCTAATTAGTTGTTCTTTCAAAAGAAACAGAGGTTGGAATAATGTAGAAAAAAAAATTTTAAAATGTAATTTTTTGAAAATGCAGTGTATGTGCGGAAGGCGTATAAATGCCAAAGCTTATACAGCTATGTCAAATTAAATGATGAATAAAAAAATTCAGAATTTACAAAATGTGCCCCCAACCCACGGCTATTACTTGTCAAAGTTAATGTACTTTGTCTGAGGCCTATTTTTGATTTGTCGGAGAGTTAGCCTCCGTAGCACGTGTGCTTTTCAACGAAGGAATGCTTATATTGGTAAAACACAGATAGTACACCTCACATCCCCAGCAAAACATTTTCTCTTTGTTGTACCTTGGTCTTGTCATTGCTTTGATTGCAGTTCCTTCATATTTAGCATTTTTGCTTACCTTGCTGAGAACATAAAACGTGAACGCCGGCTCAGGACAGCATTGGAAATAATAGTGACGCTTAGTGACAACCATCTGTTAAGTGATGCCTATAACGTCATTTAAAGTGTCCTTAGAGCTCTTGATGTCTAAAAAATATGCCACAATGCAGTTGAATTATGTGAATAATACCATTTTTGATAGGAAGACTGATTCAAGCAGTTAGCCATGTTAGACAGTGCAACCATTTTTCCGAGGACTATTTTTGACAGCACACCAGCTTGTGATCAAGCTCAAACCTACGTTGAAACTGAAACTACGGTTATTCGGCTATCCACCTGACTGTGGAACATAATTCTCTGCACTAAATTTAATTTTCTGACGGCGCTTGGAAACCATCGTTAATTGATGGCCTTTGGGTGCAGTCAGGAAAGAGTTAAGGAAAATACATGTTGAAACTCGAAAACCTCAGATGTAGAGATAGCTCTCACAGGCAGTTTCCTTAAAACATCACAAGCATCTGAGGGTGATGGTAGTAATACATAGTTCTTTTAATGCAGGACACTTCAAAACAAGACACAAATGTAGCAGTAGCTGGTAGCAAGAACTTTAAAAAAGACAAAAAAAAACTTTTGGAAGCCTTACCAGAAGACTTGGCTTTCTGAGGGCTAAGTCTGAGGGCTAAGTCAAACATAGTTTGACGTCCTGAGGCCCCTAACAAGACTTCTCTATTAATGGCTTCTCAATAGCTCCTGATATTTTCTTGCTTTCTTTATCTGGTGAACGCTTGGCATGTTCAGTAGCTCACATTGTCACGCTAAATTCTCAGCATGTTCAGCCACTCATCATGTCTCGTATGGTGCGTCCGTGCATGGCAGGTGAGTCCCAAGAGGGACAGCTGAGGCTGGAACGAGCGCGGTCGGAGGAACTTCAGCGCTGCCTGGACACCGAGGTCTCAAAGAGCCTGGAGCTGCTCTCTCAGCTGAACTCCCAGCGCTCTTCAGCGATGGAGCTCGAGATGGCGCTGGCCAGCTCCAGGTCCGACCTGATGGACGCCCGGAGGAAGATTTTGGCTGCCAAGCAGGATGCCCTGCACTTCAAGTGAGGTCATACGGTGTGTCTGGTACAGCTGAGGTCACATGCATCCCCAACTCTAACAGAAAACTGTTACAACAAATGCAAGCCAGGGAAGTTATTGAATCTGGATGAAGACTTGTTTCATGTAAACACTGGTCAACTTACAACTAGTGAAAGCAAAGACGTCTCCATAAAACAGTGACCTCTACATTTTTCTCCCAAACCATTCCAGGAAGAGGTAGAGGCTTAAGATTGGGCCATTAATTTAGTCTTCAAGCAAGGGACAGAGAGTGAGCATCTTTTTTTGGGGGGGCGGGACTGGGGGAAGGGGGGGGGGGCTTAATTTAATGTTTAATACTATAATTTTAGGACAAGAAATTAGCATAAAGGAATTAAGATCCCTCTATAGCATTCTTTGTGCTCGTACTTTGAGGGGGCTAATGAGGTGCCCCTATCACACTTTTCCGTCATTGAACTTTCGGGACCTTGACTCAGTAGTCCACCTTTTATTATGATTTGGGTAATAATCACTTCAGCTTTGACATGTGGGATTATTTGGATGTTCCTTCATACATTTCTCAGCACTTGTTACAACATGTTACAACAGCATCAAACATTTCCTGGGACTTGGGACGAGCGTGGTAGTATGATGGAGGGCCCCGATCTCAGCTGTGCATCCGGCATGCCGTGTTGCAGGGGCCTGTATGAGGTGGAAAAGGAGAAGGCCCAGAGCATGCTGATGGCCCTGAATGCAGAACGGGCACACTTCAACCAGCAGCAGGCCACCGCAGAGCTGGAGCGGCGGAGGACGGCCATCAACCACGAGCGGGACCTCCGGATCATCAAGGTGTGGAGCGCCGTGTACTAATGCCCTCTGCACCAATGCTGGTTTGTTGCTTGGCAAGCTTGATTGTGCTGGAGTGTGAGCGTTTTCAACAGCAGCTGATGTGATTTGTTTGGGAGGTTGTCTCATTTGCCCGTGGGGAAAGGTGGCTGGTCCCCTCCCTATAAATACAGACAGCTTTACAGCTTAGAAACAGCTGTTTATTTGTGTCAGAAGTTGTAATGTGTTTTTTTTTATCTTAATTTGCTGCACTTGTAATTTTGGGAATGTTCCATAGTTTTTCTTAATGCTTTTCTTTATTGCATTTTTTGGGAGCAGAGGGGGAATGTTTTGTAATCATTAGCATGTTCCTTTTTTTACCCAGCCACAACATGAAAGACAGGATAAAACAAATTGGCATACTTAGAATATGTTTTTGGTTGATAAATCTCGGCGCAATTGTTTATGCACCAAGACTCGTACCACAACTTCCAACAAGGATGCCATTGGCTGTCACTATGGTCACATGATGGCTTATGCCAGCCAATATGAGTGAGGTACCACCTAGAGTCACTGAATGTTCCCAGAGTACCAAATTCCATTCAGTCTGCTTAACGGAAGTCATTCCCCCAGAATCCAGTTCTGATTGGCTGGCTTAGCCTGCGGCAGAAGTTATCAGCCGGCCATTTTAGAGACGGGCCCATAACACTGGGCCCATCTCCAGCACAACCACTCCGGTTGTGCTGGTGCTGCGTTTCGAATTCTACGCCTCAGACGATAAGCCTAACGCTCGACTTAAATGTGTTTCGGGGCGAGAGAGAAATGAGACAGCGGGGAGCAAGTCACCCACCGCTCGAAACGAAGGAAAGAACTTTAATAAAAACAAACCAGTGTCGCACAGACCTGAGAAGTGGATTGAAGAGCTTGCCGAGAACGAACGTCACACTGCACGCGCCTCGCTTCGACCGCACAGGGCAGCGCCATTTTGGAGCTGTTTTGGAGCACCACTGCTGTGCCGCAACTCTGTTCAAAAACGAAGCTTGGGAGTTTCGATACTCTGGAAACATTCAGTAACTTTACTACTACCTGCAAGGGAGCCCTGCTGCAGTGATTACACTATATATTGTTCTCTGTCATAATGTTCATGTGTCTCACTTTTGCACGTTAAGTTTTCCCAAAGTTACTCTAGCAAAAAATGTGTTCTATGTTAACATCAGCTTCTGGTTCGTGCTTGCCTCAGGAAAGGGCTGGCTTTTGCAACATGATGCTATTGAGATGTCAAAACCGAGCCAATGCATCGTATTTACTTTATTTTACATTGCGGGTGACAGTACCGATATATTATTCATTCATTCTGGGAAGGAGACAAGACCAATACTTAAGATGATATTACTTGGCCATTAAATATTCCAAACAAAGCACAAGGCTGGTCAAGGCTGATCTGCATAACTCAGAAAGGAACCTTTACAAGCACCTCAAGAGTGGCAGCCGACATTTCGTTAAATTGGGGGAAATCTAGCGTACTGCCGACATCCAACAGTAGACGGAAAGCTAACCTTAAGCGATCAAAGGCCGACGTGAACCGCGAATGGCATGCTTGTCTTCGTATTTAGTTTTCCTGCCATCCGATGGAGAGACCTTGACGAGTCTGCTGTTCCACCCCTTCCAGATCAGCGCTCAGTTCATACACTCTGGTGTGCATTTTTCTGGCCTCTGGAACTTAGTCTCTGATGTCGTGTTGCATGCAGGACCTGAAAAGCTCCGTGTTCAAGCACTCTGTCACTGCAAGCCCCTTCACCGCTTCTCATTCGTGGGCCCCAAGCGAAGTAGAAAGGCTGAGAGGTGGCGACCTCACCAAGTGAGTGTCTGCAGCAGCAGCTTATTTCTGCAAAGATTCCAGCACCTTTTTGTGTTGTCTCTGCGGACCATTCACTAAGCTAAGGGTTGGGAGTGGTGTGATAGAGACAAAGGGAATAATGAAATTATTATCTTTGAAGGGAATAATTTATGAAGGGGTGCTGAAGTTTTATAACTTAATTCAAAACTTACAAATTTATTCAAAAATGAACCAACCTTTTCTCTTTTTTTGGGGATGTTGTCAAGAAATTAAAGATTGACCTATAATGGTGACCAGAAAATCTCTACCTACATTTGTGAGCAAATTTCGGGACCCCACCGAGTGCATTGAGCTATCGAGTCACCGAGCTGACGTTATTGTAGCTCCGCACTGCTTTTTGTCTCGGAGAGCTTTTGGTGCTCAAAAACAACCAAAACAGCAGCAGCCCGGCCGGCCGCCGTGGCCAACGGCATCCCTCGGGCGTCGGGTTTTGCCTACACACACGCAACACGCCACGAACCTTGCCCCACTGCCTTACCCCCTCCCCTCTCCCCCTCACAGATGAGCAGGAAAACAAAATATGGAGATTACTTTCGCTTCTTGTTGCTCGCAACGGCTCGCTCGCGGCGGCTTGCAGCGGTGCTCACGTCTTTGTATGTGATTATTTCTTGTCGCCATTCTGCAACATGTCGGTGAGGTTTTGTTGCGAATTTGTGAGGATGTCGACAAAGCTGATGAAGCTTCCGACGACAATGATATGTCCAGAAGTTCTGACAATGATTAAGTTTTTGGCATCTCGCTGTGATTTAGCTGAGAGCACTGTAAATGAAGCTTTGTTTGTTTGTTTTTGCCCATACTTTCTTTTGTTCTTCTTAAAAAAAAAAAAAATTGACTTATATTCTTGTTTTTTATTATTATTATTATTCTCGGCGAGTTCAATATAAATGCATCGACCAATATCTGTGGTCTACTTATATTCGGGTGAATATGGTAATTAAAAATAATGCAAAAGCTGAAGATGATAGCAAGTCGGCTTCGCTCAAGGTGTGATTAACATAGTAAAATAATTTACTTACGGGTATGAATGATCGAGAATTTCAATACCTGGGGAATGCTCTACCAGCTCCTTATAACTTTGTTCAAAAACTCGTCGCCCCCCGAAATTATCCATAAAGGATACCCCCACAGCACCCTTCATGATACTAAAATTACCCACGATGGTCAGAATGGGTCTAGTTTTAGAAAAGGGTACTCAACTACCTGTGTATACTACTGCTGATAGAACTGGAACGATATGTCACTTGGCGGTCTGTGCCACTTTTACAGTGCTGTGACTCTCGACGGCAGCAGTGCGGTACCAACAATGGAATCCGCTGACATTCATGTGGTAAGGGCATTTACATTTCTGTGCTCAAGAGAACACTCACTAAATGCATTAACGGTGCTAGGTGCACCCATTCTCTTTAGAGCGAGGGGCACCTTGCTTCATTCTGTGAAAGCATTATCCCATTCGCTCGTGCAGTTTGTTTCCCACATGTTTGTGTTTTGAACTTTTGGAAGCCCTATAAACTCTGAGCATGTCCTACTAATATTTTGGGGTTCGTCATACAGATAATGTTGTGACTGAAATTGCTAGAACTATGCAGTGGCACACACTAAAGCATTGCAGAATATGCGAGATGAGGTTCATGTTTCAGAGATTTGGCCTGATACAATAGGATACGAGGTTTGCAATATCTTTGAAGGGAATAATTTATGAAGGGGTGCTGAAGTTTTATAACTTAATTCAAAACTTACAAATTTATTCAAAAATGAACCAACCTTTTCTCTTTTTTGGGGGATGTTGTCAAGAAATTAAAGATCGACCTATAATGGTGACCAGAAAATCTCTACCTACATTCGTGAGCAAAGGTGAGAGGCCTGATACAATAGGATACGAGGTTTGCAATATTTGGTACAAGTTCATGTTGTATCATGTGCCACGCAACAGCACATTCCCCAAGATCGCTTCTGTAAAATTACAGTTCTGGGCTTTGAAATTGGGAGACCTATAAAAACTACTAGTGTTGTGCGAATGTTAGAAATTTCGAATAGTAGTTTCGGATTATCCGTTATTCGATATTTGCTTCGAGATGAACTGCAATATTTGTATTTTCTGAAGTGCTGATCGCGGTGGGTTAGCCCCGGTGAGCGCTCTTCTAACCGAGCATGAAAGCACGGCGGAGAAGCGACACCCGCGGATGCGAGCTCTGAGGGTGTTGTTTCTCTGCAGTGCACTGGTGCTCGTTAAGAAGCGCACTCAATGGGGTACCCCGCCGCCAGAGCTATACAAGAAGAGAGTTTGGTCAATGGGAAATGCCAACAAAGCCAGGGTGTGCACCATAAACAGATAGAGTGCTGGACATGTTCTTTTGGCCAACCAGAAGCCGAAAATAATCCTCTAGCGGTGGTAGTGAGAAGAATTCTTGATGAGTGTGTAAGAGTTAAATATAGTAACTCTTCATGGTTGATAATAAGGTGCATGTGATATTTTGATTATGATCATGCAAAAGATGGAAGAAACGAATGTGCCGCTCTAACTCTGTTTTGCTCGGATGGATCACTCAAACAGCAGACGCCCGGCTCTCGGCACCTGGCGTGCGGATTACGTGCCATATTTGAAACATCACGTACACCAATTTTCGGTCACCGAGAGTTACTCCAACGCACCTATTAACCTTGTTTCTCGCGACCACTGCCATTCGCAACTTCCAGTTGGCCACATTCAAAATTGTGAACGCTCCCTGGAACATGCCCAGCCCGCTTTTGGCTAATGGCACCTCCTCGTTTGCCTCCTATACTTCCCAATTAATGGCCTCTCTTTATATATAGCTCTGCCCTCCTTGATCACCACTTGGGGAAAGTATGAATATCGCAATTGTATGCTTGGGAGAAAACCACGCTTTCAAGGCAGGGTGGGGCACGCACGCCTGGTGTATTTAAAAACAAACAGAAACTTTAAGAATGTTGATATTTACATTGCAGTAAAATTTTCGAAATTAGGCCAGCTGTTATGCAAGAGTATACCTGACAACCTGCATTCATCATTCGTGATTCTTTTTTTATTTTATCAAATTTGGGATTGAAGAAAGAATTATTGGCATATACACCGACGCATGGGATTGACGTCACTGAGCTGCAGCGGCGCTCCGATCGTGCCGGATCGGCCAAGCGGGCAAGGTGTGAGCAAAACAGTGGGCGCTTTGTATGTGCGATGCAGCATTTCAGTGTGGCGCAAAGCTGCTTGGCTGTTGGTTGTGCCAAAAGGTAGAGCGAAAGTAGTGGAATAAGCTTCCACAAGTTCCAGGCGAACGCTGACAGACACGGAAAATGGATGACCTGCGTAGGTAAAAAAAAATGTTTGTCTGGCACTGGCGATTACTTGTGTGGTCAGCCATTATTGTAAGTACTAAGTGCAAAGCTTCCACTGCAATCGTTGTTCCATGCACTGAGGCACTCCTATGCGTATAGAAACCGTCATCTGATCCAGACCACCCTGACTTCGTTCCTACAGTGTTTGCACACAAGTTGCTGCCCAAGAGTTCCTCAGTTGGTCACTAGACCCAGGCATCGACACGAACGACTCCCGATATATTCGCACACATAGCAAACTTTTTACGAAACTCAAAGTAGTTGTAGGCCTCGAGAGACTTGTGCACTTGCACCGTGTTGGCCGTTAATTAGCTCGGCAAAAGGATCAGGCAGACGGCAGTATGCGCCATCGAGCTTGGCGGCAGCAACTTGGCTGATTTGGTGTCGCAGCGCCAGTGCTCCTTGCTCACGGCACAGGGATCCTCGAAGGCAACGCCATCAATGCACAGTTTCTTGCTGTATCGCTGCTGCTCGGACTCTGGCAGCGAGCGTCAATAGTCTGACATAATAACTAGCAAAATACAACTCAGAAAAAATGCTAGAAACGCCACAACAGCCTCGGTTAGCTAACGTACAACCCGCGTCGCAATAGGGAAAACACGTCGAGAGCGGCTGCTCTTGCCCACACCCCTCCTGCACATGTGCCGCTCTCCTGTCGTGTTTGTAAACAGAGCTCGCCACACGTCGGTCTATAGCAAGATTTGTAAATCACATCAATTAGGTATAGTTGGGCATGTCTATAGATTTAATGTTACGTGAAATCCATCATTAGCTTGCCATCCCAAGGCATCGCACTTTCTGATGTCAGAGCTCATAAATATGGTTAGATTAGAATTAGCTTATAAATGGACAAGTGCAGGCTTGTCCATTTATAACCAAAGTTTAACCCTGTAATTAAGACGTTGTTCAGCTATCCACACGCCAACCAACAGGCCATACTTTTTTACGTATCAAGTTTCATGCTGACCTCACAATGCAACAGTATTGAAAGGCTTTGAGGAACTATTCGACATTCAGTTCAGAAATATTCAGCCACAACCACTATTTGCTTCGAATTTACTTCAAACTCAAAATCCTCTAATTGCATGTGACTAACTACCCTAAAAAAAAAAAAAAAAAAGTCAATGTAATGCAGTGGTAGTTTGCTCAGCCTCTAATAAAAACATTGTGTGCAGGATTTTTTTTTTACGTTATTTATTTGAATGTTTGCTGTTACTCTTTAGTTCATTCAGGCATTGGAAATTAATTTCACAAACGAATGGGGTGAGTTCAAGCATATGCCTAGCCCTGTCAAAATGTTCCGCGATGCATTTTAGTCCAACTGGGATGAGCACTGACTTTCTGCGTGTATGGCATAGGACCACCGCAAGTGTGCCGAGGAGAGGCTAGCCCTGAGCCAGTCCCTGCTCAAGGCAGAGGAGGAGATCTCTAGGCTGCGCGAGCTCGCCCTCTCTGCCATGGATAGCGGCAGGGGGGACAGCGGCATGTCCCCCATCGTCTGCAAACTGGTACGCAGCCACAGTCGGCCGGTCACCCTCCCTTCCTCTCTTTGCGCAACGTGTTGTGCCACACTCACTCTTTGTACGGGAGTAACCCCTCAGCATTGTCATCAGAGTACCCAAACAAACAACATGCCATCTCACTTTTGAGGGTGCTCTCTCGCTTTGCCCGAGCCTCTCGTAACCAAGGGAATTTCTGCTTACGGATAGGTCTGTCTTTGCGCTTTTTCTCATAATGTCCTGATCCACAGCACGCTACCAGAAACACAAGCGCAATCATCAAAACGAGGCATTCAAACAATGTTTTTATTTGTTCAAGTATTTTGTGTGTGTTTATCCAGGGCTGGACCAAGGGAAATCTTTATCGTTCTTGAATGGTTACATCATACTTAGTGGTGCAATTTATGAGACCAAAGAAAAGGAAAAAGACGTAACAGGCTACAGGAAAAAAACAATGTGAAATCGCAGCCGTACGTGTAAGGCGACGGTCGTCGCCTTACATGTAGGGCTGCGATTTCACATTTGAAATTTACTGCCTAAACGATAAACTGCACACTCCCCGAGACGTGCTGATTTTTCGTTACATCTGTGGGGAACTATAAACGTGATGTCCGCACAGTGTTTCACTTTGCTGGGGCTATTTATAGTTACAAAACTAGTTGCTCCGCACACGTGATACGCGCAACATTGTCACTTGGTCTGTTGGCTGCTCTGACAATAATGGCAATTGGAGTGCCGGCTCTTCCAATTCAGACTTTTCACGCTTCTCAGAATTTAATTTGGAGGATGAGAGCTTATAAGCCGATGGAGAGGCTCCGTGAAATATAGTACCCCTCCGGTTCAAAATCGAACACCACCAGAATGTCGCAGTAGCAGGCGCGCCGAAGTGAAACCAAACGGAAGAAAAACAACGCTTCACTCTCAATAATTTCACTCCACGTTTCCTAACCTGAACAGCTTGCAAGCACCATACGTGCTTTCGTCAAAGAATGAAAAAATAAAGCCTGTACATTTAATCGGTCTTTGTACTATTCCTTTGGAAACAAAACCTTACCACTGGAAAATATTTTTTTGGAAAAGCAACCCAATCGTGAAAAGGTCAATGCCAATTTTTGTTGATTGGGGCTATGTGTTTTGTTGTCTTTTTTTGGCTATGCAGTGCAATCCACTTATAGCGACAGCGAAGAAAACCTGAAATTTCAATCGTTGTAACCGACTATCGTTGTATCAAGACTAGAATCTGATCTTTTCTAGACTAGAAACCCTAGAAACTGATAGTTATAAGCAGTGCATCCTTATATGTGGTATAGTTATAAGTGGATCGCACTATATTCAGTCACTGGGTTTTGTACCATGTCATTGCCAAACCAGCTCGCCTGTGCCCTTTCCTCTCTTCCGGTGTACTCTGCGGCCTCTCCTAAACTGCCTGTGTTTCCCACCCCTGACGCAGCTGCACAAGCTGTACTGGAAGTACCGCAAGACGGACAGCCTTCGCAAAGGCCTCGCCTACCAGAAGCAGTACCTGCTGGGGCTGCTGCAGGGCTTCCAGGCCACCGAGGAGCTGGCGCTGCGCATGATGGGACGGGGACGCACGCACCGCCGCCACCCACCGGAGGACGAGACCCTGCCACACCCGGTCGCGGAGGAGGGCGCCACCTGCTCACAATCATCCGGCTCGTGGCGGTCGCCCCGGTTTCGGTTCCGTTCAGCCGTGCTGCTGGTGGTGGCGCTGCATCGCATGCGGCACCTGGTGCACAAGTGGCGCCTGGCAACGTGCATCCCGCCGGTGCCGGTGTTGCTGCACAAGGTGGAGCTGGCAGTGCGCACTGTGCCCATGGGTAAGAACAACCTTTTTTTGTTGCGCAACCGCGTTTATGTTGGCTACAGTGAGCGATTGATGGAAACGATGCAGCACAACCTGCTATTGTCTAGTCGGTTCACAATAAGAAGGAGTTCCTTACTGTATCGGTAATGGAGACGTTCGTGCCAGCGTTATGAGCCCGTCACAATGTTTTGTTGCCTCTGTTGAACCTTGGCTATACAGTGTAGACCGCATATAACGTATGTCGCGGGAGTCGCGAAAATCCGCACTATAAGTGGTACCGCGCTATAACCAAAACATAAATTTTTTAGGCCAAATACAACTTACCGTTGTAAAACAATTTATTTTATGTTAGATGAAAAATAAAGCTTAGTTTGAGGAAAGTCTTTATTTCACCAGACTAGTACACTTCTCTCTCAAGTGTGTCACAGATTTTGAAAGAAATGAGCGACTTTTGCCAGGCGCAGCCTTTTAGCGGCGTCGCGGGTTGCGGACGGACGTTGCGAGCGTTCAGGATTGCTAACCCCAATCACTTTTCTCCGGTGATGAAAACGCGTGAAAATTCGCATCCTTTATACGGTAAGCGCCAGTAATACCTTCAACTTGAGTACAGGCATGAACTGCTCCAAATAAGAAGCCCGGGCGATGTTCGAAAACACAAATGCTTAGAAATCACCATTGTAGTCGAAGTAAACAAACACGACGACACGGGCGTTTCTGCCGTCTTGAGAGTGCCGCCACGACATCGCCGCACGAGTAGGTGGATCTTCCCTTCTAGTACGTGCTGGGTTCTCATAGCGACACACAACGAAAATTCACAGTCAAGGATAGCACTTTTACGCAAAACGATGAGTTTCCACCACGCCCTCTACGTCGACGATTACAACCGACGCCATGATTGCGGATAGAAGCAGCCGGCCCGCGACCGGCATGCAACGCACGCGAACACTTCTCCTCGACCTGCGATTGGTCTGTCGTTGCGGTTGTTTCCAACGCAGCAGAGGGCCGCACGCACGTGAACGACACGTGCGTGCGTCCCTCCGTCGCTATGGCAACTGAAGCCTCTCTCTTCGCTTCTTCGAGCAACCTCCTTGCCCTGCGGGTGCCGCTTGCGGCTAGTGCCGTCATCTAGTGTCGCACAGGGAAGAGTGCTCGCTGCGCCGGTCGGTCAGCGCGGTCGGCGGGTTGTTCCAGAAGCCGCACTATAACCGGTATTTCCCTTCGTGCGCCTGCATTTTAAGCGGTATGTAATTACATGGAGTTCTATGGGAGGCTAACTGGTGGTTTAAAAAAGCCGCGTTATACCCGGTCCTGCACTATAAGTAGTTACGTTGTAAGTGGTTTGTACTGTACATGCTTTTCAGCAAGATAAAAAAAAAGGTAATTTTTTTTAAAATGCAGCAGTCGGCGTAGTTTAGAACAGGATAGAGAAACTTTCACGGAACAGTTTTGTTTTGCATAAACATCTCCTTGGGTTTGGAGTGCCTTGGTTTGCTCGCATAAGCTAGAAATAATTGCATCATTGCATATGAATGAAAGTGATATATAGGCTGTCCACAAAAAATCCTAGCGCCGTAAAACTAGCCGGAAAAGTCAGCACCTGTACATAGAAAGCTCAAACTTTCACCGAATGGTCATTTAGGTGTGCACTTTACATGATAAAATTTCAAAGCATAGCTCCCTTCCCACGAAAAAGGAGAGGAACAAAATCGCCAGGGTCAACGACAGACGTGTTTGCAATTGACTGTGTCAGTGATGGTTGTATTAACTTCTGGCGTCATCTCCCAATAAGTGCATTGTGCAGACGTCACACCCTGTCGTCTGCTTGCTGCATTTATTGGGAGATTGCACTCATTACTTAAACTCGTCACTAAAGTCGTCCCGCTTGTCACTATTGGGCAGGAGATCGAACTATAGGGGGCGCTCTGACCCGTTTGTTTTCCCCACGCTTGGTGTTTACTCAACACAAGGCCTGTGCGCATGCCGACAGGCCTTATGGGCATGGCCATGTCATCTTCTACAATAGACTGCGGGGCGCAGTTTAATAAAAAAAATACTAACAATCGACGAAGCGACGTTAAGTGCCGGATCTATCCTCAGAGAATGCGAGCTTGACCCACTTCGGCTTTTGTGATGAGCTGGGATCGTGCATGCTGCATTGTTCATGCAGGCCGAGTGGAAACAAAAGAGCCCCTCCTCCCCTTCGCCGGAGAACACGAACTCCAGCCGAACGCTGACGCCGCGTTCGGTTATGTCGGCCGAACGCTGCGTCATTGTATTTGTTGTCCCCATCCGTGTAGTTGTTAGGTTAACCGCTTGGGGCGTCACGGTCTGTCCTCCTCCCCAATATAAAACAGAAGTGGGCAGGGGGCTTGAATCCACTGTCTAAAACAGTGGTTCTCAAATGGGAGTCCGTAGACCCTTTGGGACCCCTGAAGGCCTTTTTAGAGTCCGCAAAGCACTTGACCAACAGTCAAGCCAAGTACCTAAACTTCTTTCTTTTCTTATTATTAATACTGGCTGTTTTACAAAGCTAAATAGACCAAACCGCGTGCCTTGAGTGAGGATGATATTCACCATCTCAAAGCTTCGAACTTGTTAGGCATACTACTCGTTTTCTTCATTTACTCCTTTTTCCTCGTAGTCATCCAACACGCCCCCTCCCCCTTTGTAAATGCGGTCCCTCATCACCTCTGCGGATCCAGAAGGAGTTCCCGAAACATCGATGGTTGAGAACCACCAATCTAGAAGAAAAGATGATTCCTGAGCATATTTTTTTTGCCAAATATGGTTTGACCAGTTCGTGGATTGGCTGAGTCATGGAGACGAATCCCCTACCCCCATTGCAGCGCTGCAGTGGAGGGGAGGTGCCTCCGGGTCGGGGTTCTCGTTGGGCACTGCCCAATCTTCCCAGTCGTCAGTGCACTCGAGCGGCGCCAGCTACCAGGGGACCCCCGGTGCCGCAGCACTGCCCAGGAGGACCGCCGCCCCGCTCTTTAGGTGCCGCAACTCTTCTTTATTCCTTGGTTCGAAATAACCTTAGAACGCACCGCGCTCAGGCGTGCCGTGCGCCGTGCGGCAAAAGCTGAGTTGCCCATTTCCATTTCAGCCAGAACGACTGCGTTACTACGGCTTGCGATCATTTACAAGAGAGCACGAGAGGGCCTAGATCTAAGAGAGGAAGCAACTCAAACCGTGGGGGGTGTTTGCGATCATTTACAAGAGAACACGAGAGAGCCTAGATCTAAGAGAGGAAGCAACTTAAACCTTGGGGGGTGTTTGCAATTTAGTGGCGGATGCCTCCCACGCGTACTGGGCGCACTTTGCGGCACGGCGAGGAGGATAGCGGGGCCAAGCGAAGCTTGGAGGCGCCCAAAGTCAATCTACGCTTGCAGACACTCAACGCTTTTGTGTTCTTCTTGCATGTAGTATTACAGACGCGGCCTGTAGACCATGCGACCGCGGTCGAGCAATTGGAGACGCTGAAATCGAGGCACATTAGAGAAGATGGTGGGACACTGGCGCCATCTGTCAGGAAATAAGAAACTAATACGAGACCGAATTCCGATTTGATGGCCCAGACATGGCAGGCACCGTTTGTTTGGGCTTCCATTGTGCAGCACTGCTCGGGGAAGGGCTAGTAGTTCTTTTTGGTTCTTGCTACGGGCTAGGAGGTACGGATATGTCTTCTGCCAAGAATGCAGTTTTCTATGTGCTTGTGCCGTGGCACTGCTTGAAATGTCACACTGACATGACCAAATACTGTAAACGACTTGATTTTCACAAGGACCTAATTTTTGCAAGTTTCACGGGTTGCCTACAATTTGCGAAAAATAGGTCTTGCGAACAATTCCGGTAAAATGTAAACATACTGGAATCTATATTGAGATCCCACAGCATTGCAAAAATCAGAGTATACTTGTGAAGTGCTTACTAGGAAATCCTCATTGAATGTCAACTGAACAATAAAAATATTCCATCTGTTTTTAAAACTTCAGTTTTCCATGCACTTTTAAAAATGTCTGGTAGCAACATAGTCGAATGGCCATGAAATGAAGCTCTTTGCATTTTTTGCCCAACAAGTGAATTCTTTGTTGTTCCTGTCAGTTTCATCTTTTAGCCGAGAGCCAGTTGTGAGCCTAAGTTTGTGCCTTGTTGAGTCTTTTAAAATTGTCTGAAGCAATTGGCAGCATAACCACTGCACTTCTCATGGAAGCGTGTCTCAGTGCTAAAGGCTATTATAGAGAAATTAGATTTATTTTTCGCTCACCATGAAGTTGGCCACCAAATCTCTCCCTGGTACCGTCACAAAACACAGTGAGCGAAGTCAGCAAAGGTAGCTTGTGTGTTGCAGTGTTCACACCTTTGAAACAAACTTCCAAGTTTGTGTGTTGTGGTGTACAATGGTGCCAGCATACAAGCAGCATCCACGCTAAGCATTACTAGGAAACTTCTCGGAAAACCCACAAATTTCTTTTTTAAAGCGACGATTCCTCCTATCGAATGATGTCAAACCTTCAAATCTGACTGTGTTGCCTTCTTCTTTCATTTCAGAAACCCAAGTTCTGCATTGTCTCACCAAACAGACATGAAGGAGTATGTTGTGAGGCTAGAGAGCCTGCACAAACAGTTTGGACTCAGTGACCAGTGACCGGTTGATGACATGCCAAAAAGCTAATTTATAGAATAAATCGGCTCATCGAATTATTCTGTAGATACTGACGACGCAGGGATGTCGGCGAGTGTCGAAGGGCATATAGGTATATTTTTTGCAACATTTTTTTACGTTGAGTGCCGAGGGCACTAGATTGCTACTGCTAGTATTTTTCTTTTTATAAATTTAGGAGAGTTGTCTTTTTTACAAATTCTGCGAGGTTTTCATCGGTGTTTGTGCCTTGTGGGAAAGTAGCTTTGTAAGTCGTGCCTTACGTCTCGTCTGCTTTGTATTTGCTCGAGAATGAATGTTAGTATGTGTACATAGCCACCAGCTGCCTTGGTGCAAAAACATGTGCATAAGCATTGTTTGTGCTGAGGTATGCGATGTACCTGTCGCAAATCCTCTGCCGCCGCTGGAGGGGGTCTTGTTCATATCACGAAAGCATGTAGTAGTACTTTTTTTTTATCACTGTTCGTTGGTTTTTACATTGACAGCTGCCTTACAGATAGTTAGGTCGACATTTTACAGATGTGCAAAGATTTTTTTTAGTCTTGCCTCTACAAATGGAGGATGGGAACCTTTATTTTGCCACGGAATAAATGTACATATACTATCTTGGTTTTTTGAAACAATGTCTCGTCGTTGACTCGTAAGGATACACGGGGTGGGAGCGGCGAGTTTGCAAAACAGCCGATTGCATGAATGGACCAATCTGGGATAATTCCCATCGGTGTAGCAATTTTCTCATTCGGAACAATGAAAGCCCAATGGTAACTACTCCTGGGGCGCATGGCACGCATCCGCATAAATGGGGGTCGTGCCACATGTCACAGTGCAGTGTTTTTGCCCCTGGATGTAATCACGAGTCAGTGCGTTACTTTGTGCACAGAAGGACTTTAGTGCTCTACCCAGCTTTAGCTTGAACTGTGGAAAGGGTTATAAGCCTGAGTAGCTCCTGTAGGTGCTATGTCTGTGCGAGTCTTTGTGCGGCCGAGATGCATTCAAAATCAAGGATCCCGGATTTGTAGCCTCCACCGCAGTCCATGTTGATGTGAGACGGAGTATGGCCGTGCAAAGGTAGGTCTAAAGAGTTTGGCAGCCCGTTCGCCAAAGTTGCTTTTAGGGGCGAAGCTCCTTAGGACCTAGCCTTGTCCGTCCCACGTCCATGCTCACATCGATCTTGCTGGTGCTGGTGCTCGTGATCGTGAGCTCACGTGCTCACGTGCTCGTGTAGGGCAAAAAAAAAATGATAAAAAAAGAAAAAATGTTTGCACAGTTGACAGGATTCGAACCTGTGCGGGGAGACCCCAATGAATTTCTTGTCCATCGCCTTAACCAGTCGGCCACGACTGCAGGACGAGTAGGGGGCTCTGAGATGTGGTAGTAACTCAAGAGCTGGGGATGTCATGGATGAAACATTGCATGTAGCCGCTCAACATCTATACAGGAGAGGGCGCTGCGGTCAAATGCGTATATAATCGCGTTAAACTTTGCACGCATTGGCTCAACGTTTATAGACGAGAGGGCGCTGCGGTCAAATGCTCAAATGCGTATATAACCACGTTTTATACCACACATTCTCTTTCTGACATGGATGAAAATGAACGAAAGGCTGGGCATGCTGCGGCTCAGCGTCTACGCAGACAAGCACCACCAGAGCTTCGCCCCAATCAACATTATTTACCACGTGGAGATGCAATTTTTTTTTCGTTGCTTCAGTTTCCTGCTAGGTGGTGCAAGCCACCACCCATTACAGAGTGTTTATGCCCAACCGTTCCAAAGATATATGAAGTCGTGCGTGTTTTGTCCTAGGACATGAGTTTCTTTGTGTCTATTCGCTTTCAATATTTTGGATGTGCGCATTTGGAAGCGACGGACTGACCAGTTAATAATGAAAACGTAACGTGCTTGTAGCATTTCGTTTTATCGTCAAAATGCATGTCGATTGTCACACATCAAGGCATGACCCAAAATTGTTTACACTTCTTTATTTTTTAGAATGAGAGCTATCGTTAAAATTTTAGAATTGGAGCAATCGTTTTAATCAAAAAAATATTTCCATCAAAGCTCTATGGGCCACTGTTTTGGAGGAGGGTGTTTGTTTGGGGTTTTTCAGTCTAGGAGAGATTTGACTTCGGTTAAGGGATTGTAGTAGTTTGGCGAATGCACTATAGGAAAGTTGCCCAAAGATGTGTGGTGGTCATCTCGACATGCAGCAGTTTGCCAAATAAAGCTCCTTCCACAATTTTTGGCCAAACTATATTTTTCACGTACTGTAGGTCTGTTCAGCGATTGTTTGCAGCACAACCGACACAATCAGTTCATTATAGTAGCAGTAAAGATGATAATCCGTCACGTGGGCTCGGTTGCTTGTTTCTCCTGGAGGTGGATTGTAGTCGTGCACTGCGCGCGGTCTTGCACGTTAAGCTTCACTGCTTGGCACCGGCATGCTTGAAGCAGCGGCTGACACGGAGGAATACTTCGTTTCGATGTGCTGGCAAATTTTGCTCACACTTGTCGCACTAATATGCACGGCAGCACCAATGTGTGCAACTTTTGCGCGCTGGTAGCACTGGAAACTGCAGAGAAGCTGAAACCTGGGGAGATTGGTAGTTTCTAAGATGCAGGTGTAGTCAGCCTTAAGTACATTTGGGTAATATAATTAGTTTGAATAACCATAGAGAAAATTATATGCATGTTGAGTGGACTTTTTGGAGACTATATCAGGTTTAATCAAAAACTAAATTATCTAGGGATTTGAACTAAGGAGTACGAAGGAAACGCAGGTTTGCAGAACTTGGCACTCGCCATATGCATCTAAAAACAAATGTTCTTTTGTGTGTGTGTGTGTGTTTTTTTTGTGTGTTTTTTTTTGAAGGGGGATAGGAGGGGAAGGTAAGAGGGGGGGGGGGGGGGGGGGGGGTTGAAGGTTCATTCTGAAAGTGCTTGTACTCTGTGTACGAAGTTCAGCGGGAACCCTGTCGAAACGACGGCAATGGCGCTTTGTACATGTGCGTGCAGCATTATCGCCGTCAAGACGTGTACACCTTTACAACATTTGTCACCCAGGCGAAATATGCACAAAAGTGACCGCATCTCCACGTGATGAATGTTGATTGGGGCGAAGCTCTGGTGCTGCTTGTCTGCGTAGACGCTGAGCCGCAGCATGCCGAGCCTTTCATTTGTTTTCATCCATGTCAGAAAGAATGTGTGGTATGGAACGTGGTTATATATGCATTTGAGCATTTGACCACAGCGCCCTCTCGTCTATAAACGTTCAGCCAATGCATGCAAAGTTTAACGCGATTTTATAGGCATCGGCTTTGATAGGCATTTGACCGCAGCGCCCTCTCCTGTATAGACGTTGAGCAGCTACATGCAACGTTTATCCATGACATCCCCAGCTCTTGAGTTACTACCACATCTCAAAGCCCCCCCCCCCCCCCCCCTCGTCCCGCAGTCGTGGCCGAGTTAAGGCGATGGACTAGAAATCCATTGGGGTCTCCCCGCACAGGTTCAAATCCTGTCGATTGTGCAAACATTTTTTTTTTTTTTTTTTTTTTTTTTTTTTTTTTTTTTTTTTGTGCTTTACACGAGCACGTGAGCTCATGAGCACCGGTAAGATCAATGTGAGCACGGACGCCGGACGGACAAGGCTAGACCCTAAGGAGCTTCGCCCCTAAAAAGCTGCTTCGCATGCTCGGAATGCATTCCGCAGCCCATGATAGCAGCGCGCAGGAGGCGATTATTAGAAGGTGCCGCGTGCTGATACTTCACTTGCACTCTGCCATTTCCGCTTGACTACTAGTTTGTGTCAATTAAATTAAATTCCAACTATTTATTTACAGTAGGGAAGGTTGTTATATATATATATATTTTTTAATAACATAAAATCACAAAATTATTCATTCAGAGTCACGGACGTCAGAGAAAAAATACAATACACGCAGTAGAAGGGTTATTGTAGAAATAACAAATGGGGCCGCTCGGCGAGCGCCCCACTGGCTCCAGATCTACAAGCCGCACACGAGAGATTGCCCTCATCTCGCGAGGGAAACAAGAATCGGCTCTGTGAGCGTGCGCCGAGCGCTCGCTATTTGCCAGGGGAAGGGGCTAAAAAGATACAGGTGAGCTGCTAAACTTTCAATATCTTGAACATCCGAGAGTAGGAACAAAAAGCCTACAACACGCACACAAATGTCATTGTATTAATTATATTCTAGACTTTAGAATATAACAACTACAGTAACCTTTGTGTGCGCCCAACTAAATGTGTGAACTGCCCAAGATACCGAAACTTGAATGTGCAAGAGCGATATGGAGCGATAGAATCGGTAGACGGTTTTTAACACTGACGTTATTATTCCATCAACGTTGGATATTTTAATCACGAAACTTTTGGTTATAGTAAATTATTTGTACTGCCTGGTAAATATTGTAGTTTTGGTTGAATTCACATCGTTGCGTAAGACCAAGCGTAAGACGCTATTTAGCATGCTATTTAGTTGGCTTGAGGGCTTAAGCTAGCAACATCGACAGCCAATCCAAAGCCGATCCGGCACATTCGAATTTCGAATCTCGCAAATATTGTCGTATTGTTTTGTCTTGCGCTTAGGAGCATGGGAACCGACGACGTACGCTCGAAGCTATGGAATACCGCCATAGAAAGGGCGAGTAAGGACCTCGAAGCTGTAGCGGCTGACCAAAGCTCAATCGAAAGGACCGTGGCAAGCGTCGACGCCCTTGTGGCCCAGGTGTCGCACTCGGTGGAGTGCCTCTTTCCAACCAACGGAAAAGAATCGCATGTGGTTGTCGAAAATGAAGATATCCGGAAGTATCTCGCGCTTGAGCGAGAACTAATCTCCACAGCACTTCCAGATCCACCAGCGGTAAGCAAGAACGAACGGCCGGAAGCGCCGGCTACGACTAATTCTCGGTGTAACGCTTCGCTGCTAGTGTACGACGCACTGAAAGCGGTAAACAGCGAGAATCCACAACAATTTTTAAATGCAAGCAAAGACAGGTGCTGCGCAGAGCTGGTTAACGAGCTCATCTGTAAGGGGAAAAAAAGGTTCCACTGCAAAACGTGGACGGTTTCCACCTCAATACCTGCGGGTTCAGCGGAAAGTCTGGCTGGTCCTGGAGAACAGGAGAAGCTTCCAGCCGTCATTGCAACCACTCTGGAAAAGCTGGTGACAGAGAACCTGCGCTCCAGGCTTGACGACATTTTCCAGAACGTCAAACCTCGCGACAATGTGGCAGAGGAAAAGACGAAAGTGTTGAAAGAATTCGGCGACCTGGCCAAACAGATGGCCAAGTCGTGTAGCCTCGACGTCATGGAAGCGCAGTACAGCCGACAAGTCGGGGAGGCGACTGCACTGTACAACAGGAGAGTGGAGCTTCTGAGGCAGCTCACAGATCAGCACGCGAGACTTCAACGTGTGAAAAGGACGCAGGAGCGACGCGGAGCCTCCATCGAAGCAGTCTCGGATCACATCGCCGAAACGCGTAGAGTCCTCGAATCAAGACTCGACGAATGCTCAGACATAATGGACGCCACGCAAGACCTGCAGGTCATGCCCTTGGACACACTTCCATTCAAATTCAAGAAGTTTGTAGCTGAACCCGGGTGCGCTGAGGACTTCGATAAGCTTTGCAAAGAGCTTCGCGGTAATCTGCCCGTCGAGAACCGGCGTCTGGAGGCTCTTCAGAACGACCAGCGTCATTTGGATGAGCTTGTGGCCGACTTCCATCGGGAACTGTTAAGACAGTGTCAAGGCAGCATCCCTGCCTGGTGCGCGGATCAGAAGGCGGCGATGAAGGGGAACCGCAACGAAGTCATCGTGCGGGAACTCTTCAAGGAGTTCCACCGTAACCCTGATAAGTTTGTAAAGCGCATGCGCGCCTTCAAGACTCGAGGTGTCCCTGGTTTGCGGGGGGCTTCTGTGGGCTCGTAGTGCACGCGACGAACTTCGTTTGCACAATAAATTGTGTAACAATTCTTTTTAACATGATGGTAACCTTGAGGCTGGGAAAGAAGAGAGTTAAAACGAACAGGAAAAAGGGGAGAGTGTGTCTCAAAGAGATGGTGTTTGTCCATTATGCTCAATAATCAATTACACCAGCTCGCCTGTACAAACTCTACAAACTTTTTTTTTTTTTCTCTAGGCGTATTTTGAAGATGTCAGAACGCCAAGCTCTAATTGTCTGATTGAAGAAAATAGTGGGTAGACCTCAAGGCATCTAGCATTGCGGTCTGCCCACTATACTTCCAGTCAAAGCCAATCAGAACACGGCGTCGTTCCGACATCACCGCAACCTCCTGCACAAGAAGCAGGCGACTTGTTCTCCGCATTGAGTTTCGGTAGACTCTAGCTATGAAGTAGAAAAGTGAGTACGAAAAATTTTTAAAACTTTCAGCCTTTCCACTCTAGTGAAGAAGGGAGAGCAGCGGAGCTTTAGCTTCTGTTCTCGGCTGTGGCTTTCCAGGCGAGCAATCTGCTCTTCTTTCGCAAGGGAATCTGAAACACTCGACGCAGTGGAATTTTAGGTGGTAGCGGCCTCGCGGCGGTTGCGGAACCATTCGCGCTGCTGCGCTCATCGCCGCTCGTTCCGTTCCCGCTCTTCTTACTCCGAAGAAATGTTGCCGTCATCTATGAGCGACGGCGGCAAGCAGACAACCGGCAAACGCAACACTCTGGACAGCTACTGCCATCTATGAGCGACGGCGGCAACCAGAGTGTTGTGTCGACATTTGTTTGGTACCGGACACGATCCTGGGAAAACTAGCCCTTACCTGTAATAAAAGAAAAAAAGCAGTTTGAGGAGGGTGACATTGCCGAATGAGGAGTAAACTTCGAGTAAACAACCCCAACTTTAGGATTGCCCTTCTATTTTTGTCTTGTTTGCTTAGATGTTTCGTGTGTAGTAAAAAAAAATTATACATTACGGCTGCTGAATTTACAAGATTATCAGTTATCTTTGCCAGTGGCGTCACTAGGAGGGGGAGGCGAACCGCCCCGGGTGTCGGACTCGGGGTGGTACGGCTGGGCAGGAAAATAGGCGGGGGGGGGGGGGGTCGTCGTTACGGCGAGCTACGAGAGCCTGGGGGGTTGTCGCGGCGGCCCAACCGCTACACCTATAAAAAAAGAAAAAAAAATGTGGTGGTTTATTCAAAAACCAAACAGTGGCTTACTTGCCACTGTTTGGTTTCTTAGCTTTCCTGGTTCTCTAGGATTAGCTTGATTATCATGCGTACTGCTGCTTCAATGACGCACACACGGTATGCACATTATGTGACTACTTCGGGATCCGATGAGTTAGACTTCTCCGCTCTTATTGCGGAGGAGGCGCCGTATTAATCCTCAGTCCTCCGCTGGGGCGTGCCAGATGCCCGTCGTTGGTTTGGCCAGCTGTGCGCCGTGTTTTCATGTATCAAGCAACCAAGCTGCCGCCCAGAACAACCGGACAGTGCGAGCCATGATCTCGAGCGGGTGCATGCGCGCGACGCGTGTATCAGGGACTGACCTAGGTGCCATACCAGTCCTGCCCGGTCCGTCACTGCTCCTCGCGCATGCGCAGCACGGCTCTCCAGGAGCCACGCGAAACTGATCAACCTCGGCCCAGTGTAGCTTACGCAACAAAAATAAAAACAAATTACCTCAGGGGAGCCAAAGTTGCATGCTTACGAGGGAACACGGACAACCACGGAACCACTCACACATCTGAGCAATGCTCAACGATTTAAGTTTAGCGCCTCTTTAACCGTCTTGACTACTTGTCACGGGATGGCGCTTGGAGTCAAACGAGCGCGCGAATCCGCACCCGCACAAACGTCGCGACGGGATGACGTCACCTGATTCGACTCCCGTCGTTCCTCGCGGCTGAAAGATGGCCGATCGAGGATTTTAGGTCTCCTAGGAAATAGTCTCTTCTCCTTTGTCCCCAGCGTTTTTATGAATGGTGTGCTCAATTCCTAGCGCGCGTCAAGGCTGACCGACATCGCCCGAGTGCGCGCCTACCGTGTTCCGTCCCAAGAACGAGGATTAGCGGCCCAGATGTTCAGCTGACGTGCATCATCGGGGCCAATCATGGAGACTGTAGCATAGGCCTAAAAGCCTCGGGATCGATAGGCTGCTAGCGCCGGTCATGCGCTTTATTTAGTCCCCACAAAACTGTGCTGTATTTATACCGATCATGCAAGCCCCAAACGTCCCCGAGCCTCCGCCCGCAGAGTGCAACATCAAAGTCGTATGCCGCTTTAGGCCGCTTAACGATGCCGAGGAGCGTGCCGGCAGCAAGTTCATCGCGAAGTTCCCCTCGGGTTCCGAGGATTGTACGGCGATTGGCGTGAGTACCTCTTGCACATCACCTTTTTCACGTATGTAGACCTTTTTTGAACGCGACACCTGACTCCTGTTTTAATCTTGGGGGCGGTTGCACTGCCCGGTAGGACGTCCTACCCGTCCTAACCTAGGCGTTGGCTCCCGGACTGCCCATCCAATCGCCCCACGGTCGCCTAACCCTAGACAACTTGCCTTGAGCGCTTCCACGAATTTCGTGGGTTGAGCGTGTTTGGCGAAACTTGCTCTCTCGTTGGTCATTCAGAAGAAAGCCATTCTACGCGACGCGCAGATCGAACGAAGCCGTTTTATTTGCGTGCGTCGGCGCTTGGCTCTCTCGTTGCATGCCGCAGTTTTTCGGGATGTCAGATGGCTGTCAGCGCGTGTGTTAGTACGGACCGACGACAGCGTGACCGTGGTCTTGCAGACGGTTTTGGTCGCTGCAGACGATTGCGGGACCGGTGACGCAACCGGGGAACGTGAGGTCCCCGTTTCACGCCCGCGGGTGCCGGTACACGACGCCGTCGGGTCTAGGTCGCGACGTGGAAAACAACGCCCGCACTTTCACTCACCGCGCTGGAGCGCAAAAATAATCGCTCCGCTTATCTCGAGACGCGGTGACTAAGAGACAACATTGCCAGGACCTCCGATACGAAGTGGCAGACTTTTTCCCCCCGAGTTTGTGTATGATTGGCGTCGGCCGGCTGCGAAGGTCCGAACGTGTGCGTTAAAACGCCATGGTACTAGTACTTCGGTGCAGTCAAAGTTCTCATAGTCGTTCTCATCCTGCCATTAACAATAGTAGATAAGTTACTGGAATTCGCGATTGTTCCAGTGCGATAACGTCAAATCGAAAACTGACCGATTGCCCCAAGACGTTTTTGCGATGGTGTGCATTCAAGCAACGTCCAGAGCGAGTCACGTTCGCGCTCTCGACCGTTTTCTGTTCGCGTTTGCACGCGCTGAGCACACCCCACGTGGAAAGCAGCAGCAGACAGAGCGTCCTTGACACCCCTCCGCAAAAGCGGTGCGCCGCCGATGATTATGTGGGGCGACCGCTGGCGATACAGCGGCGCGAGCAGTGACTCACGCCGACCGACCTGCAGTGATCCGTCAAGACCGGCGATTATTTCAAGCCCGTGCAGCTGCGAAAGGAACTTTGTAGTTTCTGCGTACTTTGTAGTTTCTGCGTTTGATAGGAAAAGGAACGGCATTTGGGGGGCCGAGTCCGCGGCTCGTTCTTTTTATCTATTTATCTTCTTATTTCGTATCTTTTACGGTGACAGGTGCGACCTCGGGCATTTTGCGTCTATTTCAATGTCTGGCTACGGAGGCTTGAGATCTACATTTCTTTGTTGCCCAGTGCCGACGCTTGAGCTTGACGTTTGCCACCTTTTGCATTGTCCAGTCCAGCCTAGCATGCTACGTCCAAAACGTTCAAATTATTCGGTATAATTTTTAGCAATCAAATACACGTCCTTTGAACTGGATCACTCACTCAAATGCAAGGTACTTGCTGGCGATATTCAGTGAAACCTTATGGATGGATGACACTTGCACCGCCTAGTCTAAAAAGATTTACACCGCTCCCCTTTCACCATTTCTCTACATTTCATGTCCCCTTTACATCATCTAACCCACCAATTTCGTGTATTATCACGCTTCTCTAGACCTTTTCCACCAATCTTCTGATCCTGTCTTTGAGACTGTATTTCGTTAAAATGTGCACAGGGCAAGGTTGCTTGTCTTGTGACAGCAGTCAGTCAGTATTTTTGTAGCTATGTTTAGGTGTATCTCCAAAATGTGTAGTCCCTTTAATGTGGATATCTGAAGTGTTGGAAATCTAATCAACATGAGAGTGGGTTTGGCTGTAGCATTACGTCCTCACTAGTCAACATACACGCAGCATTGTTTGAAAATATTTGGCAAACACTGAAGGATCCTCCCCAGAAGGACAATGGCTGTTGTTGTCTTCATATCCTATTTGCAACCTTGGCACTTGTGCATCTACAATGGAGTGGACATCGTTTTCGCAAATTGCAGTTCTCCAGGGGTGGCAAGACAACAGGAGATCTCAGAAGCATGCAAGTGTGTCTAATGTCACAACATTTCACTTTTTGTTCTTTGTCAGTTTGTTGAGGCTTTTGTCTACCGTGTGTTCATGCCCTTTATGTTCGTTTGTAGCAAACATCAGCTTACATAACCTCCTTCATGCTTTTAAGGCTGAAGGTGCATATGCGTGACTAAATTTATGGTAATGAGATTTACTCACGTGCCGAAGTAGCTTTCTAACTCACGATAAACCGAACATAGAAAACTCTTAATGACTTGAGTGAGTCTCTCAGAGGGATATAAATACATTTTTCACTCAACTTTGTCATGTACAGTTCTGTCCGAAGTTCTGGAGTCTGGGAATCCTTCCTGTACATTTAAATGACATCCTAAGTTTGCCTATTTGCTTAGCAAACTGTTTATTCTTGCAGAAGCACAACTCGCCACACGAAGTTATCCTAAGGGATAATGAAATGAAATGAAATGAAATGAAATGAACCAACTGAAAAGCAAAATATAAAGCTTGGAACCATTCATGCTGCTCATTTCTCGTGTTGTGTGATAACAATAATAATCCTTTATTTCTTTAGTGCTCCAGAACAATTATTATGCTTTGATATGGTTGCACAGACTTAAAAACAGTACTCTATAGTTCGGCGGGGATATTTATGAAAAAGTAAAATCGCAGTTCACATTAACTGAAGAGCGTGTATGACAAGGTTGCTATCGAAGCTTGCTATATCCTTTTGATATTGATGGGCGTAGTCCTCTTGGGTTATCCGTTGCAGCATCCGAAAACAATCTCTGCTCTCCTGGTATTCTTATCGGGTCTGATTGTTGAGGGATAGTCTCTATGTAAGAAACGAACAGATAACAGCAGCGCGATAATAACGGTGACCTCAGTTTGCACTTGGAACGAACGTCCTAAAAAATTCATAAAACTTTTTTTTTAATTTCCATTTCTTTATTTTAGTAATTTCAGATTTTACGTTCGCAAATTTGAACGCGTTTTCGGTGTTTTAGAGATAATAAAATGTTTTTTGTTGATTCTATTAGTTTTATGATTGATAGCGTGCCGCAGGCGGCTGATTACTTCTAAAATATTCCTAGTTCTATGTCGTCATTGCACGTGACCAAAAGCCGCCAAACCTCGAAACACAATCTTATTTAAACACACACACACACACACACACACACACACAACACGCACGCACACACACGCATAATAATCTAAACTTTAAAATAACGAAGAACACAAGCATACAAACAATTAGGCTGAATACATTTTTGTATTGTGTCGGCCGTTTTATTTTTGTTTTGGCTCGGGGTTTAGTTAGAATACGACACTTCCTAACCATGCGGATTATCAGCCGAAAATCTATCTTTGTTTATTGTTGCGTGCTTACGGTTCGTGTTTCCGTAAACATCGGGGCCCCGTACATGCCTTGTTTCCTCTAACCAGCTGGCCTGCACACATTCGGTTCTTGCGAGGGATTATGTCTTCGCGATGGATTATCGGATTAGTCGGGCTTGTCGGATAATAGACTCACAGGACACGCGCGGGCCCGTACCTTTGACTGCGTTGCCATAGAAAGTTGCCCCCAAATTAGCGAAGCTAAAGAGAGAAAGAAAAAAAAAAGACAAAAAAAAGACCATTTAATAGTTTTTTTGGAACATGACGCGTCTCCGTTCTCTGGAAGGTTCTGAGAAAGGGAAGTGATGTTGGGCACAGGCGTGCAAAACAATGTCCCGTCGAGTTTTGTGTCCTTTCGCCGAGCGAGCGTCTAAATTTGGAAGTGCGGGCGGAACGTGCGTGGACGCCGGCCGCCACGCCGACGAGCCCCTCCAACGTAAACACCGTGTTGACGTTCGAAGTGTTTTGTCCGAAGCTGGCTCTTCGTTGCTGCCCGCTGACGTGTGCGGGAATGAAGTCCCTGTCAGGCCCAGTTGGCTCTATCTGCTCTGAATCTAACCTAAACACGATGTGTAGTTGCAATTACCCTTTCAAGGACCGACACGAAAGAGCGGCACGAAATTGACGTCATGAGCATCGCGTGACCGCGTCACGTGAGGTGGTGCATGCACGAGTTACGTGCTTTGGTGTAAACACGATCGCACGGACGCTAACGGCACTAATCCGTAGTGTACGTTCAAGCCGAGGCTATGTTGCCGCCAGGGCGGGCGAATTTGCACGAGTAGTGGCTATTAAACGGGCCTCAAGTCTGGGCGCGTCATCGCGAAGCTGGGCGAACGGCCGGCCCTTGCCGCCGAGGTTCTTCGGTCGCGCTCTGGATCGATTTCCTCGGTCTGGGTTAGGGTCTTGGTCTGGGTAGGGTCTGGCACATGGGTTTGAACTCTGGGGGCCGTGGTTGCGACACGGCCCGCGCGAGCTCGGCTGGCACCCCCGCGCGCTGGACTGGCGGTGGCAAGCAACGCGGCATTGCGCAGCTGTCACAGCCCGTCGACTGCCGAGCAGTGCGCTCAATATTGTTAAAGTAATTTTTTTATGTTTTTTTTTTTTTTTTACGATTAGTGAATTGGAAGGTTCTTTTTTGGGTTAGGCATTGATCCCAGAATTGCTTATAGTCAGTTACAGGTTAAGAAGGTAGCGGCAAATGCCCCTCAAAGGGAATCAGATATCCCTCCGCCACCTTTGCATCCAATAGCGTCCCACCGTTTCCGTGACGTCGCGGACAACGCGCGAGGAGGGTCTTGCCTTTCTGTGCATATTTGCTTTATCTTTCGACTTTGACTTAGCATTGTGGAAGCCACGAGAGGGAGATTAGAGTTCTCCCCCACCGACGGAAACAAATACGACTTTCGGGGATTAGCTTCCCCCCCGATGGATACAAAGGCTGCTTTCAGGGGCTCGGTTCCCTCTCCGATGAATACAAAGGTCGCTTTCTTAAAATGTGGGATCGGAGACAAGTGGGAATCCATTGAAGCGGAACAAGG